GTTAAGGGTATTTGGCTGCTTTAAATTTCCACGTGATAAGCCACTTCGTTGAGCGATCATTTGTGGCCAGGTCGTTTCTGAAAAGATCTATATTGCTCAGTTAGACCTTACTTGGTGAAATAAAAAATAGTTTATAATAGTGTAAAAAGACAACGATCCTGCTGTTGGGAATGCTGGGGCAAGCCTGATAAAAGAACCTATAACGGTAAACACGACACTTGAGGGGGTGGGTGTGTCTAGCACCTTTTCCAGCCGCCTTCATCTCCCCAGTGTTGATGTTTACACATGCGGTACTCATTTAAAGCCAAGTCAGCCGAGGGGAAGTGCAGAATTAATTCAGATATTTCCCATTGATTTTATCTGTTGCTGTAAATGTAACCCATTTAGCCGGGTTTGTAGTAAATTAAGCTAACCACTGCACAGCCGCTCCGCACAGACATACACATTCATGTAAAAATAACCAAAGATTCCCTGTATAGCCTTAACAGACTTTTGGGGCAAGTGCCATTAGCGAACACCCATAAAGGCTGGCACGGTACACGATGGGGTGGGTGGCCAGGACAACACCTGACCACCTTTGTCTCCCCAGTGATGATGTTTATCCACCACACCAGGTCCTCATTCGAGGCTGAGTCCACCTAGTGGAGGCCCAGGACCAGTTCAGATAAATGGCACTGGTTTTGGCCACAAGCAGGGATCCGACTCGGGCCGCCGGGTTGCTCATGCTGTGTGCGCTAACCGCTACACTACCGCTAAGGTACACCCGTGCGTCATTCATACAGGCCATTCGTTTTGAATTTTAAATGGGAATGAATATCTGTCGCCATTCTACAGGGGGCATGTTTGCACTTCACAGCTGCACTTGGATGGAGCAGAAAATCACAGCGCAGACGCGGAGGCAGTGAGTGGGGAGAGGAGGTTGCCGTGGTGAGGGGGGGGATGAGAGGAGAGAGTGCTACTTTGAAACGCTCTCTCCTGCATGCCGCTCCATGCCTTTGAGCAATCGCAGAAACCTGATAGAACTATGATAACATGTATTTTGAATTTGTTTTGCCTATTTCTTTCATTCCTTGTTGTTGTTATTTTTCGTTAAACCATACCAGAACACAAGAGGTTATATACGGACCAACACAATCATCCAGCATGAGCGATTTGCCGTGTTTGAATGGACTGTTGAATGGTGTGTCGGAAGATTGCGCCAACGCATCTCCATGACCTCGCCGAGTGCCCTTTGAGGTACCAAATGACAATCGGACGATTGCAGTCGCATGCTCAAGCTTCTATTCAGGATGCAGGTTCGACCGCTCGTATCAACAAAGGCGCTGAAGATGTCCGCACACCAAATAATTTTTGCCCAGCGGAGCCCTCCTCTACTAAAGCGTTATCCGAGACCTGCCGGGACTTAGAGAAGGGCAGCGGGGGGGGGACCTCTTGCGTGCAGACCCAGATCACCGCTTCATTATCCTCTAATCAGCTTGGAGCAGCAGTGCCTATGCAAACACAGCGGGGGCTAAGGCGGCACACATGGGGCCTCGGAGGCGCTGTGCATGGCAGATTGAGAGCGTTCGTCTCAGAACGAGCCGTGCAAAATTAGCTCCGCACACTTTTTAAAGCTGCCATTAATCTGCACGGTGTTACGAGCGATGGATATAGGAAGTGATGAGGCCGACCCCGATTTCTTACTGTATATTGTTTTTATATGTGTATATAGTGCACGTTTAAATATTATCATTCATGCTGTACATATACTTAAGGAACTGATCCTTCATACACGCTTTCTCAGGGGACAAGTGCCGTTGGAAAATATCTATTGCAGTGTCGATCTAATAAAATGTATTCATCTATATATATAAAATCGTTCATGTCTGTCTGTCTGTGTGTGTGTGTGTGGACTTTGGCCCATACGCACTTTCATTGGACGGCGGTTGCCCCTGGCAACGGCTAGCCACGCCTTCGCCGCTTTCATTGGACCTGGCAACGGCTAGCCACGCCTTCGCCAAGGGCTGCAGTTTCATTGGACGGCGGTTGCCCCTGCCAACGGCTAGCCACGCCTTCGCCACTTTCATAAGCTCCGTATTTAATTAAATAATAGCCATTACACAGTATTGTTGGAGCGCTAGGGGGGGGGGGGAAGGAACGCCACCCGTACCCTGCCTTTTCCAAGCCGACAATTTTAGGCGAGGCCGCAGGCTTTGCACGCTACTAGGCCTCGACACCCACCAGGCCACTCTGAGGTAAATTCATCAAAGTTTTTCCTACTCTTCACTACACCCCCACCACAATGTGTGCTATTAATATTACTTTTAAACCCAACGCGCCAACAATCGATTACTTTAATGTTCACTGTACAAATACTCATTAAGCTGGGTGAGCGTACTGCCAGTCTATCATGTACACTGTAGCCTGCTTATTGAGCTCGGTGAGCGTACTGCCACTCTATCATGTACACTCTAGCCTGCTTATGAAGCTGAGTGCGTGTACTGGCAGTCTATAATGTGGACTCTTGCCTGGTTATTATAATCGATTCTTTATATGTTCTTTGTACAAACAGTCATTAAGCTGCTTGAGCGACCCCAGTTCGATTCCAACTCACGCCCACCCCCGCTGACGATTATTTGAAACGGACCTGGCCCTCCCCTAGGTCCACTCAGCCTCAAAAGCGTAACTGCTGTCGTGTGTGAACATCGTCACTGGGGAGACAAAGGCGGCGGGGCATCGTGGATCCAAGTCCCGGGCGAAGCCGGGTCATGTGTATGTGTGTTTGTGTTTATGTGTATGTCTGTGTGTCTCTATGTATGTGTGTATGTATGTGTATGTAGGTGCTCGCTAACAGCACTTGCCCCTACAGTCTGTTAAGGCTATACGGGGGATCTTTGTCTTTGTATGTATGTGTTTGTGTGTATGTGTGTGTGTATGTATGTGGGTTTTTTTTATGTCTTTATGTGTATGTCTGCGTGTCTCTATGTATGTGTGTATGTACGTGTGTGCATGTGTTTGTGTGTATGTATGTGTGTGTCTATGTATGTATGTGTGTGTATGTGTTTCTGTGTATGTATGTGTGTGTATGTATGTGTGTTACGTGTCTGTCTGTGTGTCTGCATGTATGTGTGTGTGTATTGTGTATGTGTTTGTGTGCATGTATGTGTGTGTTTGTGTGTATGTGTATGTCTGTGTGTTTGTATGTGTGTGTATGTGTGTATGTGTTTGTGTGTATGTGTGTGTATGTATGTGTGTGTATGTGTTTGTATGTGTTTGTGTGTTTACGCTCGCATTACACAAATGTGTTGCTGGTCTAAGGCGTTCCTCGCACAGCATTGCCGCTTTATTATTTCAGTCGTTTACTGCCTTACGCACCCTGAAAGTCGTGTGTGTCTGCAGCAAGCGCGTGTATGTGTACCTATGGACGCGCGCGCGTGTGTTGTGTAGGGGGAACGGTAGTGTAGTGCTTAGCGTGCTGTCTGTGTCTGTGTGTGTGTCTGTGTGTGTGTCTGTGTGTGTGCGTGTGTGGTGTGTGGGGAGCGGTAGTGTAGTGCTTAGCGTGCTGTCTGTGTGTCTGTGTGTGTCTGTCTGTGTCTGTCTGTGTGTGTCTGTGTGTGTCTGCGTGTGTCTGTGTGTGTGTCTGTGCGTGTGTGGTGTGTGAGGAGCGGTGGGTGTAGTGCTTAACGCTACGCTGCGCTACCAACCCGGCGAACCGAGTTCGATTCCCGCTCACGGCCACCACCGGTGACGATTATTTGAACCTCCCCTAGGTCGACTCAGCCTCAAACGAGTAACTGGTGTGGCGTATTAACATCGGCACTTGGGAGACAAAGGCGGCCGGGCGTGGTGGATCCAAGTCCCGGGCGAAGCCGGGTAGTACAGCTAGTATATTATAAGATAATGTAACAATAAGGCCTCGCTGAGTCTCAAGACTCTTGTTTCATAGGTACCTGTTTAGCCACTGCCATTATGCAGTGTCTTTCATGTTACGGGAAAAACCCGCAAAACACACATTGAGCAAATAAAAAGTCCAAGGTCTCCACTGACGTGTTTACAACCCGTTTGCTGCTCTGCAATCTCCTGGCCTCACAAATCGATGAGATTCACCACCAATCCTTGCCTCCAAAGAGCTACTCCACAGAAGTTGCGTCCACTATATCATCTAATCTACTCACAAACCAGGCCTCTGCGATCAATGCAACCCAGCAGTGGCTTTTTTGTCTTAACAAAGCAAATATCTCACAAATCAGGTGGATCACATGCGGTGCATTGTCCACACCTGCGCAGAGCGGCATGCTTGAGTCACGCGGGGTGGCTGTCTTGCCCAGGGCCGGATTAAATTTGATGGGGGCAGTCAAAGAGTTTTGAGGGCTTGTGTTCGTGAATTCAATACGCTCCTCTTTAATGGTTTAACCTCCACCCATGCCCTATGCAAAACACACTGTTGTTATTTAGAAACTCAACGCATTCATCGATGACTGTGCCTTAAATGGAAAATACGGACGTAAATCGGTGACCCTTTGGCTAATGGCTCTCTTAAAAAGGAGCATTGTTAATTACTTATAGTTTCAGTTATAGTTTTTAAATGTGATATTCACTATAAAGCTCAGTGAAAATTAAAAGGAACATAACTGTCAATTTTAGCCCATAATCGGTCATACATATAGTGATGCTCCAGCTATAATTACGAAATAACTTATAGGGTGTATAGGAGTACTCGTCTGGAATTTCAGCCATTAGAAAGCTGTATATATAAGTAGAGACTCATCAAACTAAACTAAAATATTTCAGTTAGCAGGTAAAGTGCACTGAGCTATTAGCTGTTCTGCATAGGCGATCTGGCCACACGTGATAGCTAATTGATTAATAGGAGCAGCCAACTAATCTAAACGCACGATTCTAAACATGGAGGACAAACCACGAAAGGACCTGGAGATAAATCCACACAACCACCACGTGGAGAGAGACAACACGAAAACTCCAAAAATACACGCGTCAAGGTCGGGATCGAACCCACCGACCTTCTGCTAACTGGCCGAGGAAGATAACAACTGGTGCGACCCCGTGAACCCCGGTCGGACCGTCTGGCTGCGCTTTCTTGGGTAGGGCGGTGGGGGACGCTGCGGCCGTGGCGTTGACGCGGAAGCCCGCGGGCAGTGTCTCGGCCGAGCCGGGCACCATGACGCCCACGCCCGACGCCTCCTGCGGGTGGAAGCGCTTCCGCCAGGACGGGCCGCGCTGGAAATTCTTGTCTTCGTTTTGAAAGAGGGCGTCCTTTTGGGGAGAAGAGGACAAAAAAAAACACAAGGGGGAAACCGTCTTGAAGCTGCCGGACGTGCACACAGGAAGAGCTGTCATGTGAGCAAACAAAACTTTATAGTGTAGCTTTAAAGACCTCGCAATTGGGCATTTTTTTTCATCTCGAATGAACATTTTTGTATTGCTTTTTGTGTTTGGTTTGTTGTCCTTCCCCCCGCACCTCTAATTCGCACAGTTGGCTACGTACGGTGCGAAATAACTACATACATACGTACAGGACAGCACTGCTCGAGGACAACGAAACTTCTTTTTCTACCGTGCGACCGAGCCAGGGCCTTGCTAAGCCGGCGTGCGGCTTAGGAGGCACCGGGCACTTTTTCCACCGTAGAACCCGAGCCGTCCCACAAACGTCACACACACGGTCAACGCGTGCGTGACGTCAGCGTCACATGTTCAAGTGCAACTGACTGACGCAAAATACGACTAAAACGTTTAAACCGACGCCTCGCTCTGCTTGCCCCCAAGCCAGATGGCAGATGTGTTGTCAGGATAGAGTTTCATGGTTTGGTTTGGGCACGGCTCGGCAAATAGCCAATGGAAAAAATGTACCTGTCCTGTGAGGACTCTGAGCTGCCACGGCTGAGATGTGGTCGTGCAAAAGGGCCGTAAGATTAGTCATTGCTGCCAGTGCCAATACGTATTGACTGAATAAAGACAAATATACTGCCCATCGCATTGCGTCCTCTTCACATGTGCTGCGAAAAGTAATGAATGTAGGTTTTAGGTGCTTGTAAGGATTGTTATTTTCTAAAATGGAAATGGAGAGAGTTTTAAACAAAGTATCATCCTGCTTTTAAATGATAATAATAATACAACTTTATAATAATTTACAGCCCTTCATCAATCGACTACTGGATGCTGTGTTGGTGGTGGGAGTTATTTAACCATACTTGACCACACTGGTTAGTACGGGTTGGTAAGGGGTGGGCCTCAAACTGGTTCCGATACAACTTGCCACTGATGTTAGCCGTGGATCCAGACTTGAACTCGGATCACCAGGTTCACAACAACACTGTTTCCCACAAAGTTTGACATGTGACTTCCGATCGCGTTTAGCAGTTTCCCCACGTTTTATACGTCCGCTTTCCCAATTATGAACCGATTTCCCCATGCTTCCAACAAAAACATTCACGATAAAAAGGCGGCTATGTGATCACGCGATCTTAACCACTGAGTTTATTATTTATATCAAGACACGTTGGCGTGATTTTTAATGAAAAATAAGTTTTGAGATGTTCATGACCTTGTTTTTATTTTATTTTAAACAGTATCTGAGCACAGGCCCAAAGGCCCAAATTGTCACGTGGCCAGCAACAAACAGCACTTGCCAAGTTGTAAAAAAAAGTGAAGAGTGAACAAGGTTCTTTAATTGGGAAAGGTGATTATAAGAGCTTGGCAAAAAGAGACGGAGGAGGCAAAGCAGTCAGCGACTGGGTTCCAGAGTCCTCTCAACGTTTGGAGGAGTAAACCAGTGAAGTTCATGAGAACAGTGGCCATGGTAGTTGCGACGATACAAGAGTGACAAGTTCACATTTTCCATGAGTTCCAATTAGTCACTCGTGGGTGGCCGTTTGGTGGCACGTTGATGGCGGCTGGCCCAGCAGTGACGGAACCATCGAGACGGACATCGGCTGTGATCAGTGGCAGTCGCATTTCCCGGCGGAAGATACTAAAACACGATGTGGGTGGCCGTTTCATGGCACGTTGATAGCGGCTGGCCCAGCAGTGACGGAAACCATCGAGACAGACATCGGCTGTGATCAGTGGCAGTCGCATCTCTCGGCGGAAGAAACTAAAACACGATGAGCGATTTCCTCGAGATGCCTCCTCTTACCTCTTCCAGCCGACGCTCGGTGCCCAGTGCCAGGAGATTATTAAACTCCCTCTCCAGCACTTGCCGAGCCTGCAGCACAAACGGACGAGTGTCACCCGCGTATCCGACACAGCGTCCGTGCGCGCGTGCGCGCCGCGCACCGGCATCGATACCGCCGGCTATTCACCACTAAGTGGTGGTGATGTCACGCTGGTGCCTGTGTCTGGGGTGCACTTTGAGGGCACGCAGGGACAGCGGGCAGGCCACGTCGCAGGCGTCTGGTTGCGTTCAAAATGTTCCAGGGTTGGAAAACAGTGGTGCTGATGCTGGTATCGCTGAAAGGATTTGAGTGTGCATCAGAGTTGTGTTTGTTTTTCCGTGAAGGTAATAGAACCCTTATCTGAAACATGCTCATTCATCCACTGTGTGTGTGTTTATATATATATCTATGGCATATAATCACTAACCCCTTGCGATTGAATGAATTGTCACGGTTCAAGAAGACATTTTATATTTTCAGCATTGTGCTAAATGTTTCGCCATCTAGTGGCTACATGGGCTATGTGCACAAATTACATAAAGTTATATCCCTTCATCGACTGTTGCTCAATAAAGGCCTCATTATGACTTTGGATCATGGGGGCTGATTGACCATACTTCACCACGTGGCTTGTTGAAAAGGATGATCCCAAGACCAGATGAGACATGACTCAGCACTGGCACTAACCATTGGCTTACTCGTGGCTGGGAATGGAACTCAGGTCGCCAGCTTAATATGATGAGCATTCAATACATTTCAAAAGATGAATTGTTGTACCCTTACATGCCGAATATATATCACCAATTATTGTAACTCGGAGTGCAGACACACCAAGTGAAGAGACACTCGTTCTGTGAACTCCCTCCCGACTGCAGGGCATCGCAACAACAAAAAACTACATCCAGTGTCTCTTCAGGAGTGCTTTCTCACCACAGCTACAACATAAGCCATTTAATATCGTGTGGTCTATTGACAGTCATCGTCAAATATCTATCTGAAATAGGCTTGGCTGAATTCAACGAATTCAACATTTATACGATGCTTTTTAGAAGCAGCTGTTGGTAAATACAATATACCAAGGCCAGTAGTAACCTGTCTGCTTGAGACCCAGGTTTAATCTTAGGTGGGAATTAGGCATTCAAATGCAAAATCAATAAGTACATTGTTTTTATATATGTATATAAATATGGCGTTTTAATGTGTAAGGTCACAGAAGCAGCTACTCCAAAAACTACGACCCTGAGGAGTTAAAGATGCCCCCAGTAGTGAGTGGCAAAAGCTCGCGGTCACAACGCGCAGCCCAACCACTCCGGATCACTGCATTCCTCCTCGAGTCTCAACAAAGATTCCGAAATCTGAAAAACGAGCGGCACGTGAAGCCCTCCTGTGCCGAACCGATCCCGGGGCCGCGAGGCCGTGCCGCGCCTCCTGCACCTGCGTGTTCTGCGTGGGGATCTGCAGCGAGAGAGCCAGCGCGATGTGGTCGAAAGTGTCGTCCAGGGCGATGAGCGCCCCGTGCACGCCGCTCTCCACCAGGCTGTTGGCGTAGTCGCGCAGGCCGATCGACTGGATCCAGCGGATCACGCGCTCGTTGCTCCACACCATCACGTCTGAAACACACGTCACGAGCGCCACCCCCGCATCCACGTGACGCTGATGCCGCGCCGCCGCCGCTGTGACTTTTTCGTTCAGAGGCAACGACGTCCCCGTGCTCGAGCCAGTGCGTGGGCTGTTCTCGGTCAACCGAGCTTAAGTTGGTGTTGGATCATCCACATTACTATGTTCGGGGACGCGACTATCATTACGACAACCGCTGTTGATTTGTTGATTGTTGATGATTATATTCTTGGTTCTTTCGGTGAAGTCACGTAAATAAAAACAAAAAATCTGGAACAAAAGCGAAAAACCCACGACGTTTCGATCGCAACACAAGCAGTCTTCATCATCTCCGCCTGATGAAGACGCTCTCGTAGGGTCATTAGATATTCTTTCCCTCGGTCACTTCAGGGTGGATTCATTGACATGCTAATTTCTCTGCTCCAGCAGCTGCCCCAGCAGACCCACCTCTCTCTCTGCCTCCCCCTGTATTTAAGGCCTCGACACAGAGGCATTGGGTCTCTGTGTATCTATGTTGTGTGTCTCTGTCTTTGTGTGTCTGTGTTGTCTCTCTCTGCTTGTGTGTCTGTCTGTGTGTATGCCTGTGTGTCTCTGTGTGTCTATGTTGTGTGTCTCTCTCTGTGTGTCTATGTTGTGTCTCTCTCTCTGTGTCTGTGTTGTCTCTCTCTGCTTGTGTGTCTGTCTGTGTGTCTCCGTGTCTGTGTTTTGTCTCTCTCTCAAATTTAGTTCTACCTGATGACGGTTGCTTGTGTTGCAATCGAAACGTCGTCTTCTATTATTTAATTTATTTTCTTTCTACGTGACTTTACCTGAAAGAACCAGAGAGTAATTCCTGCAGTCGCGAAAGCTTCAAATCAAGTTAGAACGTGGCCAATTCGTCACTAGTACAGCACACCGGTGTGTTGGAGAGCCAAGCCACAACATTTAGAATCTGAGTTCGACGTTTCGCCAGTAATTACAACTAGCTTCATCGGCGACAGCCAGATTCGTGGAGAAGTCCACCTGTTTCGTTCCTTATATCGAGGCGTAGATGTGTTGACCTCCCTTCTGCGCTCTTGCACAATGTGGGAGGGGGATTACTGAGGCAACGTACATTATGCATGTGCATTATGCGAGCCCTTTGAACTTGTCCTTGCTGTCTATTTTGTTTATTAAAATAGCCCTACCAATAGTAATCCCTATTGAAGTACGCTGCCCTTTGTAGGCATGCATCTAAATAATGTATTGTTTGATGATCGCTTCCATGCAGCACTAAGACGGTAGCTATCCGAACGGTTACAGTTATTTAGATTTCTTTCAATTTCGAAAGATTCTCTTATTAGTCTTCAACATTATCAAAACTTCAACATTATCAAAATCAATTGAGTGTCCTTGTTGGCACGAGTGTTCTGCTACTGCTGACATTTGCATTTGGGAGCATTTAATATTTTTCTGAAGTTCTTTTAGTCTCGTGCTGACCAATCGTCCTGTTTGCCCAACATAACATTTACCACACGTGCAGCTAATCCTGTACACACCTTCTGTTGATAGCTTCGGTAATACATCTTTGTACCAGATATTAAATTATGTATTTTATGTACCGTGCCAAATCTGACTCGGATGTTTTGGTTTGACAAACATCTGGCTAGTTTATCAGTTACTCCCGCAATGTACGGTATTTTGATCGTTTTAATTACTTGGGCAGTTTCAATGCTCTTGTTATTTGAATTGGTTTTGGTATTAAATGCCCTGTTAATTTGTGCATCATTGTAACCAATCATTTGCAGCGCTTTACATTGTATTCTGTGTGCTAGACGTGTCAATTGCATTTAGAATTAAAATTCCAATGTTCAAATTACTGGCATATAGAAAACCATGGCATTCATGAATGTTTTTTGATCGGATTAAAACAAAAGAAAAAGGGCACGTGATGATTTGACACACGTCCACAACTAACAGGAGCAAGCCGCGTGACAACAATGAAACGCACGCACACACCGTGTCTCCAAACACAAACGGCTTGTGAACTTATTAGGGAGATCTCAATTAGCATTTGTTTTTCTCCATCTAAAGCTCGGGAGCCCTGTGTGCATGTGCTCGAGTGCAGCTTTTGCTGCTCTCTACACGAGGCCACTTGCTTTTGTGATCTTCAATGGCAATGTCCCCGGCTTTGGTAAGAAAAACAACGCAGCAGCAATAAACGTAGCCAACAACACGTCGCTTTCATCTCAACAGCATCCGCAGCCTCTGTGCCGGCGCATGCACAAATTTCGCTCCCGCACTTTAAAAAAAACAGTGCTCATTTCCTTTGATGACACACTCGGAAGCTTTGATGCTGGGCTTGGGTTAGGTGCAGTCGTACAGCTGCGGGCGTGAGTGGATAGGCGCTCGCTGGGTAAGGGGAAAGCAACACGGCCGTAAACTTTGACGTGTTTGCTGTCAGGACGATGTCACCTCTCTCCATCTCCGAAAAAAACTTTCATCACAGGCGATGGAAGGGTGGCACTTGTGTTCTCAGATGCGCACTGGATGCACCAGGACCCGGCCCGTGACCTGAATTTGGAAATTTACATCGCCCACGCAGTGAAAAGAATCTTCCATAGTTTTTTTCATCATCATCATAAAAAAAAACCTTCATCTTTTTCCCTTCCCCGTACACAACTTGCGAAAAATATACAAACTCTAAACCCAGTTGCTTGAACGCAAGGAACGACGAACTTAACGTTGAGGGAAGTGCAAATTAAAGGCCCAACCAGACTGAAAAATCTGTCGCAAGATCTCGGTAGCATATTTTTCAAACGTGACAAATGATGATGGTACGATGATGTTAATAAGTAATGCTACTGCTCATAACAGTGAAAAGATGAGTGCACGTAGTTCCACTGGGGAATAAAGTTTGTCGTGGTCTTGTGCACAGACTGGATGGCACCTGAATCTGTCTTTAAAAATCAGGTCAAGAGGTTTGAGCTGGCACACAAAACGAGCTGCATGAATCACTCCACAGAGCTGTTTGCTGCTTTAGATGTGAGTCGTTGGGTAAGTCTAAACATCCACACCGGCATAAGCTGAAGCCGGGGCATCAATCCATTCTACCATTCTTCACACCAAACTTAGCGAAACACTCGATTAATTGATTTTGGAGATTCTAGATTTGAAGCTTTCGTGACTGCAAGAATTCATACTCTTAGGTTTTTTTCCAGTAAAGTCACGTAGGTAAAAAATAAATCATAAAAAGAAATAAGAAAAAATAAAAGGAAAAATAATCTTTTTTAATTATTTTATTTCTACAATTTTATTATTCTTCTTGGAAAGAACCAAGAAGATGAATCCCTGCAGTCACGAAAGCTTTAAATCGGAATTTTATTATTATTTATGTTGATTTTTTTTTCCCCTACGTGACTTTACCGAAAAAAACCTAAGAGTATAGCTTGATTAATTGCCAGTCAATGCAGACCATTGCACACATGTTTAGGGTCCACTTGCGTGAGGCAAGCTAGCGTACCCTGGTGGCTTATCGTAGCATGGGGTAGTCGTGAACACTCAATATGCACTGCCGAGCATACCTGAAATTCTATCGCGACCATCGGTGGGGAGACGTGAATGTGATTATTGTCACGTAGATAAAAGGGAAATGTACACGGCTCATTAACCCGTGAAAAATTACGTGCATCTCGTTACTTAAAAATGTCTGCAAAAAAAATAGAGAGAATCAGGAAAATTGCTTTGGACAAACGACGCGTGATGAGCAAGGAAGGCTCACCTTTCATCTCGTGTTGACTCTCTTCCCGTTTCCTTTCCAGATCTTTCCGGTCGTAATTTAATCTCTTGAGGCACATGATGCCATACTGCAGACTTGTCCTGTATGGGGAGTGTGCGTGTGTGTGGTGTGCGTGTGCGCATACACACACATGTGAGCATATGTACACAAAGTTTATGAAATCCAGTTTCGTTATGTCTTTTTTGTTTGTTTTTTTGGTGAAGTTTAAGACGTCAGACATGCTTATATGGGCACTGGGTGGTCAGTGGTCATCTACACTTGCCAGCCCTGAGCCAAAGTGAACATTCCCCAATACTACAGCAAGGACCAAACTTGTTATACGATGCCCATAATACATTACGGAGTGATACATTTAGTTTCAACCGTCAATATAAATCCATTAATTAATTAGTTGAATATACTATGAAATATTTAGCTTTTAAGACACGTGCGTTTCATTTAGGGCATGACACGATCGTGGTAAAATAGGTCACATTTAACAGAATATTACATGTTATTTTTACGTATTAATCCAAGGGCAAGTCTAAAGCCAGCCCAATGCATGGGGATAAAAACACTGCCTGGATCACAGCTTAACCAATGCACCGTCTCATCTTTGTCCTTGTGTAATGACAGTAGAGTCAACCTACGGTATGAGTGGACTAGTGGCCACAGGAGGTAATGACAGGGGAGTCGGCCTGCAGTACGAATGGACTAGTGGCCACGGGAGGTAATGGCAGGGGAGTCGGCCTGCAGTACGAATGGACTGGTGGCCACAGGAGGTAATGGCAGGGGAGTCGGCCTGCAGTATGAATGGACTAGTGGCCACAGGAGGTAATGACAGGGGAGTCAGCCTGCAGTACGAATGGACTGGTGGCCACGGGAATGATCGAGAATAGGAGTGTGGCCAGGTGACGGAAGAGGAAGGTGGAGTCTGCTGGTAGAGCGAGCGGTCTAGAACCAGCGAGAAGGTACGGGAATGGGGGCTTGGCCTCGGACCGTATATAAGGGAGATGTGCGGGAGACTCGGGGCTGGAGCAGTAGAGTCTCCGCCTGTTCGAGTGCGAGCACGTGGCTCCTTAAATAGAGAAACCATCTCAAGACAAGTGCGTCGAAGTCGTCATGACACTTGCACTACTGCCGTTATATTGCTCTTTGTTCTTCAGCAATCCTGCCTAGAATAAAATAAATAAGCAGACAAAACGCCTCCTCCCAAATCTGTCCCTCCAAATACATAAAAATAAGTATTTTTACACAACCCATAGCCCCCATGACCTTCTGGGAGTTATATGTTTTAAATAGCATTGCTATGCTTAAACCAACTCTGGTGAACTGTTTGATGTTTATTGGCAAGGATCCTATCTATTAAATACAATTAATTATATCCTCTGTCTTGTGCTTTTTAAAAATATGAATACACTAATAAATATTAAATGTTTAAATATGAATATACTTTTAATAGAATTACATTGTACTATAGCCTGAACATATGTATATAATCATTATAAAGTGATTCACTCAAGGCGGAGGAAAATCTGAATTGCCCTATGCACATGAATATTGCACATGCCTAGAAGCTGTCGTTTGGTAAATTATTAATTTCCCCAGCATAAACTGCATTCAAATGTGCATTTAAAATCAAGGCCATATGCACCCACACACAGTAACACACGCAAATAAAATTAATATATATTTTTAAATCACACCCGACAGTGATGTACAGTGTGCTGAAATAATTTAAAAACATTTCCGCCAAAAAAATGTGCAAGTCGGATATATTCTTCCTGAGATGTGCACATTAAGAAAGAATAGCGGCAGTTGAAAAACAGTCCTATTATTAGTATTTGATTAAAAACACACAGGCCCTATTGCTTTGGTCTGAATGTAACCACTTTTTATTAAGGCAAAAAAGTAAAATTTATTGAAAATCAACAACAATCGCCTGGCAGCTCCTCGGAATGTAAGAGCGAGATAATTTTTTTCGTGTCATTGTTTCACTTGTTTACCCCAGAAATGCCTCACCGAGTCTCAAAACTTTTCCTGGAGGGTCTTACCAAGTTCTCACATTGGGGGTGATGTTGCTGCTTTGTGTAAACCCAACTGAGTCATTTGAAGGTATATTTTCAGCAGTCCGACGTTTGGCCAATATGAGTTATTTTAATTTATTTTAGATGGCGCGACTCCCATTATAATTTTAGATTTGAAGCTTTCGTGACTGCAAGGATTCATATTCTTAGGTTTTTTCGGTAAAGTCACGTAGGTAAAACTATTAAAATTAATAAAAATAAAATAAAAATCACGACGTTTCGGAGGCAACACAAGCTTCCGTCTTCAGGTGGAACCGTCACAGCACGATAGCTGTATCAAGTGAGAGAAATTCCAAGAATTATAAATTTCCAACCGATGATAAGCCACTTCATTGAGCGATTCATTGTAGCCAGGTCCCTACTGAAAGAGAACTAACAGCTAAGTGGGTTTTAGCTACTAAAATATAATAGTTTTTGTTTATTTGTTTTTAGTGATTTGCTTACCTTTTCTATACTTTGCACTCATATCGTGTTTTTTACTATTTGTTTCAACTTTCTGACCCGCCTCTGCTGGACATCTGTGAAACAGAGTTTTATAAGCTCATCGATTTCTCCGATGAGAGGATAAATAAAGATTCTGATTCTGAAAACCGAAAACTTGGAGGAAACTCATGCAGAACAAGGGGAGAACAATCAAACTCCACTCAGAAAGGCGCCCTAGTTGGGAGCCGAACTCGGGGCCTTGTTGCTGTGAGGTACAAGTACTACCACTGTGCCACTCAATGCTGCAAGTTGTGTGCAATTTTAGCAGGCTTTTACTTCCATTTACGTGGGACAAACGGTTTGTCTTACATGTCCTGATTTTTTTTTTACATATATGCTACGTAACCATGTGTAATGTTTTCCAAATTTCAAATTCATAAATTCTCAGGACAGTCTACTGTGCGGTAAAAGCAAGATGTGTGCACAAGATTATTTTAAACTAAAAACATGACCTCTGCACGAGGCTAAAACAAACGCTGCGCCGTGCGCATGTATTATGCATTAAAAGGCTGAGACTATTCCAATGCAAACGTTGTTTTTACGGCACAGTTTTATTGCACGCAAATGTGCTATTCACTTTGCACGTAAACGAAATATCTTGGGTCCAGGCTATAACATAAGCTATGATATATTTACTGTCTAGGAACCTATGGGACCACAATCTTAACAAAACTCACGTGGCTGGCTTAGTTGCACAATTGAAATTAAGTCTACGCGCTCCTGTATCGTCTTGCATCGTTCCTGGTTTAAGAAATCATTAATTTACACACACCGGTTGCAACGGGTATACACTGTCCGCTCGAATGCTATGCACATGCGAGAGATCACAACCCACCTTCATACCACTCTTCTCGAGCTATTAACATGATTGTCATTCTCGTGAACTTCGCTCGTTGATTTCTCTACCCAGGTGATGGACTCTGTTCACCAGACTTTCAAAGCTGGCCCATCTACCATGTGTTCCACCACCAACAACAACAACGACCGCCATTCGCCACTAAGTGGCGGTAATGTCACCCACGGTGCTTGTGCCAGGCGATGTGCACGTTGAGGCCATGTGAAGTGTTGAACGCCCGGTGGCAGGGTCGACTGACTGAGATGACTGGCCGATGCACCACCTGTGTTCCACCACCACTACCAACATCGGAGGTAAAATCAAGCTTCTTTCTCTGCTTTTCCCCCATCCACCGCTTCACACTTTGGAATTCGGCACCATGGTAATTTTCCACCCAAGTTCACGTATGCAGGGAGCCTTTAGACCTGTGCTTAACAAATCATGATTTATTAAATAATTATAATTTAAGACAGTGAGCAGATGACGGTGTGAAAGGGGCCCTTCGCCAGTGTTCAACGGCACAAAGAGATGTCTCGATGCGTGTGAAAGGTGAGAATTAATTGTTTCGAGTGGCCCGGTGTTTGAAAACGGCTGGGAACGCCGAGGAGGGGAGCTTTGTCCGTAATTACGTTCTCTCCCCCTCCTCCCTTACACACCCCCCCCCCCCGCCCCTCTAAAATTATCACCTTCATCAGAATTTCCTTTATGTGCTCAGTTAGCCCATGGAAACTCAATGGAAATTGTGCCCTGGGGATGAATTAACGAGATGCATCGGTGGGAAAAAAGGTGGGATGTAAATTAATAATTCACCGCGAGATGCATTCTAATTGCTGCTAAGCAGCGGGCAGGGGTTGGTGGCCACTCGGAACTGGGCCCTCTCCTAAGAGTAATGTTTTTGGACAGAGTCCCTTTCGGCACAAGCGTCATGCACCTGCGTTTGTGAACGCAAACTTGGCAAATGTACACTGCAATGCCAATACAGGAAAAAAATTGTATCCTCCATATTATTAGTATTATTGTATGCAAATGCATCTGTAAGCAAACACACAACCATTTACTTCCTCACTCACCCAAACACCCACCCAACTCGATCATCACCAAGGTCAATCTTATACTGAGACTATCCTGTTGCTCTCTTGAGTTACCACCTGGTAAACAAAAAAAATCTACTGAAAACTTGAACTTGCTCGCTCACTCATCTTAATCATTCACTCATTCACCATCTCATTCAATCACCCACTCAATGTAGGGATGTTCCCATGGTTAGCACACTGGACTTGCAATCCAGAGGTCACCAGTTTAATCTGCCAGAACGGGAGTTGAAACAATGATGCAAGTTCCTTAAGTCCCCCTGCCTCTGTCTGCTCAGCAGTACAAGTTGTGAACACCACAGTTCTTTCGGTAAAGTCACGTAGAAGGGAAATAATAAAATAATAAAATAATACATCTTTTTATTATTCCCCTTCTACGTGACTCTACCGAAAGAACCAGGAATATGAATCCCTGCAGTCACGAAAGCTTTAAATCGAAATTTAACCTATTATCATATCTTGGTACTGGCAAAGGGGAGGTCCCACGATGTTTCTAGGTGGGCTCGGGTTGGTGGTTGACTCTGCCCATCATCCTCATGGGACACTTCATTAAACCAGAAGTTAACAAAGGAGGCTGACAAGTTAGACTTAACATGAATAAGAACTTAAATTTCGATATAAAGCTTTCGTGACTTCAAGGATTCATCTTCTTGGTTCTTTCGGTAAAGTCACGTAGAAGGGAAATAATAAAATAATAAAATAATACATCTTTTTTATTATTCCCCTTCTACGTGACTCTACCGAAAGAACCAGGAATATGAATCCCTGCAGTCACGAAAGCTTTAAATCGAAATTTAACCTATTATCATATCTTGGTACTGGCAAAGGGGAGGTCCCACGATGTTTCTAGGTGGGCTCGGGTTGGTGGTTGACTCTGCCCATCATCCTCATGGGACACTTCATTAAACCAGAAGTTAACAAAGGAGGCTGACAAGTTAGACTTAACATGAATAAGAACTTAAATTTCGATATAAAGCTTTCGTGACTTCAAGGATTCATCTTCTTGGTTCTTTCGGTAAAGTCACGTAGAAGGGAAATAATAAAATAATAAAATAATACATCTTTTTTATTATTCCCCTTCTACGTGACTCTACCGAAAGAACCAGGAATATGAATCCCTGCAGTCACGAAAGCTTTAAATCGAAATTTAACCTATTATCATATCTTGGTACTGGCAAAGGGGAGGTCCCACGATGTTTCTAGGTGGGCTCGGGTTGGTGGTTGACTCTGCCCATCATCCTCATGGGACACTTCATTAAACCAGAAGTTAACAAAGGAGGCTGACAAGTTAGACTTAACATGAATAAGAACTTAAATTTCGATATAAAGCTTTCGTGACTTCAAGGATTCATCTTCTTGGTTCTTTCGGTAAAGTCACGTAGAAGGGAAATAATAAAATAATAAAATAATACATCTTTTTTATTATTCCCCTTCTACGTGACTCTACCGAAAGAACCAGGAATATGAATCCCTGCAGTCACGAAAGCTTTAAATCGAAATTTAACCTATTATCATATCTTGGTACTGGCAAAGGGGAGGTCCCACGATGTTTCTAGGTGGGCTCGGGTTGGTGGTTGACTCTGCCCATCATCCTCATGGGACACTTCATTAAACCAGAAGTTAACAAAGGAGGCTGACAAGTTAGACTTAACATGAATAAGAACTTAAATTTCGATATAAAGCTTTCGTGACTTCAAGGATTCATCTTCTTGGTTCTTTCGGTAAAGTCACGTAGAAGGGAAATAATAAAATAATAAAATAATACATCTTTTTATTATTCCCCTTCTACGTGACTCTACCGAAAGAACCAGGAATATGAATCCCTGCAGTCACGAAAGCTCTAAATCGAAATGTAACACCACCGTTATTTGACTGGACCAGCAGGTCGCACGTGATGGGGGTTACACCTCTTCTAAGTCGTTTGGCCAACGTGGAAAAAGTAGGCCAAAGTACCCTGCAGGGGGCTCTACTGTGCTCCTCCTATTGCTGGACCTTCCGCCAGAAGTGACGTGAGAGCAAGCAGTGGCAGGGCTGCAGCTTTATACTCGCTACCTTTTACAAAAGGGACCTTTTCTTCCCCCATGGAGAGGGGCAACTAAAATCTCCCGCAGCTGCACTGTGATTTAGCATCCATGTGGTGTGGACCGACAGTCGATCAGTGAAGTAGGGGCCTTCATTCTGCTCACTATAAACTTCAACCAACTTAACAAACATCAGTCCTGAACATTGGAGAGCTATGCCAATGCAAGAGAATGTGATGCATATGAAGGCGATATATGTTGCCACCTGTTGTTAACACACATTTGTTCATGGGCTGCCACTGAAAGTGTATTTCATGGTAAGAATTAAGTAAAAATATGTTTTAGTCCTTTATCAATCTGTGGGAAGAAGGCCTCCCCATGCCGTGTCGGTTGTTGGGGTTGTTTGACCATACTTCACCGCACTGGTCAGTGCAAGTTGAAGCGCAGGAAGTGGGGCCAGGACCTGTTAAGGTTATCACTCCCATAATGACATGGCAAGAAATGGAATTCAAGGTTGGTGGGTTGATAAAGCATTGAATTAACAAAATAATTACTGAGGGTATTTTGCTCTCAGGGTGATGACTGTTGCGCTCAATGACAATTCCATGTGAATGTCCACTTTTTGGAGGAAAAATGCGCACCACTTTGTGGGAATTCAATGGTGGTGGTCCGGACTGTAAAGAGACCGGCTCCCATCATGAGAATGTGAAATATCCTCGACTGGCTCAGGACCACAGAAACTGAGATGAGCGTCACTCTCCATTGCGTTTTCGCGTTATACCACGGTGCTGGGAGCTTCTGCAGGAGTAAAACCTCAGAGTTTTTCGAGCAACACACGGCAAACAAACGAGGATACACCAGACAGCTATACAGCACAAACGTGAATACCGACACACAAGGGACGAGCATCGCCCCATTGCTCGCTTGAGCAGGGAGACACTTAGGCCTGCCTTTATGGCGGACAGTGAACGTCGTTAATGCCTGGACAGCTGTCGCCAGATTTCCATTCTCAAGCAAGTGAACTGGCTCAAGGCGGGCGCTGCCGACTCTTCAGATATCCAGCCGCTTTAGAGTGCGAGGCAAGGCAGGCGAGTGCCTTGCCCGTCCCATGGTCTCTCGCTCACCGGTGGAAGCTGTCGACCATCTTGAGCTGGCCCCGCAGGTCCTTCTTGGTGAGGTGGTCGAGCATGCGTGCGTCCACCAGGCACTCCATGAAGTAGCTGCGGTACTGGGGGAGGCCCAGGCTGGGCAGCCACTCGTTGCCGATCCACTCGTGGTTCATGTCTCCGTACGCCAGCGTCTGGGCGAAGAGGCATGCCAGCACGCAAGCACGCACCGAGCGAAACAAGTACGCACGACACACACAGCACGCGCAGGAGCAGAGGTGGCAGGGGACGGACGTGGATGGGCACGCGCCAAGATACGCAGCCGCACGTGCACAAGCGATGTCACGCGTGTCGAGTTGAGAAAGCAGAGCAACAGGAAGCGTGAAATGTACAGAGAAGCAACACGCACACGTACACAAGCACACACGTACACACATGCACGCACACACACACACACCATTAAACCCATCCTTCATTTTTTTTCCAAAATTAAAACATGTAGACATCGTTTAAATGCCTGCATAAATATCGTAAATATTTTCACATGTAGTTGGCTCCTCATTCCTATAGAGCCAAGATAAAGCAATAACCTGGATGTAAATAATAAATATATACACACAAACACACACACACATCTTCGAAAAAGCCTATTTATTAGGGAGGTTCATCATGTCCTCATCTCATTAAGATGCTAATGTAATTTAAAATTGTTTGCGTCATGCATGCGCAGCGCTCCCAACAATAACCAGGTCTGCCGTTGACAAGTCTAAAAAGTTTGGGGCACAATTTATTAATGCAATAAAGCACGGTGGGAAATAAACTAGAAACCCAACACCATTTCTGAATTGAAAGCGGTGATTGCGCTTTGGAAATTTTAAATGCAAAATTATTTCCCAGTCTAACAAGATGCGCATTAATTTTGGAGTCTCAACTCTAAAACCACAATGACAAGTTGAAAGCAATTGGTTTTTTTTTTGGTCACGTGTAACATAATTAATTGGCCCTGAAGGCATTTTTTTTGGTTCCAGGCTCGATTGTCAATGCATATAATATTACACACCCGCGCTCCGGGAGTTACAGCTCCACAGTGACATGAATGCATGTGTGCGCGCACACCACAACTCTTTAGCAAACACAAACGGGACCATCGTTAACCGGGGAAAAGAAAAAAAAAACCCGAGAAAAAATTACTTCCGACCATCTTCGTCAATAACGGTGTCTTAAAATGAGTCCGCGTCGCCACCGCTCTCAGTGACCTACGCAAGTCGGGCATGGTGAGGAGCCCATTTCTCTCCCTTTCCCACTCCAACCCGTGAGCTCTGCGTTCGGGGATTCTGCCCGCGGAAATTTCTGTTTCCCCCTTCCCTTTTCATTGCTCGCATTCTGTACCGGGCTCTTGCCAAATAACAAAAACAATTAAAACCAAAAGCAGTGTCTTAAAATGGAATATATATTAATTTGGCGACGTTTCAAGCAACGGCACATTTCACGTGCTATGAATAAGAGCCATTGCCCAAATCGTTGCCCGTTTATATATTTTCTCTTTCAGGGGCATAGTGTTATTGACCAATATATAGGTTTTTGGGTTAGTTTTTTGTAAATATAAATTTGTTGTTGAACCCGCCACCACCCAACACAGCCAATTAGTAGGGTTTGTCACGTAGACAAAACATGCCAATTCGTTACTATTACAGCACATGGGCATGTTGCAGAGTAAACCCACAACAATTACAATTCGAGTACCGCGACGTTTCGCCGGCAATTAAAACAGCCAGCATCATCAGGCGACAGCCAGAGTAGTGGAGAAATCCTCTTGTTTGACGCTTGCGTTTGAGTTTTTGTTGTTGTTCTAAATGGTGGTTGTGCACCCAATACCAACGCAGCATGACCATGTAATTGCTATTACCTGCCTCTGGTTACCAGTCGAAGCAGATTTATTTTTCCAACTACAACTGAAACTCGAGTGCCCAAACCAATATGCACATATTCATATGCATATTTGTAAGAGCATGAATACATTTTAGGAACCTTTTGCAACAATTTATTTTAATTTATATTTTTAAACTACAGTATAATGTCAGGCCCTATGATTTATTTAAAAAATACACTTTTTTTTGTTCAAACAGTATTTCTAGATTTTATTTTCAAGACCTGATATTAATTTACGTTTCATGGTACGAGGTCAAACAAGATTGAACATTACAAAATTGCTTTCATAATACAAGAGAGAATGCATATATTTACGCGATCTATCCCCAAAAACCTCTATTATGGATGACATTGGTCGCGAAAGCCTACGTGTTATACCACATGTGTATTCATGCAGGCATACCTCCTGAAACTTTAAAAGCAATACACAAATGCGTTTCTTGGCAGTGATTCTTCACAACAAAAACTAATAATAATAAAAAGGAATCTGACATAGAAACTCAAATAAAATGTAAAACATCTAGGAATGTTAAAGTCCTCGTTCACAGCACTTAGCGAACAGTGGCTTGCAGGTGGAAATAACCACACATCTTGTGGTAGTGGAATTTACACTAAAAATTCAAACCGGCATACGGTTATTCTCTTTTAAACGGCGCTTACATTTTTTAAATCATTGATATACTCTAATCTTAAAACACACTCTTTCAAAGCTATTGTATTGATTGCCGGTGGGCCCAATTCTACCAAGCCCTTAGCTTGAAGGTGCTGAAACATTGCAGTGGGACAAATGAATTAACTACCCCTTAAGAATGTTGTAATTGGATCACCAAATGTTCAAACGTTATAGAAAATTTCCATTATTAAACCGTCTCGGCAAGTTCTGCATTACCTTCAAAGGCAATTCGGATGACTACTTTCAAAGCAGCCTACCCAAATCCCTGCCGAATACACACCTCCAAGCACTGTGCATTTGACCACGGAGGACAGGCCCACACAGCCTGGCCTCACGAAGGAAACGTTCACTTTGATGAGCGCGGTGCGCTACGTACGGCGCGAAAGAAGATCAACACACATACATACGATGTGTGCGTTAAAGTGAGCCTACCTGTGCCCAGCTGCCCTCCTCATCCTCCTGACATTACCGAGGCAGCGATTAGTGCGGGCGGGGAAGAGCGACAGAAAGGCGTGAGAGGGCTGGAAGGCAGAAGCTGGTCACCCACAGTTGCCAGAGTCGAAGAGCTCATTTGAAAACACACGGAGTTGGGGGGTTGCCACCTCCGAGGTACAAAACAAACCAGGGCGTATCATGGAAAGAAGAATATCCCACAATATCGGAATAGGGGAGTACTGCATTCATATGCACTGACTGGAGTGGTGTATTGTTACGTAAGATTTCTTAGGAGAGCTACCTCAAACCGAGGACAATCCTCGGAAAACCATGATGGGGTGGCAACCCTCGCACTGCCAGCGCATATACGTTCGTTTAGGAATTGGCATGCCGCTCGTTAAACCCTTTCGCCTAGCAGCGGATGAAATACAATCAACGCATGCTCATTACATCCACTGTTAGGCAGACCGATTGAGTGCACAAGGTACCAGTGTCATGCATTTTCAAGCGAGATCTTGCGTGGCTCTGCAAGACGACAACATCGCAAATGAATTCTGAAACTCAGAGCAAGATTTCAGTGACACGTGATATTATCACAAAATAAATTGGCACCACGAACAGGTGTTTAAATTAGATCAGAGGAATTGGTCAGTCCAGCTTATTTCTAGACGCACGCACATAATCGCGGAATTTTATGACTACAGTCAGTACAACTCTCTATAAAGGAGCCTTACATAACTTGACTAAGTGACAATTGCTATCTCAAATTAGTTTCCAGGGCAGAAAATTACCCTTATAATTAAAATAGCTATACTTGGCTTTATGCAATTTAAATATACTAGGAAGGATAAGATAGCTTAGAGACAAATAACACAAATAACATTGCTGTGGTTAGTATTTGTCACGCCAAATGACTGTAAAATAACACTTACAAATAACATTGCTGTGGTTAGTATTTGTCACGCCAAATGACTGTATTTTAATACTTTTGATAAATGCACGTACTCATGGAAGAACGCATGTGCAACAGCAATATTACGTGGTTCTAATGCCATCTCAGTTCATGCCAAATGCTGCAGCCTGATACAATCAAACACAAAACACTGAAACTATTGGCCTCTTATAAGAGTTTTTGCGATAAAGCAGCAGCAGAGGCCTGAAATTCACACGAGCATTTGAATCTCGTGGGAAAAGTATAAAAGTTGACATTTGAAAGTTGACTGTTGTTGTTTCATGAAAGAAACCGATGCCGGCACCGATTGTTAACTCAGTCTGTGTTAATATTCATCGCCGATCTTTAAGCGTACGTATTCCTTGCAAGGCCGTAGCCATGGAGTCAACATTGGGGGGGACCAAATCTTCCAGGGGGTCTGGGGTCCCCCCCCAGAAAAAATAATATAATTTTTAAAACGAATTTCCTGCCTAAAATATTTTAAAATGCACTAACACATAGGATTGACTTTTTATTTATATTTAACAATAATGTCTAATGGTGTATTGTATTACATGGCTCTGTTTTTTTTCTTTTTGACCTTTTCTTGTTTCATTGCATGTAATGGCAGAGATGAGGGATTAATAAAGTACAACCAAAACCACAATCATATGAACAGAAATCTATGCATTGTTATATGAAGACAAGTCCAGATATTGTGGCCAAGGTTTAGCAAATTGTTGTTTTTATTTAAATAGCATAGCACATTTAAAAACAAATATTGGGGGGGACATTTTGAGCATATTTGATTATATATTATAATTACGGCATTGATTCATTTTACAGAGCATGGAATGGTATAGAACGTCCTATAGGTAAAAAATAAATTGTGGAATTGAAACAAATCATGTAATCTTCCTAAAGGGCTGTGAATATAAATACTGTAATTCCATCAGGACCATGTAAGATTCATTTGCAAATTCTTAGATGAAGATGTTCTTGCAAAGGAGGTTTAAGAGTGTTTCGGTGAAGGGCTTTATTTATATATATGAGAATAACACAAAAGTTTAATTCCCTTATCCTTAGGGAGGACACATCATTTCCCCGCTTAATTGGTTCCCCCACCAGCACTGAATAATGATCAGATGGAAAACAGTATATTCAGATACAATGTTCGTACAAAATAACGTCAAAACGAATCTGGTATGAAGAAAACAAAGTTGCCGTTTTTGTCTCGGAGCAAGAAAAATAACTATGGGCAAAATAATGCGGAGAAATGTGGGTTTTTATGACTGCACATTTCTTGGTACATTGCCTCGAAATCATCACTCCCTTTCAAAGCTGCAATTGAACTACATCTCACTGTTTATGGCTTAGAGCGATTGATTGGATGCTTAAAATGGTAGGGCCCACACACAAGTCTTGGCACCATTTCCATCTGCAATGAATATTGGCCAGACTACAGTCAACATCAATATCCTATTTGAATATTTCACAAATTAGATTTTGAAATTCCCGTAGGATTTGTAAAAAAAAAGATATATGTAAAATCCATGTTCTTTTCTTTCCAGATGCCTTTGTGTAACGTTTTCATGCATGATGCACTCATCCATGTGTTTTTTTAAGAATGGTAGACGGAAATAAAAAACAATATTTGTTTATAATAATTGTTTTTTTACCCTTTAATCTGGCAAAAAAACTGACACCTTTTTTACAAGGAATCATGTTTGCATTGACCACAATACCTGTAGTTGAAATTCAAACAAAAAACACAACTCTGATAATATATGCACTGTCCTTGAAATTGATTGGTCCACAACCGAGACAGCTTTCTTTAGAGCCTAGTCTCACATGGTGTTGGACCAGATGACGCCAAAAGGCGCACAACCCAAAGACAATGCACCATCAGAGTATGAGAGCTCGGGGTAAGCATTTACACCATTGGTACCTCATTTTTTTGTTTGCATTCCGACTGCAGGTATTGTGGTCTATGCAAACATGACTCCTTGTAAAAAAGGTGTCAGTATTGTTGCCAGATAAAAGGGTAAAAGAAACAATTATCTTATGTTGCTACTGGCAAATGAGGTTCCAATGGTGTCAATATTTGTTTAGTTCATTGCTGACAGAATCGCTTCCTCCAGGAGGAGCACGAGAGGGTAACGCCGGAGGGTAATTTGGCAAATAGCATCCAATTCTTGGAAGAGGCGAGAGTACTCACACTTTACCCCACCTCGCATCACCTCTCAATCGACTATCTGTGGTGAACCCATTTACACTGCAGGGGGGAGTAAGGTGGTGGAGTTTTTTCAAAGAAACCTGTCCCATTTTGGGACCTCCCTCGCCAATATCAAAAAATTACATTTTAACACCTGATTTATTGCCAGAAAGGGTAAAACCTATTCTTGTAACTTGCCCCATTGTTTCAATTGTTTCTACTGCCACACTGTGAGACCGGTACCCGGTGGGGGGAGTAGAATGTCAATTTACTTGTGTGGGATAACTAATCAGAGGACGTGAATGCCATCGATTAAGCTGAACATTCTAAACTATTGATGGTTTCATTATTTTAACGTTTCAGCGGGAAAATTGGAATGATTAATACCCTGGCAACACAGCCTCAACATGACGATGCTTTAAGGACATTGGACGTTTTGATTCTACATTGTTTAGAACGTTGGACTTTTAAGTGCAGCATTTGCTATGCACAGATATTTGAAAATGTTTGCTTGTTCCCAAAGGTGTGCGATACAACATTCCTAATCGGTGTGGGAGAGAGGAAACTATGCATATAGAGTATAACGGAAAACATGCTTGTGTTTAAACACATTTCAAACAACACAATGCTGCTTACTGGTAAAACAAAACACTCGTGCAGCACACACAGAGCATGCACCACGGAGCACGGCACAGGCAGCGTGCTCCTGCGAACAAAAGGGGGACCCCATTGCAGCAGGCAAAGGCAGCTTTAGAGGGCATGCAGTTTAAAAATCGGACGCACGACATCGCAGCCGAGACAATCGTGAATACAATCGGCAGGAGAATATCACAGAGATTACCAAGTCAGGTTCAGAGCAACGAAGCGCGTACAAGCCGCTTGAAGAAGAACCCAACGAGAATCGGATTTAAGCAAGAGCTCTAGAAAGTTAGAATGTGACGAGCGATTGAGTGCCTGGCACCTTGGCACGATGAGTTACTGAAATGACAGGAATCCACCAAGTATAACTTTTCAAGGCAGCCCAGCAGTAGTGGTGCTTCGAATTAGGCACAAAACGCTTTCTCTGGTAAATTCTCACGCCAAGAAGTCGTTCAACTAAACAAAGTGGAATGAAACGTGTGTTACATAAAAGCGGTGTATGTAACCACGAAGTTTAAAACATAAGCAAGTAAAAAGACTGAAAGTGAAAAAAAATAGAATCTGGATAGTGGTGGGAGGTGACGAGATGACAGGAGACGGACAAGAAGTGGTGAGGGCAGTGGAGAGAGAGAGAGCGAGATGGGTGAGAAGTGAGAATGAAAAATGCATGGGAGTTGCAAAGAAGGAGACAAGATAACAGCAGTCGAGCAGAGTGGATAAGCCGAAGAGGGAGAGCGACGGCATACGACCGGGCGAGCGCGCGCGCGCGCACGCCAGAGAGAAGGCCACGGTGAACGGGACGGTCGAGCGAAAAGGGGCAAAGCTCAAGTTGCCTCGTAGAGGGGGTGGTCAAGGAGGAGGAGCGTGTGGCGGTCGAGGGTAGGAGGAGGACGCGGCGGCGCAGCACTGACCGCTCGTGCGGCCGCCGCCAGCGTCTCTATCTCCTCGTGAGTCATCCACACATTGCCTGTGGTCTGAGGGGGAGGCGGCCGACCGACACACGGAGGCCGCAAGGGGAGAGAGGGCAGAGTGCAAAGCAGAGGGTTAGCACGGCGTCGAGCGGGCACCGCAAGCGAAAAACACGGGTTGCATCGCAAGCCACCGGAGCGCCGGCCTAGAGGACAGAGGTGCGGGGGGTCAGCGTACTCGGAACGTCTGCTGCAGGAGCACTGCGTGCTTGACGCTCCATGGCGGCGTGTGTGTGTGTGTGTGCAGAAGGACCAGTTGTGGCATTAGCCTGGGGGTGATGCCGAAATGATATGACGGATGTTCAACTCTGTGGCATCTCTTTCACTAAATCTTAGACAGAATCAATAAGAAGACTGCGATGTCGATTCCAATGCTGTAATAATGGACTGTTTAGCGATGTAGTTTCATTTTCACATTCTTTTTTTAAATCAGGAAAGTTGACGGGTGTGCATTTTAACATCTGTAAAGCTACGCTTGCAGGAAGATGGGGGCAGGGGGGAAAATCGGGATAAATAGTCGTGAAAGAATGCGTCGTTGAGTCAAGGCTTTTTGAGAGGGTACTGCTTGGGATGTTCGGTCACTTCTTTGACCAGTTCTTGCTGTTTAGAAAAATTGCCTCAAGAATAGCGACTCAAGTTAGGAAATGCCTTTCAAATTGTACACATGCGGCAAGTCCTCGGTTAATGTGTGTTCACACAACGCGTTTCCACTTTAACGCGCTCCTTCCATTCGAGGAACGCTTTTCAGCGCAACGCATAACGCCTTTTGTTGACGACTAACTACTTTCTTGAGCTCCGCGGCCGAGCAGTGCGGTAGAGTACGCGGAGTGATACGGTACGTGGCGGCGTACCCCCATCTCGGTTCTTTGTCCCGCCACGGGACGACTGCAGGCTGAAGTGACAGAGCAAATGCCATTCAGCGCGGCAACTCCACGCCTATCGCGCGGTTTTTGCTTCGCGCGGGACCTTTCAGGAACACATCTCCCGTGTTAAATGAGAGATTACTGTACAGGTTGTCACCCTACTCTTCACATGTCTTGCTACAGGCACCATGCTATGATGTAGGTGGGTGTCCCTACACAACATCATTCAATTCAACCAGAGGCACAAAGTTTGTGCATTTCACATCAGTCGTTAATAGTACACTCCGGGTGTTGATCGTTGATTAGGGCACCCCATTCCTTTGTCCTCACTGCCTATGAACAGACTTTCTCATACAGGACCAGAATGTAACAATTCAATCATTGGCCATAGTGAGGTGTTCCTGCAGCAGCAGCAGCAGCGATAATCTGTCTCTGACTGTGAGTAATACCAGGTGCTGTGAGAGATGATGCGAGAGACGGTGCTGTGTTTCCACGAAACACTGGGAATGCTTCAAACTTGATTTGAAGCTTTCGTGACTGCTGGGTTATTCTCTCCCCCTGCCGCTGCGGGGTGGATTTCCACACAGCTCTCTCATTGACATGCTAATGTCTCTCCTCTCGCAGACCCACCTCTCTCTCTCTGCTCCAACCCAACCCCCCTCCTCTCTATTTGAGGCCACGACACAGAGGCATTGGGTCTCTGTGTGTCTATGTTGTGCGTGTCTCTCTGTGTCTGTGTGTCTCTGTGTGTCTATGTTATGTCTCTGTGTGTCTATGTTGTGTGTCTCTCTCTGTGTCTATGTTGTGTGTCTCTCTCTGTGTGTCTATGTTGTGTCTCTCTCTGTGTGTCTCTGTGTTGTCTTTCTCTGCTTGTGTGTCTGTCTGTGTGTCTCCGTGTCTGTGTTTTATCTCTCTCTCAAATTTAGTTCTAGCTGATGACGATTGCATGCGTTGCAATCAAAACGTCGTCTTCTATTATTTAATTTATTTTCTTTCTACGTGACTTTACCGAAAGAACCAACGAGTACTGGGAATGGTACCAACTTTGGTACTCAACCTGAGAACCCCAAAACAAGCGGACTTGGTTACCCAGGCTCACGAGCTCACCGTCACGTGAAGGAAGCTGCAACAATTTTAACCCGGCTGACAGGACCATCGTGACATTGTAGTGACATCGTAGTGCACCTCCGATTATCACGGTTGGCTATGCACGGTGTGAAAGAAGTTCAACATACACACGTGCAGACATAGTGTCACTGTGGAAAGGGGATGCGTGGTCACTTAGTCCAACCTCAAGGCCACGTGTTGGTTAAAAGCACGCGGTGAGAATTACAAAAGAAACGAAATGTTAGCTCGGAGACCCCTAGCCTGCTAACACAAGTCTAGGTCAAGCTTTTGAAACTATTTTAAGATCGCTTCCGCATGGCCAATAGCCGTGGAAATGTAGCACGTGTGACCGGGCTGGGTGGTATGAGCCTTAAACAAGTGCACCTGAGTGAGCTAACAACAGCAGTTACACCGGTGACCCATCAGGACTTATTAAACCACAAGATTTATCAGTTCAGTAAAATATAAAAAATACAAACGGCTACCAATAACTCATTGTTTTTTAAAGGAACATTTTAAATCAAATGAGAAATGTTTGCCTATAAAACTGCTGACAACTTGCATGCCATAATGTAAAATTAAAATGTTTTTTACCGGTGCGAATACACAATAACTTATACAAATATAACTACTATGGGAACCGAGGCTGATTCCTTTGGCGCCTAACATTGACCAAACAGCATTATTTATGTTTGGATGAAGCATATAAAACTTATTTATTTATATGGAAATTACATTTTCCGATGTGGAGTCACCACAATTCAGCGGTTTGTAAATCATCTTTGGATTAAAATATTGTCCCTGTAAAACACTACATGCTACGCACCCTCGAGAACACGAAATCGATTTGCAGAAATTTTCATTTTCGCGTCCGAGGGAATAAAATTCAATTAACCCTTAGAAGAATCAGTAATTCCCAGCTACGCTTAGACTGGCTGTAAGATTTCACTTCAGAGACCGCCAAGATGATAATTTTTGCACTCGCAGGTCAGACGTGCAGATTATGTTCATGGACAGAGACCCATGGGGAAAATTATGAACTTGTCGCCAATGACTAGGCAGAAGCCGCATTGCTTCGCCGCTATTTGACGACAGCCGTCCGCTCACGTCAGTGAATATTTCCCGTTTGATCATCCTATTGCCCCTGCGCCTGTGTGCTGTGGCTTTAACGGCTGACAATATATCTCAGTGACTTCCTTTTAACAGGGAGCTAAGACTCAAACTGCATATACAAGCCTGAATGGTAATGTGCAAAATGAAACCCATGCATTGGGCGTTTCTGTTGGGATTTAGCAGTCTCCCACCACCCCCACCCCCATTAGACACATGCCACAGCGGTCGTTAATTTGCATGTTCAATTGTAAGTTCAAATCTGTCTAACTAAATCAACTCTAGCCTCCCGTAGTTCACATAACTTCTGTGCGGCCACTCCCCTCTCCCCGCCCCCTGTGAGAACAAACGCTGCTCCGCGTAGCCCAGTCACGCTTGTTCGTTCCTACTCTTTCCCTCCTCTTCCCTCCCCTCCCATCGCTGACATCTTGGCCAAGTCATTCCTTCTCACCCCCTTTCCCTTCCTGCACCGGCAATCCTCCTTGCTTCCTGCTGCTCATCTTGAGCCGTGGCCTCTTTGTCCGTCTTGGGGTACGTCCGTCCCGCACATCCCTTCCCTGCTCATCTCGCGCCGACTCTACTCCCCTTCCTGGATGTTCCATGAGCCACGAGTGTTCAGATGTAAATAACCTAACACACCACGACAAGCAGTGGAACGCATTGTGAACTCATGGCCATTGCACGCCTATGGGTCTGTGTGAACTCATGTCTAGTGCAAGCTAATGGGTCTCTTAGTGAGTCTATGGTCTCTATATCAATCTATGGGTCTCTATACGAGTCTGAAGGCGTCATGTGAGCCTAATGTATGAATCGCAAAACATTGATTTTCACATGCACACTTTGATTCTTGCATCGTGAGCTTGAGCATCGGTATTAATCAATGAATAGATGCATCGTTCTACCCCTAATATACAGTATATGCAGCATGTATTAATGTTGATTGGTTACTCGCTATGTGAAGATGTGTGGCCAATTTGCCCACGTGAGGATTCTTGCTTGTTTACATTACCATAAATAAACAATTTAAATCATTTTGTCACACCACTGCTTCTTGAAGGCTTCTCCGTGCAAGCTGGACATGGAGGTTGTTCAACCATACTTCACCACACCGGTTGGCGCAGGGCGGTGAAGCGGCGTACAGATATTATTTGCAAGTGACGTTAGCAATGGCCAGCAGTCGAACTCAGACTGCTGGCTGCAAAGTCCGGTGTACAAATAACTGGACCACCGCGCAACCCAGTTTCTAGCAGCCGGCCCACGTATTTGAATTTTCCAAGGGTAGGGATCATCCTTAGGGTTGTGTAACCACCTTCTCTAGAATGCAAAGCAGTAAAAATTGAAGTCTGTAGATGGCTCCACCACCCCCTTGCAACAACAACAAAAAAAAACCCTCTTGATCGATTGACTTTAGTGATAGGTTTTTACTCTTTCAACTGGTACAAAAACTGACACCTTTATACAAGGCATCATGTTTGCAATAACCAGAAAAGCTGTCTCGGGTGTGGACCAATCAACTACAAGGACAGTGCATATCATTATCATCATCAGAGTTGTTTATTTCTTTTTGCATTTTGACTGCTTGTGTTGTGGTTATTGCAAACATGATACCTTTTATAAAGGTGTCAGTTTTTGTACCAGTTGAAAGGGTAAAACCCTATCACTATATTTTGCCACTGGTAAAGGAGATGTCTCATAGCGATTGACTTTATTTAATTGTCAAATGGCTGACGTGAGCCACATTCTCTAAAGACACCATCTTCACGAACGCGTGAGTAAACAGGCTAAAATGCATCTGTATTGTGTACTGTGATGTTCCAGGTGACGTTGGTGAATCCACAGATAATGATTTTAATTGCCAAACGGCTTCAATGGGATCACCTTTAGCCCCAAACCTCACAAAGGTTAATAGGCATAAGGAAGGCAGATGCTTCCTCTGGCTGTGTAATCAGGGGCTGGTTTGAGAAATGGATAGGTAGGAGGACCGAACTGAGCATGTGTCGCGAGAATCACCAAGTCCCTGACTAATTACAAGGGTTACATGGCCGAAGGTCAGGGAGCCATTAGACTGCAAAAAGGGCAAGTCGATAATCAGACGTAACCCTAAACAAGACAGTATTTGACCTCTTCTTAAATGGTCAGTTTGCGTGAAGTATTTCTAGTGAGGGAAGCTGACAGCCGTTGAGAAATAAGGTCAAAGTGGGTTTGATATGGTACCCTAAAGAGTCAAATAGCTTGACCTTCTGAGGCCTTCAAGGTAAGGTCTTTGTTGTGCTAAGAGCTCAGATGTGTTGCATTGCTAGAGACTCGCAGTGTGCTGTAAGCTACCCTATAAACCGCCGTCTTTACGAGAAATCCCCAGGTCATTCAAGAGATCCTTTGCCATGTACTGCGGCCACTTGGGGTCTGATATTTTTGATTTATAGTCCACTGGCACATTTATACCTAATCTACACCTTACATTTCGCAGTTGGTGCTAGATTCAAAGCACAAACAATTATGATATTGTTTACACTGACAAGTAACGTGGCAACACGATAATTGCCAAGTACGGTTATACAACTGCGACTGACTGCTCTGATTGCATTTCCAGATATATATGTTGTGAAATCATGTTACCACGGTGATAGTTCATAACGCCATGGTGACATGTGAAGATCATGTGATGCAGCAATGTACCGGTTGATCAGACCAATCACGGATGTATTACGCAATGATAAGAGGCCCTTCCTGGTTACATTACAAACTTGTGTTGAATAAAAAACATTTTTGTCGAGCATTACGTTTCATAACCGTACTTCATAATAATAATGGATACAATTTTTTTTATTTACAATTTTAATCAAGTCAGTTGATTCTTTAAAATAGGTTAGTGGTTTTATTTATTATGGTACTCTGAAAAAATATTTTTTTCATGATACTCTGAAAATAAAAAACACAAAATGTTATTTACATGAAAAAAATGCACAATTGGAACTACACACATTATATAGTACAAGTCCTTTGCATATGGGTGCGTGAAGCAAGAGGTTTATGCACTCTTCTCTTATCATCCAGACTTTGGATTTCCAGGCATGCACGACATCAGTGGCAAGAGATATCTAAGCCTGTCCTGGGCATCCCCCAGGCAAACTCAGCCTCAACAATTAATATTTGATACATTGTACAACATTGAGAAGGAGGGAGACAGAGAAAGAGGAACAACACAGGGATTAAAGAAAATATGCAGGTTAAAGGCATTATTCAAACTGTTAAGAAAAGTAAGTGGGGCTTGAGGCAGGACACATCACAGCTAGAAGGGATGACGGCCGATGGTGACGAATCATGATAGAGTGGCAGCTAAGGAATTGAACGTGTCTAGGAGGATGTCAATCGAGGAGATGGTGCAATGAAATAAGCTCGTGTGCAGGTGACCTTCATCCGAGAGTGGATTGACTGTGACTCAAGATGACAATGATGACAATGATGTAGAAACATCAGAATTGGGGAGATGCAGGTGGCCAGCCATGGCGTAGGTCTATACCTCCTCCTGCATGTGCTCTGCCGGCCTGAGTAGATGCTCGCTCACTGAAAGCAAAATGCGGGGTCGTTGTGTCTGTGTGTTGGTTCGTGAGCGGGAGCAGTGAGCGAGCGAGCGCGCGCGAGGCACTGGGGCCCGCACTACAACAAGGAGCAGTGCCCGAGCACTTTGGCAGACACCAACGAGACACGAACTAGGCCCCGGCGTCGCTAACGAGCCCTCGGAAGGGACGGGAGACAAGCGAGCGCGGTGCTACCGTGCGTGAGGTGGGTGGCGCCGAGGGGCTGGTGAGCGACACCATCTCCTGGATGGCGAGGCGCAGCTTGAGCCGGTGCAGCGGGTTCGAGATGCCGATCTCGCGCTGGATCTCGGTGTCCGACAGCGCCGACATGATGGCGCCGCTCTTGACGTTGGCACGGCACGCGGCCACGTACCACGCCGGCATGCCCACCCACAGCTGAAACACACGTGCACACGCACACATAGGGACAATAACCACGGCCTTGCTGGCCTGATGCCGAGCCACTTGCTCTGTTGTTAGGATCCTCGCCATGCTCACAGAAAGGAGAGGATGAATATTGAGAGGTGGGGGGTGGGGGTGGGGGGAGGGTAACACGTCGTGATATTGTGGACCGACTGTGGAGAGGATTAGGGGTGTTGTGACACTGCAGTTCTCATATGTTCTACAGGCCACAGTGTGCCTTTTTGTTAACAATGTAATGATCTGCAAGATTAAAATTCATTATTATTACGTTTGTTGTTGCCACTAACTTCAAGGTGTGTGGGGGGTGGGGGTGGGGGATGCAGTGCCCGGATTCAAAATTGGTAAAGAGGAAAGTTTCCTGAGCTCATGTATTTGGCTCTGCAAGGTGGCCGGCTAGTTCAGAGGTCAACGTGCAGAGCTTGGAATTCTGCGACCCTGGGTTCAAATCAAGGCAGTGTCCCCCTGACCAAGTGCAGCAACTTGTTGGTCTCAGGCTGAACACCAGTGACTGCACAAAAACGCATCATATTTTCAATTAAATTTTGTACATCATAAAAAAAAAATTCCAGCTCTATGACAACAAAAATGATCAGTTTGACGATCGTGCGATGACCATTACTCTTTGTGGCAGGGAGGGTAGGAAAGTGCTTCCCCCTTTAGCGTGGACAAGTCATTTAAAAAATATAGATCAGAAGCATTTCTGCGATATTTTTCTACAAAAGACCGTTCTGTGACATGGGGTGGGGATGCCCTGTCAAGAGTTCTGAACGAATCCCTTGTGTCTTGACACGGCTCCAGTGATAACACACTCGAAATAATAATTTGGGAACAATAAATATTTTAAAAGGTCTTGGCTCTGGTCACCTCTGGTAATGGCACACCAAGAGGGCAAATGTCTCCTTCTTTCCTGCCGCCGGTATATACATTATGCTGGGAAGCACCCAAGCTATAAATTGAACCCGTGCAGATTACATCTGCAGCACACCGAGCTGTCGATTTTCTAGAATTAAAATATATTCACAAAAATGTAGTTGAGCGTATTACATTCACCTCTTCATAAGCGTTCCTGGGATAGAATGCCACTTCATATCAAAACAAAATTTACTTTTTGCTGGTGCTTCAATAACACTTGGTCCTAAAGTTTCAATTTCCTGGGTTTCATTGCCTAGTATGTTATATTGGAAAAACAATAAATCTAAATGCTAATAAATTAAAATATGTCAGACGTTATTTGAGAATATCCATGAAAACAAAACTATAAAAAATGTATTATCATAATTGCAAATCCTCAAGAGGACATGTGAAATAGATTTCTTACATAGACCGTAAGAAGTTTACCGACATCCATATTACACAAATCCTGCAGCTATAACGAATGAGCAATACACATTATTCCAGCATTCTCAAACGATTTTCTTTTCAAAAGAATTGCACAAACATGCTTAAAAGTAAAGGGTTCATTTCAACTTCAACTGAGATCCTACGTGATTTTAAAATGACACTGGACACGCGTGTAAAAAAAAACATTTTTGAAATGGAGTGTGCTCATCGCAATAACGTTCCCCCTGACAGCCGGTTAGAAACACATTCCTGCCCATAATAGAATGCCCCAAAAAAATCTTCAATTGCTTTTCCCTTGCAAAATTGTTTTTATATCTGTTTGTGAACATCGGCACCGATATAATCGTGCCTTATCACCGAGTACTGCACAGAATATCCCACAGCTACGGGCCCTACGACACGCTGTGCCAGTACTTTAATTGTACAGAGGGGAGAGATAAAAATACAGATCAGTCGTGAAGCAATATTTTTGTCATCTCTTCGCTACTGCTGCTGCTTGCTGCCTAAAATACAATAAACCAGTAAAATAACGAAATGTACATTGATAATATCTCAGGTGTACAATAAGTCATGTTAAGGGTTTGTAGTAAAATAAACAAATGCAAACTCACCGAGCATTTTTACATTAGCGTGCTTGGGAAAACCGTGTTGCACTTGCTGTTTGTTTAATGTACAGCCCATTGATAATCCACTGCTGGATGAAGGCCTCCCCATGGCCGTTTGGGTCACGTTGATTTCCATTCCTCACCACGCTCATCAGTGCCGGTTGCTTATGGAGGAGTGCACCCAGGACCAGTTTGAACATCAATCGCCACTGATGTTAGCCGTGGCTGGTAATCGAACACAGGCAGCTTGGTTCATCGTGCAGTGTGCCAACCACTGCGCCACGCATACATAGGTGAACGCAAATCAATTGTATACTGATCAAGATTGGACTCATCTTCTTGGTTCTTTCGGTAAAGTCACGTAGAATGGAAATAATAAAATAATAAAATAAAACATTATAAGATAATTCTCACGACGTTTCGGCCACAACGCAAGCAGCCGTCCTTTAAATCGAAATTCAAGATTGGACTGTTATAAAAAAACAGACTTGGTTGTAGCATATTCTTAGGTTTTTTCGGTAAAGTCACGTAGGTACTTTACTGAAAAAACCTAAGAATATGAATCCTTGCAGTCACGAAAGCTTCAAATCTAAAATTGGTTGTAGCAATGGCCTACCCAGGCCCTCACCTGAATATTAGTCCGGTAATCTGGTTATGGTGACCGACGGGATCCTGACAGACAGCTCTTATAGACCACTCAAGAGCTGTTTTTATTCCATTATCTACACTTGCGAAAAATCACATCAGATTACCGAAATTATTTTCAGGAATCCTCCAAAAATTGAAATTCTTAAAGGATTCTATAGTATCCCTTATGGAATTGTATATATGACTTCCACTCATAAATACAATAATCCATTAATATTATTCAACAGAATACCTTTTCAAGATTTTATGAAATAAACAAAGCACTGAACTACATACTGTAAACGGGGCTAAATGATTCCGCAGTGCCACACTATAATCCCAACCATCTAAACTTCAGTGGCGAGTGGTACCTGAACCACCGGTCCAGGGACCCCATCCTTGACCAACTCACACTGACCAGCATGGTTTAGCATGTTCAAATAACCCCTACGACCCACAAAGTGTGGAATGACCTTCATCCTGTACTGACTAAGTACTTTATAATGTATGTATGTTGAACGTCTTTCACGCTGTACGTAGCCAACCACACTAATCGGATAACTATTATTTATCGCATAACTATCATTTACTTTACATATTATATATGCCCAAGTGGTCACCAGATAAAGAAACACTGGCTCCTGCTACGGAAAAGCGGAATTTCTATCTCCAACTCAGAGGGACTGCGATCCCCAAAACTGGTTTGGGCAGGGAGACATTTGACTTGAATGTGCTGTTTATATACTGTTTTTACATATTTAAAAAAAGACCCCCGTATAGCCTCAACAGACAGTTGGGGAAAGTGCTATGAGCAAGCACCTATGAAGGCTGGCACGGCACACGAGGGGGTGGGTGGTCAGCACCACGCCCAATCACCTTTGTCTCTCTGGTGGTGGTGTTAACACTTCGGATCAAGTACTAATTTTAAGACCGAGTCGACCTAGGAGAGGCCCAGGGCTGGTGAACAGGAATCGAACTCGGATCACCAGGTTCATAGTGCAGTACAATAACCAATGTGCTACTGTTCCCCATTACATATATATATACACACACAGACACGCACAAAGAGGGAGGAGGCAATGTTTCAAGAGAAGAAAATTAAAATATCAGTACTTGTATACCATTGTGTATTGAGTGTGTCCAATGCAGTCCTTCAATACCTCCAGAAGGCCGAATTGCAAGGCTATTTTAACGGGATTGCAACATCGTGATTTTTTTACGCTATTCAACTAAGGTTGAGAGTGTTAATGCATTATCCTCTGTCTGTAAGGATAAGCCGACTCACTTTTCACAAGAGTTAGAATGATGCATTTAACCTGTGCGTTCTCTAATGTGTACATTCATCTTCCTGTCTCTCAAAGTAATTGTAAGCGCGCACCTCTCCACGTTTCTAAAAAAACACGTTTTCTTTCCTTTATTGGTGAATATCCATGTCACAGCAGGTCATATTAACAGAGGTGTGGACTCGAGTCATGTGACTTGGACTCGAGTCAGACTCGAGTCAGACTCGAGTCATGAATTTGATGACTTCAGACTCGACTTGGACTTGCATAACAATGACTTTGTCCCACCTCTGAGGTGTGGACTCGAGTCATGTGACTTGGACTCGAGTCAGACTCGAGTCATGAATTTGATGACTTCAGACTCGACTTGGACTTGCATAACAATGACTTTGTCCCACCTCTGAGGTGTGGACTCGAGTCATGTGACTTGGACTCGAGTCAGACTCGAGTCATGAATTTGATGACTTCAGACTCGACTTGGACTTGCATAACAATGACTTTGTCCCACCTCTGAGGTGTGGACTCGAGTCATGTGACTTGGACTCGAGTCAGACTCGAGTCATGAATTTGATGACTTCAGACTCGACTTGGACTTGCATAACAATGACTTTGTCCCACCTCTGAGGTGTGGACTCGAGTCATGTGACTTGGACTCGAGTCAGACTCGAGTCATGAATTTGATGACTTCATACTCGACTTGGACTTGCATAACAATGACTTTGTCCCACCTCTGAGGTGTGGACTCGAGTCATGTGACTTGGACTCGAGTCAGACTCGAGTCATGAATTTGATGACTTCAGACTCGACTTGGACTTGCATAACAATGACTTTGTCCCACCTCTGAGGTGTGGACTCGAGTCATGTGACTTGGACTCGAGTCAGACTCGAGTCATGAATTTGATGACTTCAGACTCGACTTGGACTTGCATAACAATGACTTTGTCCCACCTCTGAGGTGTGGACTCGAGTCATGTGACTTGGACTCGAGTCAGACTCGAGTCATGAATTTGATGACTTCAGACTCGACTTGGACTTGCATAACAATGACTTTGTCCCACCTCTGCATATTAATCTGTAAATTTAAAATAATACATCTGAGGACAAAGGCAAGTTCGACAGTGATATAGAATCCATGTGTGTGTGGTTTTGTGTCCTTGTTCACGTGGCGAATGGGTGGTGTTACCTCCAGCCAAGCCACAACAGTCTGCCCATCCCAGAGGGCAAAGGGCAGGCCCTGTCTCCGGGCCTCCTCCAGTAACTCGTGCCTGGACGCAGTGAACACAAGGGCGAGAGATCGATGTACAATTTGTAAGAGCAACGGGATGCAACAATGGTGTCACGGTTAGCACACTGGACTTGCAAATCCAAGAGGTCACACTGGTTCAATATCTTGACGAGGCAAATGAATGTGAGCATTTCTTCTAGATTTGAAGCTTTCGTGACTGCAAGGATTTGTACTCTTAGTTCTTTCGGTAAAGTCACGTAGGTAAAAAAATAAATTTAAAATTAATAAAAATAAAATAAATCCCCCCCCCACCACCTCCCCAACCTTGGTCCACCCAGCAATAAAAATGGGTACACCACAACAGTGAGTCGATGGGCAGGTCACCATGGCGGGGTCGAGAATTGTGGGTACTTCCACCTCGTCTAAGAATAGTGGAAGACTAGACCGAATGCTTGATTGAGAGAACTGCCTCTTGTGAAGGATCGTTCCGCCGTGAGCGATGGGTGCAAATAATCGGTGACTCCAGTCATAGCCACATGATAACATACAGGAGAGAAGCACAGTTGATGGCGGATGACGCAAATACATTAATGTGTTTGGCTCTGACCTGTAAAATGCACACCAATGTTGGGGTAGAATTTTCTGTGCCCAATTGATAGCATACGCGATAACAAGTAACCAAGACAGTGCCCTGCCATGTTAGCGTCATACCGGGGCATCTCATTCCAAACCAATTTTATACAGATAGACTCAAGTACCATTGAATTACATTTTGTCATTCATCAATGTGCATAACATAATGAGAAATATACAACGCAATAATGAGACTGCTATTACATTAGATAATATTCAAACGAATCTTTACACAATCTCTGTAAATTGTTTCATAGAGATTGGTAAACACAGTCTTTCGAAGAATATGCTTACAGATTGTGGAAGGTTTTTTTAATGAATAGAACAAAGACAAGGATTACAATTATTTGGAACTTTTAAGCATGTAAAGTTTCCATTATAACGCATTGTTAATCGTGAAAACAAATGTTTCAGAGTGAACGTGTTATTACTATACGCACATACGTCTGCTAAAATACAGGCACATTGCAATCTCCATTATTACTTTGATTATTGATGATTCTTATACCTATTTAGTCAGGTCCAGTGAATGTTATTTTTTATCAAAATACGTGACACCTTCCTGGCACAAATCTGCCACCCAGGAAAGCCTCACCGAGTCTCAAGACGTGATCAAAAGTGTTCTGCAAAGTTTTCACAGTCGAGGTGATGTTGACCAAGTGTCGTTCCCAATTGAGTCATTTTCAGCGGAGAGATCGGCTTACGCACAAGATAAAGATGACTTGTGTGCCTTTGCAGAACCATGACGGACACCAGGCAACATCAGGAGCACGTGACCCAGCAGTGTATAGAACACGACTAAACTACTAAGCTATAAACTATTTTTTATTATACCGGGCAAGGCCAACTGGGCTATACATCTCTTTTTCAGAAGCGACTTGGCCACAAATGATAGCCCAATGAAGTGGCTTTATCACGTGGAAATTTGCGAAGGAAAAAAACGGAGGACCTGGAGAAATACCACACGACCACGGGGAGAACATGCAAACTCTCAATATACAATATACAGGTGTCAAGGTGGGGATCGAACCCACGACCTCCTGTATACCAGGCAAGGTAGTTAACATCTCATCACAGTGTTCTCACGTAATTAAACGGCAAGATTGATATTGTTTGCTGATACCACACGTATATAATAATGTTTAACTTTTTGCTCTTTTTATGTCCTTGGAAAAATGTGCTTAATTTAAAATAACCATTAATTTTTATCGATGAAGGCAGTAAAAGAAATACGTTAAGTAAACATGGCACACTCTCACAAATTTAATATGCACTTCCACGAAGCTTAAATATTCGGGTGAAGGTTATTTCACTTGTGAGCTCTCTTATGAATGTTTGTATTCATTATCATGCAGTCGTTGAACTTCATTAAATGTGTGAAATATTAATTTGAAAGCCGACTTCTCCCTCCCGTCTCCGAGTTACACATTGAGAAATGTATTCTCTTGTAACATCCAGTGCTTTTCAATCAGCAGAGACAAACAACTATCAGCACGACTTTCTTTGATCTGGTGACACAAGCAAAAGAAAGAACAGGCAAATCTGTATTGAGAAGTCTAATTATGTAAGCGTTTGACCTTGCAAATTGATACGTGGGTCCTCCATAAGCTCCATTCATATTAGATCACGAGGGATTAAGTGAATGGTAAGATCACTGTTCTTCATAACAGCCTGCAAGGGCAATGAGACAAGCAGCTGGGCCTTTCATTTTAGATAAAGATTTATCGGCCTTAGGTAGTGCCGGTAATGTTATATTGATTAAAAAAATCCCACCCTCTATGCTGCTGTCCATATTGAACAGACTGCCCGAAATCTTTTTTGTAGTCGAGGCTGCGATCCGTCCAGTGATTTACCCATCACTCTCACGGGCAGCGCCAACAGCCCCGCGGCAGTTAAGAACACTGCACAAGTTTTCAAATTATTAAACAAGTCTCGTGTCCATCAAAAGCCAAATGGGGGCCCATAAACGTAATTCAGAATGGACTCTCGCAGCTCCTCCCGCCCAGTCTCAGTAAATGAAACGCTGATGCCCGTACCTCTCTCGCCACACGGCTGGAATCATTAATTAGTGTCTGTGTTGTGATTTTCAGTGCATACGTGCGTGTGCGCGCGTGTGCACATGCGTGGCGAGCAGTAAGTGTTGAGGTTAGCGCGCCGCGCTACGAACCTGGCGACCCGAGTTAGATTCCTGCTCACGGCCAACACTGGGGGCGATTATCTGAAAGGGTTCTGGGTATCCCCTAGGTCGACTCAGCCTCAAATAAGTACCTGGTGCAGAATGTAACCATCGCCACTATGGAGACAAACCTGGCCATGGTGCTGCTCGCCACCCACGCCCACGGGCGCCGTGTGTGTTGGCCTTCATAGGTGCTCGCTAACAATACTTGCCCCAACAGTCTAAGGCTATACGGGGGATCTTTTTCTTTGTCTTTTATGCTTGTGCAAATGTGTCTGCGCGTCTGCCTGCCTCATGGTTTCGCAGTGTGCTCGAAACAAGCAGTACGTTTGATTGCTAACAGGTTCTGCGATGGGAAAAAAAACCCACAAGCGATTGGCTAGAACAAGTGATTGTTAGGTTTGCAAATGAACGTTAAGTTCCTGGTCACAGAAAATGATTGTGGAATTAGCACTCAATGTCTTCACTATAGCACAGTGCATTTGGGTTTAGGGTGGGCGCTGACATTTGCATTTCCTATACCTCTGTTAATGATAGAGAGCATTAGCAAGTTGCAGTTTTAATTCCAGCCACTAAATTAGACCAAACGATCCCACCATTTAATGTGATAGTTTTTTTTATGAGCAATGGACTGCTTTGCATTAATGTTGAACGAAAGGCCATGTCTGTAGATCTGAAAAGAACCTTTCCTTCGCGGCAACAAGATGGAATTCACGATAGGAACCGTGAGATGTTTCATGGTCACATATTAATAAAATAATAAAACAAATTAACGACGTCATTTTTGGCCCTGAACATTAAAAAAAAATCCAAGTTACTTTGACTTTTCTTTTTGTCAGGCGTGAACACCGTTGCAGCACTAAAGTAGAAGCTGGAAAGATTTTCAATGTTTCACTTGCTTTATAAAGGTTGTGAGAACACGATTTGAATGCATGTCATTGGAATAAAAATGCGTGTGGCAAACATGGTTGCTTACGCGTGAAACAAAATTCTTAGTTTGGTAAATTAACAGAGCAGTCACAAGTTTTACTTTTAACAATTAATAAAAACAATTGTGCTGGGTATTCTGGTGTGGCATATTATTTCCATTTCTGAAAACACACCCAAAGCACGTTTCCAGAAAGTGATATCTATTTCAAGGCACAGTGACGAGGCACTCTACACGATAGACACAGGCGATCACACCTCCAGGATTATACTTTAATTTAATAATTCCACAAGCGCGAATACTTTATTAGTAAATGCCCAGATTGTGTGTGGAATGTCTTTATAGATGGGGCAGTCACTAGAGCTGGGAAAATCTCGCGGTACGCAGTGTTGAATCACAATTTGAGGTTTTAAAATCGCATATGATTCCGAACAATATTATGGGAAAGGTGGAATCATTGATTTGTGGGAGGCCCTGGCTGCATGGGGCCTGGTGTGGCTTTCAGGCAAGAATGGAGAACCCATGGGGGCTGGTGGGCTTAATGCTATCACCGTGGAAACGTATAATCAATTCCTATGTAATAAGCCACTGAAATGTATTGCACAGGAATCGGACATACATTTAAATGGCCAATGCCAATGTAATACTTTGAAACTTTTTATTTAGCAATTACCAATGGAAACATATAGAAAATGCATATGTAGCATGCTTCAAGAGTGATCATGCTCGGTATCATGGTGAATACAATCCTGCCATCATTGACCAGAATCACCGTTGAAACATATTTCTGATAGCTGTGTGCCAGCAATTGGCATGATTCCACCTCGATTCCAGCATGGTGTAGAGGGCAACACGAGCGGAGGGCTGGTGGAACTATGATGGCCGAGTGGAGGCCGGCCCAGGCACAGTCCTTACACCCATGCCAAAGGCACGACTGGGAGACACAAGGCAGCGAAACCTGGGCCGTACACGGATAAACATATGTGTGTAGAGCCATGGCCGTAGCCTAGCATCTACATGGGGCAGATATGTAAATACACTTAACATTAAACACAGCAAGTAAAGTGTATAATTATAAGGCATGCCCAACTGTTTTGTAAACGATTCATCGTACCATCTGTTGATATTATGGCTTCTTGTGTTTTTCGATGTGTGATGCTCACAGCTTACCGATGAATTTCGATTTAAAGCTTTCGTGACTGCAGGGATTCATCTTTCTGGTTCTTTCGGTAAAGTCACCCCTTCCAACCCAGCTTAAATATACGCTCCAATCGTGGTGGTGTTTCATTCAGACGCTGTCTCCCCGACAGACCTGGTCTTCACCTGAGGACGGCTGCTTGCGTTGTGGCCGAAACGTCGTGAGAATTATTAAATGTTTTATTTTTATTATTTTATTATTTCCCTTCTACGTGACTTTACCGAAAGAACCAAGAAGAAGCTTACCGATGATTAATCTTTCCATATTGATGTAAATCAGTTTTCTTGATTGCAAGACCCGCAGGCCACTGAGAGCCCCTGGTGGCCTTTAGTGCAGCCCCTGACGTGTGGCCCCCGACGATACACACCACGTGATAACACCCCCGTCGTGCTGCTATCAAACCCCAATGCTTTCAATCAAATGTGTAGCGGCCCTCACACTGATGTCTCAATCGGCGAAAGTGGCCGCCCTCTGAAAATTACTCAAGAACCCTGATGTAAATAATGGTTTCACTCTGTTAGTGCCAATTATATTAGGCATTCGTGAGCACACGCAATCTGACAACGGCCGAGAGCATCTGCATGTGAATTTAATGCGAAATCAAAAGTAAGTATCTCCCTGCTAAGAAAAGCATGAGATGTTCATCTCCAGTGGTGGCTGCGAGCCAGTGGTGGAAATTCTACATTCCTATGGTATGATGAGTATATCCTCAACGAGAAGGCAATTTGTAACTCGCACAATATTTCGCAAATATTAAGGTTCGTAACTGAGGCGCACAGCCAAGCTTCGTGTCATTTGAACGCCAGGCGAATGAGGTGGGGCCTTTAAGTGTCTCTTAAAAGTAGGAGTAGATTGAATGCTGCAAATGTGAAGCGGGATAGAAAAAAAGGATGTACTTAAACTCAATAGCTGCCACACATCAAATGCCAAATCATAGAAATGCAGCTACAAAAGCCCATAAAAGGCATGGCTGGATAAAATATGTGTGAGGCTTAATAACACAGTAGTGTTATGCGAAAATGTTAGGGAATTATTTTTGGAAATTCCTGGCTTATCAAAAACTGAAGCGTGCGACTAAGCATCTCGTTACATGGCTAGCAAAAGAGCCCGATGCGATTCACTGTTGCACCCTATCAGTCATGTCGGCGTTGATTCACAGGGTGACTTTGTGTTACCCTATGAACCTCACTCATGCCAATCGATAATTAAGACAGCAAAAACACACTGGTGGGTCAACAAGTCGAACAAAATCATTGAGGCTTACACGTTAACAGAAACATATAAAATATTGTTCGAGGTTGAGACGGTGTTGGTGTTGTGCTAATGCCCAGATAAGTGTCCTTTACTGCTAAGCTCGTCATAGTTTAGCAATCAAACCTTTAGGACGGAGCAGTTCAATCATCAATTCGGGCTCTAATTGCCAGCTCAAGTCTATTGCTTAATTAGTATTTGTTAGCAAATTTGTTACATTCTCACAAGTCTTTGTTTGCTACTAAGCTAAAAATAATGTAAAGATAAAAATATAAACTCGTAAAATTGCCAAGTGCAGAGAGGTGCTTACTTGACAGGTGATACAAATAAACATCAAAGCATGAAACGGAATTAAATATTATTAAACAGATGTTCTATTTCATAATGAGTTCATACCATAAAAGGTAGATGATTGCAGTTCTGCAGAGTTGTATCCAATTTAAAGAAAACCATATTTTATATGTATAGAGGCCTCCACTGTGTATAAAATCACCCAAAGGTTATAATGACCAGTAGCAATGTCAAACTGACCTCTCAGAATGTTTTTCACAAGTGACTGTGAACAGATTTCAAGGAATAAAATTGATTTTTGGGAGTTTTATTTCTGGTCGCGCACGATTGAAAATCGTATTGTTCCATGACCTCTAACCTGAACTTTTTTTTCTTTAGTCTGAAATCAATAATATTCACTTCTTCAATAGTTGAGTAAAAACTATTATATGATTCTTCTTCTTGGTTCTTTCGGTAAAGTCACGTAGAAGGGAAGTAATAAAATAATAAAAATAAAACATAATAAAACAATTCTCACGACGTTTCGGCTACAACGCAAGCAGCCGTCTTCAGGTGAAGAATGAGACACTGCCAAGCTAGGAGCTTATATATAAGCTGAGTTGGAGGTGGAAGAAGAGCGCCTTCTTCCACCTCTTCCACCTCCAACTCAGCTTATATATAAGCTCCTAGCTTGGCAGTGTCTCATTCTTCACCTGAAGACGGCTGCTTGCGTTGTAGCCGAAACGTCGTGAGAATTGCTTTATTATGTTTATTTTTATTATTTTATTACTTCCCTTCTACGTGACTTTACCGAAAGAACCAAGAAGATGAATCCTGCAGTCACGAAAGCTTTAAATCGAAATTTATTATATGATTACCTAAGCTTAAAAACAATACACTAGGAATTCAGTGTATTGTTCTGTTTTATATTTCTAAATATTGTTGACGTCATTTATTTAATTGCTGTTTCGATTTTTTTTTCCCACAATCGGGAGCCTGTTACTTTCTATAGGTTTTTTTTACTGTTTAGTCTCTTTATATTTTACCCAGGTCTCTTTTGAAGAAGAGGCATCTGCTCGCAACGAGCTTTTACTTGCTTTAAAGACAGACAAGCAATCATGTTCATCTTCATGTCCACAATGGGATGTGATGACAGATGCTGGGGCACAATAAGGCTTGACAAGCAGACGTAAGCATGTCAAAAATACTTTCACTTCCAATGTCTCAACAGCAATTACTGGATAGTGAATAACGTACAAATTTAATTCCGAGTAAACGCATGCACTTGTACCTTACTTTGTAACGTGATAAAGGCGGAGCCCTGCACTCCCTTGCTCACGTCACTGCTGGCAGAACGGCCTACACTAGAAGCAATTCTGGAGAACCTCTCTAGAGGGTGGAAGTAGCCACACTTTACCCCACCACACACCAATTGCCGATTGACTAACTGTGCTGTGAACCTATTTACTGTACGGAGGGGGGGGAGGAATTTAAGAAACTTGCCCAATTGTTGCAACAGGAGAACGAAACAGTAACCTCTAGATTTACAACAAAAACTCAAAACATTTTTCTAAAACACTTCCTTAAAATAGAAAAATTTATAATCGTGATTTTTTTTTAACCCGAAACCTCACCAATTATATTTTCAATATTATTGTATATTTATTATATATGTAATCATGCTTTTATGTGCTATGAAGGGCCACTGCCCGACACATAAATATAACATGTATATATTTGTTATATTTTACAGCAGTGCCATTGGCGAATGTATTGATTTTGTTGTTATTATTTGAGCTTGTACGCTGCTGCCATCACCAAACAATCTGTATTGCAAGTCCACCGTGCTAATCATTATACCACGGCAGACTAATACACACATATACTTGAACCTTATTTTATATTCCACCTATACTAATTACCAGCTGAGACTAGGAGGAAATGCAAGACATGCTACAGAAAGGGGTGGAGGTACAAATATGTAAACATCTAAACATAAATCGGTGAATATAAAACAGAAACCACGTGCCATAATATAACTAACATTCAAGATTTGGAATATATTACATTTGCAGAAAATATCCACGGGCATAATTACAACAATTTATAATTTAATTTTAATAATTAAGTGGCTGTACAGCGCAGTGGCTAACGACACAAACCACATTATTCGCAAGGCTTGGCCACCGAGTGCTTCGGTCATATCTCAAACTCTAAATCTGAAAATGAACTGCATTCAGTGAAGCACTGATCTTATGCACGTGATTTATGGTCACTAAAGCAGGGGGGGGGGGCAATGAATGTCATTGGTGTTCCCCTGGAAATCAAACTATCGATTTTATACAAATTGCCACAGAGCATGTATACACTGGACTACTTGGTACCAATGCCATGTAGCATATACCACGTTCTACATATGTATACATAAGTGTCATGAGAACTAGTGTGGTTGTCCTACAATACTGTTAAATCTAAGTAGGGACTGGCACACACCAACAGAATGTGGATTAAAACGACAAAGCTGAACACAGCCTAATGCCGATGGTCAAAAAAAACAGGAAACCGCTTTGACACGTGCGACTTTTTAAATAAACACTGAACGCTGGCACTAAGATGTGAACTGGCTGACTGAATGGCAGGGCTCCTGTGAGGTTCCACTCACTTTTTCTTGAGTCTCCGGTCCCGTTCCGCTTGGGTGCCCAACTTTGCGAGGCCAACACCCTCCGGAGAGCCTCCCTCACCTTCAGCCGAACCCCCTGCGACAGAGAAAGAGAGTCCCCATTTTTCCCCTGTAGGTTGTCGCGGTTGTGCCGTTTGTTTGGGTTGATGTTTTGCTCCGAGTGCTCGGAGCAGCGTCTTCAGGAAGTAAAAACTGCCGGCACGTGGAGGAGGTGGAGCAATAACTTCGGACACCAGGTCGGGCAACACGAGGCCCAGCCACAGAAACATGACAGCGAGCTAAATGTTCACTTTGGTATTCGTCAACGAGACACACCTTACAACACAGCTTACAGAGGCATCACTAAGTGTAGCAGATGTGGGTTCTGATGCTCTAATTAATGAGGTTGTATGTCCATACTTGACCACATTAGCCATTGTCGTTTGATGAAGGGGGGACCCAGGACAGGTTCAGGTACTTTTCACCAATGATATCAGCCATGTCTGGGAATCAACTGGGTTGACAATGAAGTGTGCTAACCATTATGCCACTGCTCCACCCTCCAACAATAAAGTTGTAATTGGTTAGACTTATCGAGCATGTTCTTTTATTTTAAAATAAGACATGTTAAGGATGCTTATCATAATTCAGACATGATAGTAAAACAACAACCACGTTTCTGAGAAAGAAATGCATATTATCAGGGAGGAAAATAAACAAATGATGAATTATTCGTTTTTTCAAAATTGTTATGGCATCTACTGACACATCTTCCAAATAAGACAGCCACTGCAAGCGACAAAGGCAATTCTGCGCAATATTAATCGCAGAGCAAATGAAGAGAAGCGAATAACAAAGTGAGCCTGCGTTGGTTGTGATGCACGAGCACAACTGATTATAATCTTCTAAAAAAGAAAAATCCCCTCAAAATCTCTGCATTGCAGAAGGACCCTTGGCCAATATTAAACATTTGTCCTTTTTTAGTGGCAGTGTGACGAAAAGCTCATTTTGCACACAAAGCACCGCAGCCATGCGCACTCGTTTTGCCGGCACGCACTTGGCGACAGCATGATGATGATGATGCAGACAGAGCCTCGGCCACACACATCTGACGTGGCCGTCACGCGGTGGCTGAACGCACCAGTGGGTGGGACCGGCGGAGCTTGGTCAGCATGGGGATGAAGCAGAGCACGGGGGGCCAGGGTGCATGCATGCTTGCTTAGGGCAGGCCGGTTCAGCAGGTTTAGGGAGGCTGGTTGATAATGGAGCAACGTAGCCGTGCACAATGCATTTGTGAACCGACACGGACGCTCATGCACACGTTTCTTTCTGCACAAAACGTTCAGTAATGTGTCGGTTACTTTTGTGTAATGCTTAGCATGCAGTGCCGCGTTTAATCACGGATCAAATGACAAGTAACCTTAAAAACGTATACTCACAGTCGCCTGTTTGCATAAAAAACACAATCAAAGAGATGCTCTTAGCAATAAAACATCTCGGTGCATTACATGTGTGCTTAACGTAGCGTCGTCATCGCTCGCTCGTCAAATACGACTTGCGGGGCCTTGTTTGGAAGCAGAGCCTTGAATCATGGGAAGTCGTGCATGATCGCTCTAATTATGTTAACATTATTATTCTGGCTGGGTGGCACTGTAGGTGGAGAGCTCTACTCGTAATCAGAAGGCAGATATATTCAACTGGCAGTTGGTGGTTGATTCAGTCCACCATCCCTCTGGGGTTGATGAAATAAGTACCAGTTTGTAAGGAGTCTTGCATGGTTATCCTACATATCCCTTACCATGGAAACGTAGCATTCCCACCACTAGCCAATAGCCTCCAATGGGGACGAGCACCACCCCTTTTTGCTCATCTCAGCAGATGGCCACTTTACAATCTTTATTGGACGATTTTTTTCAGCTCCTTTTTGATCCGCTGCTGGATTAAAGATTTCCCATGCCGTGTCAAGCCATAGGGTTTGATTGACCATAATTTACCATGCTGGTGAGTACAGGTTGGTGAAGGAGGGGAGGACCAAAACGAGCTCAGTTATCACTGACCACTGATGGTAGCCGTGGCTGGGAATCACAATCAGGACAGGGAATTGAACTCACACGTGTATGTGTAATCAACCACTGGTCATAATTCGTTGAGTTATCTAGCATATGAGCTGGACATAAGAAGTTGGAATAATCTCTGAGTGTGTTATTCAGGGCAGATAAACACAATATTCTGTTATCTGCATTCACATGGCAAATAGTTTAAAAAATAATGTTCCACAGCATCTGTAAACAAGGGCTCTATAATCATATTTTGTTCATGTAATACCACGACATCCAAAAGCGAACAATAACACCCATCATAGTATCCTCATTGGCGTACAGCTGCTGAGAAGCATCGCACATTTCAGAGGTTTAGAAGCAAAACGTCTGCTATGGCAAAGATAGCTGAGCTCCAGTACCGCATAATCAACTTTGAAAGTGCATGGAATGCACACAGTCTGGTCTTGCCAACACCAAATTGGATTTTAAATGAGGTTTGGAAATGTGAACCCCATGGCTGGGCTTCAAGGGACCAATGCCTCATCTCAAGGGAGAAATCATACCTGCAAAAGGTCACCCCAAGTAGTGGGGACATTATGTAAATTCACTGCGAAGGTAATAGAAGTTTTTGGTGGGTACAATTATCACCTTTTTTTAGTATTGAAAAGTTGCGAGGCTCTAATCGCGGTGTGAAACGGCCCAGCGGTCTCGCGCGGAGGGCTCGTGGTTCGAGCCGAGAGGGCCACCCCGATTAATAACATGGCTATTGTTTCGTTAAATACGCGCCGTGCGAGCGGACATTAAAGATTCCCCGTGACACCAATTCGCAAGAGTGGGCCATTGTGCACCTGGCGTCAGAGACCAAATATTATTTAATAAAACGTAAACAAAAAATGATACTGCAAATGATTAAATGCGATTTTACAAAGCAATCACCAGTCCCCCCCCCCCCCCCCCCCACTGTGAAAAACTTCTTTTTCCTCATGAGTCTTGAGATGCAGTGATGGGTTTCTTGGGTAAATAAGTGTAATAAGGAGGGTGTCAGTCCGAACTTGATGACATTAATGAAGAGCAGGGGGGAGGGGGAGGGAGAGCCAGCCATGACACTCAGTGAGGCTTTGCTGAGTAAACAAGGAAAAAATATATACATTTCTGTATTACACAATGTATGTGTATATGAGAAACTATTAACGTGTTTTGATCATATTTTGGCCACGTAAAAAAAAAACACCCATAAATAAACACAAATAAATAATCACATACCAAATTTCTATAAGCACCTCATTATCAAATCTTGTTTTACTGCTTGTTGCCAAAGTGTATTGGTATGTTTGTATTTATTTGCCATATCCCTTGGTACAATGAGAGTTGAATTTAAGATTATGCTATGCTGCTTAACACCACTATAAAAAATAAAGTGAAAATCCTTTTATCCGAATATTTTAAGGACATGGGTAAACTTACACAATATAGTTAACACTGCCGTGTGAATCCATGACAACGGATTACCAAATCCATTTATCTGGGAAAAGAAAGATGAGTGTAAAAGAAATAATTTTAGAAATTCTAAAGGAATTACAAAGTATTGTGATGGTGCATGAAAATATACCCCTATCATAGTAAAAAAAAACAATTCAAACATTGCCACAGCCAGATCTTCTTGGTTCTTTCGGTAAACTCACATAGAAGGGAAATAATAAAATAATAAAAATAAAACATCATAAAATAAAATTCTCACAGCGTTTCGGCCACAATGCAAGCAGCCGTCCTCAGGTGAAGAAACAGAGCTGTCGGAAAGACAGCGTCCTAATTTTATTTTATTATGTTTTATTTTTATTATTTTATTATTTCCCTTCTACGTGACTTTACCAAAAGAACCAAGAATATGAATCCCTGCAGTCACGAAAGCTTTAAATCGAAATACAGCCAGATCTGTCAGAAGGTCTGACACAAACCATACATGCGCTGGTATTTTCTGGGGCTAAAAATGTGATTTCTCAACCATTGCCTTACGTCCGCATCACTGTCGCGTGCTACGGATAATAAAGCTACGTAATTGGCTCTTACACAATCGATGACAACTACACATGTTCGTGTCCGTTACGCTTTGTTTGTACTTATAATAAGCGGCATTCTCCACCCTCCTTTTCATAAAAAAACCAAAGTCAAGTCTAGTTGTCTCCCTGCTCAAATTGACATGCAGCAGCACGTTTCCCCGATCCACTGGTGGAAATCCCACATTCCGATGGTGGAGGGAAAGTCTCGAAACCACTCAACATCACTGTTGAATTCTCACAAAGCGGTACTCATTTTAGTGAGATGCGAGAGGGACGAGCCCTGATGACCGGGTTTTGAACTCGCATCCTTCCCGTTATTCGTTTAGCACTCTTACCCGCAGTGCCACCCTGCACAGGAAAAAACGATTATTCAATTGAGTTGTTCTCACGTACTCTGTGATGAGGGCACGCATGGTATACCATTGTCATAATCTCAACGCGGTTGAAGCCCGGCTCGCCATTTTTAATTACACTCACCACAATACCCTAAAGCTGGAAATGTGTCCAGTCATGAGTCATAAAGTGGGGATTCCTGATGGATCTTGGTCAGGAGGCAATGAAACGAACTGAATTGGAACGGGTTAATGGTGCTTTGGAGTGAGCCAGAAAATTACGAGGGTTGTGCCGCTCGACCACAATTTACCATGACATTACACGAATAGATTTTACCACAATATGGAAATAATTGTATTGCTGTATAGTTTTTATGACCACGACACAAAATTACAACTACGACAGGGTTCTCTCTTATGTTCTATATATCAATGCAGTTTTAGTATTTTATATTTTAAACATCAAAACATAACAACGGCCAAATATGTAGCTATGTTAAATAACACACGCGTGTAAACAGTGCAGACGAACGGCTCAACAACAGAACATGTTACAATCTCAAAACTAAATTTTAAAATGTTTAGCATCCTTCTTTGCACATGCCAAGACCGGCACAAATTTTCCACAGGCTTTTATAACCAAGACCCCAGAGACCCGCCGTTGAGTTGATGACCCATAAAAGAAAGAGACAGAGCATTTGTCCAAAACAATGGACAGCCATAAGATAAAGGAGCAGCTCTGCCCACCTTGGCCAGGTGATGCCAGCTCCTTGCTGGGTGTGAGAGGTCGCCCTTTTTCTTTCTTTCCAAACAAGCGGCCAAAGGACGACTTAATGCCCTTCTTTTTAGCCTTGTGCAGGGAGTCCTGGCTGCTGTTGCTGGAGCTTGGGTTGCTGGCTCCGTCCTGCAAGCCAGACGACCTGCTCACAGCAAATCACGTTCCGGGCACACGGCAAAGGGAAAATTGAAACGTGATCTCAAACCCCATCCGACCACCACCGCACGTCTGCCCCATTTACGCTCGTTAGTGGTTTAATGTTTCCCATTCAACATTCGTCTCCCATGCATTGCAATTGTGTCAGTTGGCTAACGGGAAGACATTCTAACGCAAACCCCAATGGCATCCTCACGGTAAAAGGGAATCACGGTGGAATGTGAACGGTTGCCGGGTGCTTCCATGCGTTTTAATGATGCGGAGGCAAGTACACTGGCGGAGAAGATCGTCGCCCGCTCCGTGCTCTGTCACTCCCACCCAGACACTGTTCGGACTATAATTCAACAGGACAGTGCGATTTGCCTCCGTCAGCAAAACGGATAACCCTACTCCGAGCGGGCACCTTGCGGATGACCAGCGCCTACATGCCTTCCTCGGCCTAAACAAAAGCGCCACTGCAACGCAGCCGGCGCGTTCGGAGGGGTTTCTAACGGCGCTGCCCTTTACCCTCGGATGTCCTCTTGGCTGGCCGAGTGCAGAGCTTGCGACACGCGGTCGAGGCGGCCAGACCGCGGCGTCTGCGGCGGAGACGTCTCGCACTTTATCGTGGCTTTGTCCTCCCGCGCATCGTCCCGCGAGCCGGCCGGCTGGCGTGGTGGGGGAGGGGTGCGGCGGGGGGGGAGATTGAGGGATGGACGGAGAGAGGGTCGGAGTATTAGATGCGAGGCTGTGACTATGAACATCCCTCACATGGGTAAAATTATAGAAAATGATTTTGATACTGCTTTGGCGGTGAGGCGCAAGCACAGATGACAAAAACGCAACAAATTTGTCAATAACTTTGCCCTAACGAAGAAAACATATATGATAGGTAACTTGTCTGGACATGGTCCCCCTCTTTATACAGAGAGCTAGAGGGCCCAAACATTTTGAGCGGATGATAGTTGGAGACTGCATTTCTGTCGACACCATGGGGCCCTGATAGAAATGTAAATTTGGGAATGTTTCATTTTGAAATATTCATCTAGAAATATTCTATTTGGTGTGGAGTGCATTGTCCCAACTTTAAACATGACTTCTCTAAGCTGCACGTGAAACTATTGCCGAATATCATAACACAATTGACCTCATAATCTTAGAATGGAGCTATCTACAGGCAAATAATTTCAATTTGGAAACTGTCACTCGTCACCGGCTCTTGGTGAATGTTAATGCACACATTCGCAAGGCTACACAAAACCTAAACAAAATGTAAGCCAGTTGACATAAGCACTTTCATAAAGTTCTGGTAACAGCTGTCAATCATTGAGGGGATAGTATGCTGTGTGCCAACAAAAGAACGGGTTCCTCTTGCCTATATAAAAAGGCTTTATGCATCTCCATTCTATCCTATCATCCTTCTCTTTTTCATTCCACAGAAACCCCTTGCATTAATATCACACAACGCTCAAATTTATGACGGCCCAAAGATGCAACTAACTATATTGTGCTCCACAGAGATAGAAATCGTACAGTTTCCTGATGAGTTTCAAAAGCATATTTTGCATTTCATAGATTTTTTTTCGGTCCATTCATTTTGAAAGAGAAAATTAATATAACGCGAGTAGGGAATATAATAAAAAATCAAGAAACACAAAAGGAATTAATTTGAGTAGAGGGTACATTTTTGTTAACGTATTCCAGCTTTATCATCGCCCTGTTGGCACACGTCAGCCAAATATACAGCGACTCCGGCACTGGCAGCAGCAGCAGCAGCCAGGTTTCAAATGGAGGCAGCGACACAACACGGGCAACCGTTTGAGCGCTGGGCGTGCTACCTTTTTCCCCGTGACACTTCGTTAAATCACTCGCTTGGCAGAGACAAGTGAGCGAACGGAAAAGGGGAGAACAGAAAACAATAAGCAATAAAACAGGCCAGTCGTGAAGGTACATTACTGAGCTGTCAGGCACTGCTGATGTAATGCAAGGCATCCGTGATCCCTGGGGACGGCTTAGAAATGAGTCACGAAGGGCCAGAGCGCTGGGCCGCAGAGATAAGCTGAACATAGCAAGTCAAACTGGGCATAGCTGCCTTTGTTAGCGGTGTGACTACCTGCATGCTGTGTTTATTTTTGTAATTAGTTTGATTTTTTTTCTCTTTCCCTAGAATTAAAATAGAGTCATATGCGTAGGCCCCTCAGACGCAATCCAAGTGAGAAAATTCTATGCAACTGCCCGGGAGGCTAAAGCTAACGCAGTAAAATTTCAAACAGCAGCCTTTAGGGTATATTAAATATATTAATGATGGATTTGACATTACCGCTGCAAGTGAAAATACTTAAATAATCCGAAGAGAATTCTCGCGCTCTATGGAAAAGAGGATTGGTAAGTGAAAGTTTGTACGGCAGTTTTAATCTGTCAAGCCCACAGAATATTATATTTTTTTGCAACTTGGGAGTAGAAACATTTCAATGCTATCTGGAACATTTTCACTTTTAAATGGAAATATTCAGTTTGAAAAAGATAGACATTTTTTTTCAGCCCTTGTAAAGGTAGATGTTTGGAATAAAATGGCTAACTGTTGGAGTGGTGAAAACCATATTTTGTTGGGCTCAAAGTTTGTTCGTATCATAGTTTAAATCGGTTTTCATTCTTACTTTCCTTCAATTTTGTCTTCGTGCATTTTACTGTGAAATTCTTTTTATCTTCGTATTTCTCAAAGTCATTTTGTTTGCTGCAAAATACATTCATCATCAGCACAAGCGTACGGAATGCCGTAAAAATGTAACAATGTGATGAATCAACAGCGGTCGCATACAAATATTTTTTCACATTCTCTCCCCCAGTTATGGAAATATATCACTCAGGCGCATTCACGTTTGACAGGGCACACACCGTGTCGCCTATCTGCGAATAATTCGAAAATAATTTGTTTTGAGCTTGTTGAGAACACCTTCTGAAGGCACAGAGGTGATTTGAATTTTTACGAGCACCATGAGACTGTGTCGACAACTGTACACCCTTTCAACTAAAGAAACACCTAATTTAAATTGACAGCCAAAGTTATCGTGACGTTTTGTCCCCAACTCATTAAAATATACTCAACTTTTAGTAACAAGTAAGGCTCTCGTAACATGTACAGATATCTTGTTTTACAAATTAAAATATGTTTTAAATTAGCAAATTTAATTCAAGTCATTACACGTACAAGCATTTAGATGCAGTAAAAAAATACAAACATTTTAAATGCTCAAAAATACGCATTCCAGAATGAAAATTAAACATGCGGAAAGTATAATTGTCCTGAGGATGATTAACTTTCAATTACACATCACAGATCATTTAGAGGGAGTTATACATATTTGAATGGGGTTAAAACTGATATTAAAACCCTTCACAATACATTTTTCAAAACATTTAAGAGAAAAGGTATTTAGCAACTAATCATAATTAAATCAATATTGTGAACAATTTTTTTAGCGAATTGTAACTAAACGGAATGGAATTGGAGCATCTGGTGGTAAACGTTAAATAACGACACTCATTTTGCCAATGAGGAATTGGTTGCAGTGTAAATATATTAAATTCGAATTTAGTGTTTTTTTAAACATTTGTCTTCTTGAGAGGATGGGATGGCTCCTCAATAATTAATGTGTGCAAACTAATTAGGTTTATAAAAAAAACGTAATGGAACTTTTTGCACAAATCATTTACAAACTCATACAAATGGCAGTTTCTAATTTAGGATTTACTGTAATGGTGCGCACACTTAAAATGCTCCATGATGAATGTGCTTTTTATAATTTCTTCATTGTAATATATGTCAATTAACTGTTAAACGTGAAATAAGATGAATAAATGTGTTTGCTCAGGTGTTCTTAAGAAACTTGGGGTGATTGGTGATCCGTTTTATTTTTAATTTCTATCATTTACAATTTAATTGCAAACTAATGGCTTCTTTAAGGTGCACACGGCAGCAAATGTCCGGAATTGGTAATTATTCACAAACATTGTGTGTCAACTATGGGAATGGAACATTCAATTGTGATTATCACACTGACCACTTCACAGAATTCAGGTAACTTCTCTTTCTGTTTCTCCCCTTATTGCTTAACTTGGGAATTCCATCCCATGATCTCCTTTCACAACTTCTTACAATCGTAATAAATGCAATAAGAAATGCATTAACGTATCTATTCAATGGTGACATTTCATGCTAGGCTACATTGCGTGTTGGACGTTTGGGGTTGTACTATACATAGCAACTGGGAAAAAAACTACTGCTCATAACAAACATAATCTTCCTATATAGAAAATTAATAGTCATACAACCATCCAACACGTGTCATATGACGTCAAACAATGTGTTGCCTGAATTTCGATTTAAAGCTTTCGTGACTGCAGGGATTCATCTTCTTGGTTCTTTCGGTAAAGTCACGTAGAATGGAAACAATAAAATAATAAAAATAAAACATAATAAACTTATTCTCACGACGTTTTGGCCACAACGCAAGCAGCCATCCTCAGGTGGAGAACAGGTCTGTGTAGTACTAATCGCATATCTGCATTTCCCATAAATATGCTAAATTCCTCTTGATATGCAAATTATTTTGTCAAGGTGCTCTTCCCCCCTCCATCCCAGCTTAAATAGACCCTCCAAGCCTGGGGTGTGTCATTCAGACTCTGTCTTCTCGACAGACCTGTTCTTCACCTGAGGACGGCTGCTTGCGTTGTGGCCGAAACGTCGTGAGAATAATTTTATTATGTTTTATTTTTATTATTTTATTATTTCCATTCTACGTGACTTTACCGAAAGAACCAAGAAAATGTGTTGCCTGGTTCGCGGAAGTAGTTGTGATAGCACATGTATGCTGCAAATACCAAAACACGGCTTTGCTAAAACTGCACCTATTTATGAAGAAAAGCTCAAGTGAAGGGAATGTTAAACTCAATAAAGGCAAACGCAAAAAAGCCACTATTAACATGAAGCTTACTCAAATGTAACTATTTTATTCATGCACGGTGGCTGCCCTCGGGGTAAAATCGCCGTTTTAATTGCCTCCTGACACGCGTGTGTGCATAATTCAGATAAATGTCATTGCAAACAAGGCAACGGCGGCGGCGGCAGCCACAGAAGCCAAGCAAGCTTAAAGGTGTTAAAATAAAATACAAGACGTTGCGTTTATCTCCCTGCCAGCCACGTCTGCGCAGTGTCAAGGTCTGCCGGCAACGAGAGTTTATGTGTGGGGCAAGTGAAGAAGAAGGAAACTCGGGGGCCATAAAGCACTCGCTAAAGTTTCTTCACCGAATGAATACCGAATCCCGATGCGTGAGGACTATACAATGGGGGGGGGGGGGGGGGGGGAAGACGTTTCAAGTTTTGTTGAACCAGGTAGGAAATCAAGAGGCCAGGACAGTCTAATTTTCAAGAGCGACCTGGGGCATGTCTGCCAACAATGATTGCATGTACAAATCTCCAGTTAATTAGTTTGCGGGTAATTTTCATACTTGCCAAACTTTGACCATGTCACTAGCACACAACGGTCTCCTCTTTGTAAATTAAGTCCAGGGAACTTTAACATCCACTGCGAAGCAGAGCAGACGGCACGTAGTATCATTATGGTTTTACACACCACAGTATTAATCAGGGCAGCCGCTAGATTCGAACTGTGAACCTCTGCCACGAGCGGCGAGCACGCTGCCGCATCACCGCTCGAGACGAGTGAGAGCGGCACCGGGATGCATGCGCTGGCTGGGGCCCTCTTTTTCCGGGTCACAAAAGTGACTTGGATGTCTGGATGCGTGTCAAATTCCCACGCCTGACGTGCAATGCCAGGCGAGCGTTCGGCAGATAAGGATGCGGTTCATCATAGCGGGCGTGTCACTTTCATTTGAACGTCAAGTCAAAATCAGAGAGTCTCCCTCCTCAAGTGAGCAGTTTGGTGGCACCTTGTCTCCAACAGCAGCGCCGAATCAGTGGTGGAAATTCAACGTTACAATGGCAGGAGCATAGGCCCGTACGTTTGACACTCACTTTTTACGACGACACGTGTAAAGCGCTACTAATTTTATTGACCTCAAAGGTATAACAAGTCAATCGAGGCCAGGATTGAATTTAAAGATTCCATTTGTGTTTTAAGCGCTCGAATCTTAGCACCAATGGATTACCTTGCATGATCCATAGAATATCTATGACCAGTTCTGCAATGTTGCCAGTGGATGATAACAGTAATACAAACATGGTGATAGGCAATAGGCTTTTCTGCACCATGGTTACAAATGAAAAGCGCCCATGACGCATGCGTCCTTTTAAAAACGCTCCTCAACTCACCCACTCAACCACCACTGGAAAATGAGAATGCCTAGCAGGTACATAAAGCAAAGCTGCATGGAAATACCTGCGATGGAACAGCGGTGGAGGGAAGACTGGGGGGGGAGGGAGCATTGACAGCTGCAGGCACAGATGATGGAAACTGAAAGACTGAAGAGGATGAGGTCACTGTAGGCTGGGGAGAAGACTCGGACTGGATGGTGGGCTACACACAGGAATGAGACGCACACACACAACGCGCACGCACATGTCATGGAGACAGCGGCCACGAGCAGAGCAAACGATGGTGTTGGGGGATCAACGGACATAACATCTCCAGATACGGCAACTCCTGTGAGAGAAGAAACCCGTTAGATTTTTGTGAAACAATATTAAATGAAGGAACATCAGCCAAAACCAACGTCATGCGCCACATGAGGTTCCCTTGTTCCAAGCGACAAGTTTCATCATTGATATTTATTCGACACGATAATTCACTGTTCAATGCACGTTATGTTCACAACGCTGAGCTAGGAAACGTGATGGCTATGTTTTACACAAAAACAATGAACATTCGTTTTGGTTCAGGAATAAGTGGCCCGCACTAATGGCGTCTTTAGAAATATGGTATCCATGTGTACCTTAAATGTGTGGGTCATCAATAAAAGAGTTACATTTTGCGAGCCCAGTATGAGATGGCATTGCTTGTTTCCTTTCGCCAGTTATTTACGTATTGAGTGCCAGGGATTAGAGGGCATGCTGGCACAGAGCATACGCAATGGAAACGGAGCACCGGAGATGGGGCCTTTGGCTTTAGAGCACAGCGTGACAAAACTGTCAAGGTGTGGAGCTCCACCGTTTTGAATTTCAAATGGGTTCTTGATCGAGGAGAGGCATAAAGCAAAAAAAAAACCTCAGCATAAACTGTTCGTCGCCACTAAAGTGAATGACAACGCACGACGAGTCACGGGGTGAATGATTAAAACTACGTTGGCACAATGGCAAGACAACAATGTGATTTTTTAAAGGAAGCAAATACTGTATTACACAAAAGCGCACGATATTGCATGCTTGATTTAAACATTATTGTCTATGTAGCCAGAAATATTTGACGTCAGGGTATCTTGATAATTACTTTTACAAGCTGAGTAAACACATTTACGAAAAGGTACGGTTTGAAATAACATATTTGTTGAACACTTAAGATGCTGAATGTGTAGTAATTATCAACACCTTTGCTAACATGCATTTCCTTGACCAAAAACAAATATACAAAACTCTCTAAAAATACCACACACTATTATTTGCAATTATAAAACCCTATGAAAGTAAACTTTTTTGTAATTACCACTTTGAACACGTACAATGAAAGAGAGATTAACTTTCTTGTGGACAATTTAACAACATTTTTTGGAGCAGGATTGACTTTACGAAGGAACAAAAAACATCTAAAGTGTAAGCGTTCTGTTATGCAACAGACAAAACGTTTAATCTCCTCATTCGATAAAGTATATTGACGAACCGACTCGAAAATAAATAAAAAGTTTTGAGAATTTGTGACACTTTCTGAGGTAATTAAAGAGCACCCATTACATTATCTAATCTATTTTAAATATTCTAAATGCCTCGGCAAACCACTAAACCATTTGCAACACACCTAACAAGAGCACGGACACGCGATTAACGAATGCATGCAATTAATGATGATGTGCATGTGGAGGGGACCTTCCAGCAAGCCTACCACATATATTAATTTCATTAAATCCACATGTTCAGAGCATTACAGGTGAAAATGGTTAATTATGAGCGGTAATCATCGCGGTCGGCATTGTGGTCACGGCAGGGGGGTAAAAAAACCTCAATTCAAGAGGCTAATGTGTGGTAATTCATTATTCCCCTCCCCCTACGCTGTCTTGACCCAAGATGAAAATTGATCAGGTTTTTACGGCGGCAATTAAACCGCCTCGCAATACGTGACCCGGTGCTGATGCACGTCCGTCTTCAAAAGGGACCGGCGTTAAACATTCACGTGATAAAATTACATTTATAGAAAGCGGGCAGCAGGGGGGGGGAAAGAAATAGAAAACACCGACTGAAACGCAGCATTTTGTAATTGTCGTCGATAGCGAGGGCCCCCCCCTGCCCCCCCCCTGCCCCCCCCGCCCCCCCCAACAGGAGGCGGCCATGGGCCACGAGGCGCTCTGGTTGGTTCATTTCTCGGCAATGGTCTCGGGCACTCATTTAAATAGTTTTTTGTCGTCGTCGTCGAGAGTAAATGCTTACGATGAGAGGAAGAATTATACTCGGGCCGTGTTCGCCTGACGGAGAGCCGGCACGCTGCGTACTCGTCTAACCTTAGTGCCCTTCCCACCTGTCATACCATTACATCCATTGCGCTAACCCCCCTCATTCTGCACGTCATCTACACGTGCCTACCAGCAGCATGATAACCCACATTAGACAAACACAAAACCACGTAAACACATTTAAAATGGTCTATATTCTTCATGTTTTTTTTGGGGGGATTGTTATTTCTTGTAAATTGCTTACCCGACCATACTGGACATCTGTGAAAAATAGCGTCATAACTCATTGGATTTCTCCTCCAGTCTAAATTAAGATTCTGATTCTGATGTAATTACCATCAATTGATTATTTATGTGATGTAAAACCGCCATGCCTTATTATTTTGCCTTGAGAATTTTTGTTCAAAACAATAAACTGGTGACCTGGCATAGGAATGTAGAATTTTCTGCCAATTTGCTCAGCGCCACAAGTGAAGAATGAGAACCCATGACCATGGTTGGATTGTAGGGGGGGGGGGGGAAGGGAAAAAATACGTATTTATTTAGTTGTGTTTAACTTGAATTTTGCGAAGGCTTTTGCCGGCCACTGCAGTCGAGCCATCGAGCACATGGTTCAGTGGCAAGTGAAATTGACCCCCAGGCGATCCACATGCCTCTTGATGTCCATGCGGTGCTCCTGCACTCACGCCTTGCAGAGTACAAAGCCTACGCATAAGCAAGAGCACTGATCGGTACTATAAAACTTGCATAAGGAATCGCAGGATTCCGACTGGGACCCACCGATTAAAAGAATACTGATGACCTGCTCCGGCATGACTCATTCAAGTACGCTGCAATGTCTGCTATTGGGCGAATGACAGTTAACACTGTTTACTGTTTCGAATTTATTTTGATAATTTGCTACAGCTTTTCTAAAATAAAAGACAAAGTAATTTGAGAATAGGTTTTCCCTTTTTTCTGGCAACAAAACAGGTGTTAAGATGTTAAAACACCAAACTGAAACCGTTTACAAGGAATCATGTCTACATTAACCACAATACTTGTGGTCAGAATGCAAACATAAAACGTACTCTGATAATATATGCATTGTCTTTGAAACTGATTGGTCCACGCCAGAGACACCTTTCTTTTGAGCCTAGTCTCAAAACGGTGTTAAACCAGAGGCCGTCCAAAAGGCGTACAGCTCAAAGACAATGCACTATCAGAGTAATGAGAGCTCGGGGTGAGTAGCTACATCATGGGACCTCCCCTTTGCCAGTACCAAAATATGAGAATAGGGTTTCCCCTTTCTTCTGGCAACAAAAAGGTTTCAGTTTGGTGTTTTAACATATTAACACCTGTTTCGTTGGCAGAAAAAGGGGAAACCCGATTCGAATAATTTGGTACTTGGCAAAGGAGGTCACATGACAAAGTAATTTCTTGCACAAATGAGCAATGAGGCGGTTGCCCATCTATTTAGAGCCCTGAGCAAGTGGCAGAAATTCCCATTCCTCTGGTGGGGGCAAGGCTATCCCATAGGACAACCACTTTAAAAGCTTCCCCCACAAAATTGGTGCTTGTTTTATCGACTCCGCAGAAAGGCGCCAAGTCAACCCCCAAAGCAGGCTTTGAACTCGGAAACTTTCGGATTTGCGAGCTGCTCTCGCTGCCGCTGAGCGACCCGGCTGGGTCCATGTTGAACGATGCCCACAGCGGAAACGGCGCTGGACTGAGACCAAAGGCCTCCCCGCGCATCAAATGGCATCGTGGTGATGATGATATTCGCCCCGTGTTTAGAAACTATTGCCTATGCATGACGTGCCATTAGAATTAAAACGTTTCAAAGCACTCACCCCCATGCGGTCATCTAGCAAACAGGCCAACTTGAGAAAGCCTGCCGCCGATACTGTTATAATGCTCGACAACCATTCGTCCGCATTAGTCATCGGCCTACCAGCAAATGTTGCGAGTGCACAGCACGTGAGGTTTTTTTTTTTTTCAAAAAGAATTGCGAATACTCCAGTTTTCCTTTCAGCCACCCACGTGCGCTTCACCGTGGAGAGTCACGTGGGCTGCCCCCTGTACTTGTATTATTCATTCACATGCCCGATTCACTCTGTCGTGCAGCCATCAAAAGCGAGGCTCTGTGTGTGTATTAGCTCAATACAGAGGGAGCTAAGAGTTATTTTATATTGAATGTTTAAAATACACCATTAATTTTTAAATGAGCCACACTGCCACGGGTGCAGTGCCAGCATTTCCATCTGAGCTCGCCTTCTATTGACACAACCGCTAAGCTAACGGTGTGGGCTAGGCTAGGCGCGAGTGCGGTGAAACATGAGAATTGAGTCATGCTGTGAGCGGAATGAGAGTGGGGTATTGTGTGCGAGTGATAAAGAAGTTCCATATACACAGTTACACACACGAACACTCACACACACATACACAGACAAAGATCTCATTTGTTGATGGTGTGTTGTGGCCTGCACTGTGCCATACAAAGACAAAGATCCTACACGTAGCTTTTAAGAAAATGTTCGGCGAAGTGCTGTTCGCGAGCACCTTTAAAGGCCAGCACAGCATACAAATAGGTGGGTGGTCAACACCACGCTGGGTCGTCTTTGTCTCCCCAGTGGTGATGTTTATACACCACCCCAGGAATTAATTTAAGGCTGAGTCGACCTTGGCAAGGCCCAGGACCGGTTAAAATATTCACGACTGTTATTGGTCATGAGAGGAAAATTAAAATGAGGTCGCTGGGTTCGTCGCGCAGTGCGCTAACCACTACACTGCTGCTCCCCAGGCCAGCACAAAGTCATAATAAAACAAAGATCCCCCATGTAGCCTAGCGTTAGCGAGCACCTATTAAGGCTGGCACAGGCACACGAGGAGGGGGGGGGGGCAACATTACACCCGGTGTAATTAAGCAAAGTATTTACTTCACTTAACCCAGGAGTCTCCAGTTCACTTTCATTTGCTGGATGCGATAGTAAAAAAAAATGGACATTATTCTTTAAAATATTCCCTGCCTCTGTTAACCCATCAGTAAAAATTGGTACTCCACAATCATTTGATCGGCAGGACACGTACGGTGAGGTTAAGTTTGCGTACTCTCACCTCTTCCAAGGAGTCTGTCCAATGTAGCAGAGCAGGCCAAATACCCTCTAAGAGAGGATCTCTAGAGCGGTCTCCAGTGGAGGATCTTCTACAAATAGTGGCCTGAGAAAGCAATTGCAGGACTGCACCTTTACCCATTTACCACTTCGACTGAGAGTTCGATTCGGAAATCGAGAGCTCAGTTTGCGACAAAAACCACGGGTGACGGCAGCAGCCCTCGAGACCGGCGTTGCGAGCAGGTTCCCCACGTTGTGAACGCTGACCGGCGACGCGGGGCGCCCAACGCGGACAGCACGACGCTCGCACGCGAGTGGACCAGGGTGGAACCGGCACGAGCGTACCAGGGTTGCGCCGGCGCCCGAGCGGTCTGCGTCGCGCGCGGGGCTGCGCGGCGTGAACTTGGGCGTGGAGCGGCCACTGACGGGCGGCGAGGAGCTGGCGAGCGACGACCCCGTGAGCGACACGGGCAGTGACGTCCCCCCCGCCGCCGCCGTCGCGCTGTTGCGGAGGCGCGCCAGGCTCAGGCTGTCGAGACTCCCGCTGCCCACGCGCGACTCGATCTCCTCCGCGCGCTGCTCCGTCGACTCCTTCTCCTCCTGGATCAGCCTGGGGGAACGCGCGACGTGGTTTCGGGAAGAGCGTCAATGCTGCCATAGGATAACATTTAGAATCAACGTGCAATTGGCAGCTATCAATGTACACTCGTTTGTGGCCCAGGTCACTTCTAAAAAAGAGCTATATAGCCGAGTGGGCCTTATCTGGTGAAATAAAAAATAGTTTGTTATTTAGTTAGTGAGTTGGGATACTATGCCGATCGATAGCTTGTGTACCCATTGATACTGTTGGGAGGACGGGGGGAGGGGGTCTTACAATGTAAATGGAAAACGAACACGTTTCCCTGAGGTTTGATTTGTTGATTGATATCAAACACCATAGAACAATAATTATATCCTAATTTAATTTTATGGAACTTCGAGGAGCCGCATTGCAAAATACCGTTTCTGACAATGTCACAATCTTCTGCCGTGTCTCTCCCTCTCGCTCACTGCTCCAGAGAAAAGACAAGGGCCATCTCCAATGTCCGTGAAAGCTTTGGATGGTGGATTGCACCACACAATATGAGTCATGTCTGAATGTCCACAATGCTATCCGCACAAATCAACCTTGGCATTTCCGCTGGAACCAAAACAGGGGCATAAACGACCCTCTCAGAATACGTAAGATTGGTATATTCACAATTTTCTTAAAAACGGAAAGAATAAATGTTACACTAGACGAGACGGTACCAACGGTGTCGTTTTGCCACCCGGCGGTTGGGATTGCTGATTGCTTGGTGGCAAAATGGGGATTCTGCGCTGATTTAAATGTTAATTTGTTGAGCACTAAGCTGTTAGCTACGCACTTGAGCCCGAGTCAAAAGATTACTTTGGCCTTGCTTTGTGTACTAAACAGATTTCAATCCCTTTATGTACCAAGGATTAAAACAATTGCTTTCCTATTCCATCTGTCATTTTGAAGGGCCAACATCTATGATGATACGTAGACATTGACAGCTTTAATCACCAATAGAATTATTTTTTATTTTAAATTAATATGGATGCATGTATTTACATGCAGCCACTATAATGGATTAGATTTTAATGCTTGTGTAATCATATTCATTATTTGCACAGCATCAGCACAACAGAACAAATGGCCTTTTTAATGGAATCAGTAAAACTGAGTGAACACAATGAACTGCATTTCACAAAAGAACAGTTAGATTTTCTAGTAATACCTGTACATAAATGACAATCAAAATTTTGCATTGCGAATAACTTTAAAAATAATTAGGTAATTATATTCCAGATATCAACGATTGTTCAAATTGCTTTCCACAATTTTACAATGTTAGCGCTTCCACGGATGCTTACATTTTCTTTTCCTTCGGGATTGCACAAATCCTCGCTAAATCAGGGCTAAAACTCGTTTGGCACAGCTGCGGACGAGGGTTGACGCTGCTCTGCATGCGAGTGGATCCCCGGTGTTAGATGCCCGGCATGATTAACGCGTGGGATCGTCATCACTCTGCAACGTTCGGTGCACGTTTGCGGGAAAATTAAAACAACACGAGCAATCATGCTTCGCTGTGTAAAACGTGCACGATTTTAAAATATACTGGCTTAGTTTTGAATTTCACTCAATTATAATGATGTTGTACATTCTTTTTTTGTCTGGCCAAAAGGTGATATGTCAGTTTGTCAGCGAGTAAGTTCCCTGACCACCTGATACCGTATCACTTGGCAAGCTAAGTAAGTACAATGTCAGCCTGCCAGTTAGTGTGTTTAAATGTCGGCCAGGGGGTCAACTCAGCGCATTGTCCATCCAGGGTAAATTAAATTACTATTACTTTGTGAGACGTCAACAGTGGTTGCCCTGTGGAAAGAGTAACATCTTGCATATACTGTATATAAAAAGATGAACCCTGTGACATGCTCTTTGCAGAGGGTATTGTCCATTCTTGACATTATCCAAGACAGAAACAAAATGAACTGGATCAGATATATTTTCAAGATCATGCCAACATAATTCTACACAAATGATGTATTAACATGATTGAATATGTTCAAACTTTGTAAATTTCTGCGCCATCAATGCAACCCCATGCTACCCATGCCAGGCAGATCAAGAACTTTGACGTGGCTTTGCTGCAATGACACAGCACTGTGGTTGTGCCAGATTTAAAATGCTGCCATGTCCACAGGACAAATCCATTATTTCCCTCCCACTAGCAAGCACATCAGCACTGCAGTCTCAATGTCTTGCAGTGGGATCAGGATACAAATTCCTATCAGCTTGTGAGCAGCAAGAAGCCCCATCCAGGGTTTCCTCTGCAAGAGATTACGCCGGCTATGCATTACAACTCGCTCCACAAAATCACAACAATCCGTACAATCCTCTTAGTCGCTGTTCAACAGGTTTTGACTTATTTCGTCTACAAGCTTAAACCACTTGGGTTTTTTTTATGTCACTTCATCAACATCAGCCATGATCTAATCCATTGCAGACTGTTCAGAAATTAAGTGAGCTTGGGGAGGTATGATGGCCGATAAGATGATTAATTGGAGCAATTTAAAATTATGTCAATAAATGTATTAGCAGTTCAAGGTCGAGAGGTCACCAAGGTCCACTGTCACTGTGCAGTATTCTACTATCTGGCTTAAGGTCTTCCCCCCTGGGCAGTGCATTCTGGGTACCACTCCAATGCCTGTCTTAGCAACATCCTCTTCTACATCCTGCACATGTGCCCCACCCAGCGTGAGCTCGGTTTCCTCATTATATTGACAATGCTTCCTTGGCATATGCTCATCTGCGCTTCTACTAAATAGCGATTGATAATATAATCATTCGTATTCAAATACACCTGCATGCCCATCAGTTCAATGATCATGTACTTCCCAGAAAGAAAAAAGATCCCCCGTATAGCCTCGAATAGACTGTTGGGGCAAGTTCTGTCCGCGAGCACCTGTGAAGGCCGGCATGGTGCATGAGGGGGTACTGTGGCACCACACCCAGCCACCTTTGACTTTCCAATGCACCAGGTACTCATGTCAGAGTCAAATTATGGGAGGCCCACAACCTCTGCAGACATTCGTCACCAACGTTAGCCGAGTGCAAGGAATGAACCCAGGTCGCGGGGTTAATAGCGCAGAGTACTAAACAATACACTACTGCTCCCAACACTGCTGTACTTCATATGGTCACGTGTGCACTGACACATGGCTACGTCAAGACAAGTGAAAACAGAAAGTCCATCTTCAAGCCTCAATCATGCTTGAGCCAGCATTCTTTACAGAGCTCGGGAACAACATATTGCACTCTGATCGAAGCAAAATCCTTATCGATGTGTCTCGCAAGATGCAAAGATGTCAGTCAAGCCAACCATAACACGGCTGCTCTATGTTTAAGTGTTGTAAAAAACAACAATGAAATATCTATTTTAAGTGTAATGTCTTTAACACATGCCACAGTGGTGATCATAATGAATTACAAACATGCCTTTGTCTACATTTTGATAGCCTGCGAGTCACCATTGCTTTCCAATTCACACCCCAAAAATACGAACAGATGATTCATAGCTGAGATACACCACAGACCGGCTTGAAATAATGTACAATTATGAATATTACAGAGTTTATAGTTTAAATGCTGGTTAGTGAAAGCAGTTCAGAATAACACACTTTCAGACGTCATCATGGCCAAAGCTGCCACCACCTCAGACAACCGGGATGTAATCGGTGTTCATGTAGAATCACAGAGCTCCTTCACTCAATGCTCTGTAACTGCTCTGCTGTCATCTGCCTGCAAGCGAAGTGAAAATGTGTTGCACATTGCACTCTTACAGTAGCAGGAAACGTTAAGCAATCAAATTAGGGAACACGATTCATGGTTACATAGGCCTCTTTACGTGACCGTAATTTTTTCCATAAATGCATGTTCTTAGAAGGCACATTAAACTATATTTATGAACTTATCTGAAGCAATGTCACTTTGCTTTTGAAATATTTTTGATTTAACAAAAGAAGAGTTGTGCAGGTTATACGAAGCGTGCAAACAAATTGATGTGACTGAACAGCCCTTTAAATTTAGAACTGCTCTTGGATATAGGGCATATTCTTCTTGGCAGTCTTCTCATATCTATATAAAACAAAGGTCAAAGAAACAAACACAGATTTTTCTGACCAACATGGAAGGCTGCCCACATGCAGCTTCGGCCCCTCTGGGGAGAGAAAAAAAAAATCCCTCGGCCAGCGACTCCTGGGAAATTCATTCAAGGAAACCGCATTCAGGGTTGCATTTATTCCCTGGCTCCAATTTGTGAGAAAATGTCACAATTAGGAGCCCCCCCCTGCTTGCAGATTTGTGAGTGAAAGCAATCGTGAATGTTTTCCCCGGCAGGGGCCAGTGAAATGTCACCGAGTCTTGACCGATGCTTTTGCTTTATGGGTGCATGAGATTGCATGGTGGATATAACACGTCAAAACATGTAAATACATGGTGAGAAAATTTGATGCAAGCTATATATATATATCTGTAGCTGATGTATGCAGGCCCTTTGGTATGAGACCTGCTTTGTAATAAACGGTAAAGGTTCAGCCGTGAAATTCAATTCTCATGCCACCACTGGCAGAAGGGCCTCCGCTGAAGGGAGCTGTAGAGAGCTCCCCTCGAGGTAACTGGCTTTCTCTTCCACACTGGATAGATATCTAGGAATGTGTCAGAGTACCCACATTTTTCCTCACCACACGTGACCTGACAGTAAAACAAATGTTGGTGTGCCCATTTATTTTGGAAGAAATCCATGCTCAGAATGACACTGAGAGACAGAAAGACGAGCTTGGTGCATCAAAGTAATCATGCATAGCCCAGACATCGTAGGGACACTTAAGAAAGGTTGGCTTGGGCAACACGTATTGCTAAGGGGTGATGGCTCTTGGACGAAACTGAAGACGGATTGGCAACCAAAGGAGGGAGCATGCCCAAGAAGCCAACAACCATGGAGATGGGGTGATAAGATTGGTTCACATGCAAAAGATCGATGGATGTATTATTGCTTCATGAGACTGTAAGGGAACACAAAGACTTGGGGCATGGGGCTTCAATCCAGCAGTGGCGGGATGAAGTCTGATTATGACGATTGATTTTATCCACCCTTGAGTGCTCATGTTCTCAGTCAAACTTCAACCGGGATTTAAATGCGGGTCAGGTGCTCTGACCAGAGGGGGCCACGTGTACAATGCACGTACGCGTGTGCGAGCGAGCGAACGAGCGAACGAGGGAGCGCGAGTGCGTGCGGGCAGCCTCGGCGGGACCGTGCTACCTGATCTCGTTGTTGATCGCGTCGAGCTGCTCCTGCAGCATGAGGGCGAGCGTCTGCGCGTCCGAGTGGCCGCTGGGCGACAGGAGGTCGGCCGAGCTAAAGATGGTATCGCGGTCGTCTTCCTGGTCGGACGCCTCCGTCTCGCTCTCGAAGGCCTGGGCGACGCTGGCCAGCACGCCCGCCTGCTGCATGCGCTGCCACTCCTGCTCATTCAGCGTTTGTACCTGGGCACACAGACAGGGCCATGTTAGGCATTATGGGGGCCTAGGGCCGTTGTAGTTTTGAGGGGCCCATTATTTTGTATATTCAATTTCCTGCCTTTTGATGTTTAACTTTCAGCAATGCCCAATGGCAAACACTCGATTTTTTGCTTTGCTTTGGTTATTTCAGTTCTCGTTTTTAAATGTAACATATGAATTGTGAAGCTAAATCAAAGTAAAAGTGGATAAATTATCTTAATTTTGTCACGTAACTCGTCGTAATATATGTAGTGATGGCATGGCCTCCATTAAATAATTACCTACGTGACGTATCACAGACATATATTACTGCATTTATACCATTATATAGCTGTGTATATATTTTTGGGGTTCCCTCAAAAATGCACGAGTCCATGGGCTGCAAACCCTAAACCCACTCTATTAATGTGGCCCTGTACATGGGCATGAGGTGGAGGAGCGAAGTGAGGCCGAAATATGTGGATGGCCATGGGTTTACATAATGCGCAGACAAGTCTCACGCATTTGATAAAATTTGTAAGATCTTTGTGGCTCAATGTACGTGCATCTGCAAGTTTGTTTTGGGTGTTGCACATTGAGATCGATACTTTGTGATGTGAAACAGCTTAATACAATTTATCCTTGATTTTCTAATCTCCGTCATTGTAAGAGAAACATTTTCACCGAAGGTGTTTGATGTAACTGGCCATGGTGCTGCAAATTGAACTGCACATTCAGTTGTGCACTGCACATTCTCATCAGTACAGCGCAACCCATTTTAGGTATCCCACTGACTTATAATGACCCCTCCTATTTTATTCTCAACAGATGATTGGACATTGTGAAAGTGATGGCTCCATGCCTGGGACAAGCGAATTATGAGAGTCATTAAATAATTCGTACGTGTATTGAGATCGGTGCTGAACAAAAGCTTATTCTCTGTAAATACTCTCTGTTATATTTTAGTGTATAACAAAATGATGACGATTACGGCCTAAACTTTTTTGGAGCCAAGCAATCCATGAATGACTCAATTTATGCAATTGTCGCAGCATGTTATAGCATTATAGAATAGCAAAGCAGAGGGATGAACTTACAGGAGCGTTAGAGTCCAGACAGAGTCAGCAATTCAGACATTAGAGAGACAACATTGGTGAACAACAACGAAAGAACATTACAGATATTGCATTATTTTGCAAAAAGTATTCTAACGTGAAACAAGGATATGTTTAAACATTTTAAACATTTATATACTGGTAAGTTTACATTTATTTTAATTAAATACCTTGCATTTCCTGCCTTAAGGACATAATTTGGGGAAACAGTAAACAACATTTTATTTTTCGATTTAAAGCTTTCGTGACTGCAGGAATTAATCTTCTTGGTTCTTTCGGTAAAGTCACGTAGAAGGGAAATAATAAAATAATAAAAATAAAACATAATAAAATAATTATTTTATTACTTCCCTTCTACGTGACTTTACCGAAAGAACCAAGGAGAACATTTTATTTTTTTGTTCAAATATTTTAAACACTTTAAAACAGTTAACAGAGTGGAGTGGTGGTCCAGTGGTTTGCACACTCCTGCTTTGAACCAAGCAACCCAAGTTCAATTCCCAGCCATGGTTAACATCAGAGGCGAGAGATATCTGAACTCGTGCTGATCCTGGTCCTGCCCCACCATCGCCCCCCATCACCAAACCGCACTGACCAGCAAGGTGGTGTACGGTCATACAACCCCCCATTACCGATATCGTATGAGAAAGCCTCCATCTAACACTGGATTGACAAAGCGCTGTATGTACTTAATCATGTTAATGAAAATTTTAACAATGATTCAATGTTGCAATACTATGCCTAACTCTCTCTCTTTCTCTCGCCGGCATTCGTTGCAGTGAGAATATAAATGCACCACTTAGTCAAGATGTACATTTAACATTTTTTGCTTTGGCTTGTGGTGATGCATGCTTTAGCTGTGAATTTATGGCCATCCTCAACTGTTTTCCACTACCGCCCCGTGCCTACCACGTGCTTATTTGACCTCTGACCCCTCCCAGCATACCTTGCCCGGTTCATCTCGGAGTGCTGACAGGCGTCCCTTCTGGCGGCGCAGCACCGCTGAGCTTCCAAACGGGTCTCCTGGTGCCTCCAGAATAACTGATGAGCCCAGCGAGTAGCGAATATCTGACGAGCTACCAAGATGTGACCTTCAAACAAAGGAAAGAGGGCAAAAATCTCCACACCTGACACTGAACAGAAGGAATAAAATCACTAAACAACACCATACTCATATATTAAAAACATATATATATATAAAATAAACATAAATTATTCATTGGATCTTATTCGGATAGAACATCGGATTCTCAAAGAGGATTTTGAAGAACAATTGGTGGGACCTTGACCTGCTTAGAGGACGCTCACCCACCACCAGTGAGGTCAAAGGCTGCCTTTCAAAGCAGGGTTCAACCAAGGGGCATACATCACCGGCTAGACAATGCTTAAAGTGACGTAGCCACCCAACTGGCGTATGGCATTGGGTCAGCTTTAAAGGCGCACACATCGACCGTCACTGTCATCAGCGTAGACGTTCATTTTAAAGCAGTCTGCCACTCATCCTTTGAGAGCGAGCACGGGCTTTGAAAATTAACAAAACAAGCCCACTACGACTCTTCCCGTTCTATTCACATATCTAAAGCCCACATTGAGAGTATTTGGAATGCGGTCTCTATGAGAATTAATTTCTGGACAAGGTTATCCTTGGACGCCATTGCAGCCAGATGGATAGCCTACTATTGTAGTTGGGGCGTGCGCCACGGAGCCAGATGGAATGAGATTCTTGGTGCAAACTCGATCACATCCATCTGGTAATGCCGTGGAACATTACAAAAGCATGCACGTCGCTACAAAGGGTTTGTGACAATTTGCAAAAGTCGTAACTGCATGCAATTGTCGTGACAGCAGCTCAAAATGGCAGTCAAAAAGCTCCAAGACCAAAAAAACTACAACTTGCAAATAAAATACACACTAAATAATTAGATTGATAAATTATCTTTCTGAATGTATGCTTTTGACTTCTTATTTGAAAATATAAAATGTTGCTATAATTATGAATCGATGCATACTTGTTATCAAACATATTTGATTGCTTTCCCTCCAAACAATGGAGTGGATTTTCCAATCACAGATTTTATATTGGACTGCACGCAATCCTAATGTCGCGTAATTCACTTTTCTTGGACACAATGAAAATACTTATCGCTTATCTGATGCCTGTAAGCTGCAGGTTACAAATTTAACAAATGTATTCAAATATTAACGATGGAAGACGATCATAAAACAATTTCAAGCATTTTTCTGTCATTTTGACAAGCACGCCCAGGGGTGCGTACGATCACTACACAATGCATCTTGCCTTTATTGTAGAGCTGCCCCCTCCGCTCCCTCCCCCTCCTCCCCACAGCACATTTGCAAAAATGACCGAGATTCATCGGAAAGTTTTAGAGCCAAACAGAGCAACAGCATTTAGTTAAGGTGATAATGTTATTACTTTAAGCGGTTTAGGGGCAGGAGAGCTGCCGAAGAATATACGATCAGAAATTTGATATAAATAATACCGGAGCTGCACGGGAAATTATATGGTGCTCAGAGCAATGGCACACTTTTATGACAGGAAAAAAAACTGCATATCTAAATTGTACGCCAACACCAAGTTAAATAACAGGCTTTTCGTATAATGCACTGATGCATTTTGTAAATTGAACGAAGTCGTCGGCATAGGCTCTGGGTGGTGGAAAGTTCTGTCTGCAGTGCCTTGAGTGCTGTACACAGAACGGGGCTGGTCGTTTGGTCATGAACCATCATGAATGTGGACTTATATTGGGCAATGCCATAAGTAACCCTAATGACCACATTACCCGCAATGTGCCCGATCTGGCTACATCTCGGAAGCTAAGCAGGGTTGAAAGTGGATGGTACTTGTGTAGTGACATAGAATGGGTCACTACAGGCGCGTAGCGCTGGTTACTGGTAGAGAGCGGGATCGTGGGTGTAGTAGTCCGGTCTACCAGCAGGGCAGGTGAAGTGTGCCCTGGAGCGCGCGGCGCCGGTTGCTGGCAGTGAAGGGCATTTGAGGATACAGCGGCCGGTCTGCCAGTAGGGCACGTGACAGGCACTGATGTAGGGTAAAGGTGACAAGAGGGGACACGTGGGGCAGAGCCCAGAATCTTCTGGTAGGTTCCAGAAGGGGGCGTGGTGGGGGGCGGAGCCAGGCCACGATGGGGAGGATAAAAGGGAGGCCCCGACGCTAGGTCGGGGCTGCTGCGGTTTGGGAATGGAACCCATCGTCTTCACAAGTCTTCACCTCCTCGTCGGTGTTGGGTCAGGCAGTGTGCCGGCTGTCCTGACCCATATATAGTTATCTCCTATACTGTGGAAAGTGTCGAATAAACGTGTATGCCTCCTACTATTAGTGTCTCTGAAGTGACTCGCTACACTTGTACAAGTGAGTAAATGCCATGCAAAACAGGTGTTATAGGCTGCTATACGGGGGCCCTGTCCTGGGGCAGCAGATGGCAGTGCATCAACTAGAAATGTTGAACTGGACGTCTATGCACTCAGGTATATGCTCCCCGCCTTCACCAACCCGCACTGACCAGCTTGGTGGCACATGTACAGTATATGAAGTACACAGGATTGGCACAATGTACAGTGAAACGTGTGAAAATGCAGTGCCATTAACACCCTCTACGAATATTACACCTAACCTATCTGACACTTTTATATTAAAACACAAAGTTTATCTCTGTGCAGGCAAAGTGTGGGGTGGCGCTAAGCTCCGCTAACGGTTCAGAGGCGGCGGTGGAAATTCCAGATTTCTACGGCGATGGCCATTAAACAACTGAACATTTTAATTTCGTTCATTATACAAACCACGGTTTTATAATTAAAGAAAAAAACCACATGTTTTAAATTAACTATATATGACATCATTATGACTGGTTTCTTCACGTGGTGTTTTTTTTTTCTTTTTACAAAGGTTCCCACCATAGGCAGAAATATTAGTTGTGTTTGCAGTAGAAATGTTGTGAATGTTGTTCACAATCTTTCTGTTATTACCATGTCATTTGAACCATTGGTACCAAGTAGAAAGGATCAGGATGGCAACCGAGCGAGACTGACAATTGCATAATTTGCGGTTTTAGATTTTCCCCAAACATTATTAAATTCTTGCCATTGAAATATCCATTAAGAACTCTTGAAGGAATACTACATTACCCCGTGTGTAAGATAATGGCCCTGTGAATGGTGATATCACCAAACTGCTTAAAAAATCCCCTCCCCCTCGAATGACCCTTGAGTTATTCATACACAAAAGGCACATGTTCCAATAACGCGCCCTGCTGCAGGGAAATGATGATTCCAACTTGTAATGCCCCGCACGGCATTCCGCTCACTCTCGCAGAGTAAGAACGACTCGAAGGCACGAGGAATCATAGAGAAGTGGGAAGGCAGCCGGGCAGTGAGCCAGCGTCAAAATTCCTCCCCCCCCCCAAACTCTGCGGTCCTCTATATAGAGAGTCAGTTAATTTAGTTGAAATCGTGAGTGCGATGTCTAAGCGACAACGAGTGAGTACCGTGGAATGACCGGGTCGACCATGGAGCTTGTTTTAAGCCTCCACTGCTCCATCTCCAGACGAACCTTTTCCACTTCGTCCGCCATACGCTCCTGCCGGAAGATATAAACAAAACTATTATAGCACAAACTGTGGCACTGGCTTACCAATGATAGCCTGCTTACCAAGGGCAGCTGGCTTTTCCCGACAGCCGGCTTACCAATGGTACCCGCCTAGCCAACTGTGGCCGGCTTGCCAACAGCGCCCGGGCCTAACAACAGCGGCTGGCTTATCACGACAGCCGGCTTGCCAATGGCGGTTGGCTTGTCAACTGTGGCCGGCTTACAAGTGGCAGCTGGCTTTTAACAGCAGCCGGCTTACCAGTAATGGCAGTTGGCTTGCCACCTGTGGCCGGCTTGCCAATGGCAACCGGCTTACCAATGGCAGCTTGCTTACCAATGGCAGCTTTCTTACCGACACCAGTTGCTGGTTCAGCACCCGCATTATCGGAGTAATCAATACATACACTCACATGTGCTTATTTGGTGCAAGTCTTTTTATAAAACGTACTCCAGTATATGCATGTACAGCAAATAGAAGTGAAAAGGTTTTAAACTTGAAAGCTATTAAATATAGCACCGTGCTGGATGAGGTCCTTCAAATGCCATGTCGGTCACGGAGGATGTTTGACCAAAATCCTTCTCCACGTTGGTCAGCTCGGGTTGGTGAACGGGAATGGTGGAAGGGAGCTATGGTTCTGACACCACCCGCCACGGACGCTGGCCACGGTCAGGAATCGAACGCAGATAACCAGATTCGCGGCACACTGCATGAACGACCATACCATCTCTCCTACCCCTAACTGAGTTCACCTAAAGGAAATGTGTGGTTATATAAACAGGAGAGCAAACAATTGGTGTGTGGGAACGTTAATGTTATGCTTATTAATGCATATATTTGTATAATTTCTCTAAAGGCTCTACATTATTACCCCCCTTAATGGCTAAATGTTAATGCCTTGTAAATATTTGCACACTTTTCCTAATGGCGACATGAATCATGCATGCATATATTTCATCTCATGCTGTTATGTGTTGCAATTAATATATCTGAGGTTAATCCTGCTTTCTGGCAGTGGGCTTTTCATAAGCGGCTGTATCAACTGCTTACAAAGCCTGCCTTGTGCGTTGAACATCACAGGACACTGGCAAAGACATCACAAATCACTGACTGTTGAGAGAATCCAAGCCTATCCAGTAATAAGGAGCACATTGTTCAGTATTATTTCAAGCTGCTCTTAACAACATAACATTGTCAGGTAGGAAAAAAAAAACACGTAACTTTTCTTTCCATCTAAATAATTTGCGACAATTTGTGAAGCTCATTATCCCAAGAGCGCACAGGTGCTCGAATCATCCAGTTTTCATTCAACAAGTGCACCGCCGATTTTCTTGTGGCCATTTATATTCAAGCACGTCTCTCTTCCGTGCATTTCAAATGTCTCGTTTTGAAAGATGGAATTCTCTCCTTGGAAATCTGTTCTCATCATATATCTAGATATATATACGTTGTTTGCTAAACCAAATTTAATGCGTGATGAACGTCGTTCGCACCGTACGTAGCCAGCCGTGCTAATCGGAGGTGCGGGGGACGGACAACAGACTAAACACAAAAAGCAGTTCTCAAGAAATACATTTTCAATTAAAATCGAATCTGAAAGGTAATACTACATTTTACATACTTGGGCACGACTGCAGTACAGTATTGTTTTTTGTTGATCTGCAAAAATCGGTTAGACAAAATCAAGTGGAATAATGCCGTGCATATTGTGAGTAATGGAGTTAAGGGAGAGACAGTGGTTCCAGGGAAAGAGGGTGTGGCTGCTGGTGGATGCATGTCCATCGCAAGCCCAGTGATTCCCTTCTCATCTCCCGCTGGTGGTCCTCAGCCAGTGGTGGAAATTCCTCATTGATATGGCAGGGACAAATGAATCCATCGAAAAACCACTGCTAACATTCAATCGAGTTCAACCCTTGCACCTGCGAGTAGATTTTTGTTTTGTGCGATCCAACCCAAAAAACCTTTATTATGGAGAATATTGGTCGCGAAAGCCTACGTGTTAAGCAGACTTTTTGTTTTAGGTCCGAACACAGTACGGTCAAAAACCTCTTATCTGTGGTGATATGGTGGGCCCTCTTAACAGATCCTATTGTCAATAATTACTTGTGTAAATTACTCCCGTTATTCATGTGGCTAACCACATATAAATGTAGCTCATATGATACATTTTCCACAACTTGTGTGTCACTCCCATTATCACAGACAAGAGCAGGTTAATATGAAGAATGAATGCATGGCAAACTGGATTTTACATCCACGGATTGAGTTGGGGGGTACTGGAAATAGGAACATCTCTTAAGAAGGAAGGGTGGATAACGTGCATCTGACTGGATATGCTCTCCTTGTGAACTGCAGAAGTCCAGTCTGCGAGTTCACGGTCAAATATTCCTTGGAAAAAAATCAAGGCAATCAAGTGACCCGAGCTATGCAATACAGTACAGTAATTGGTATTGCAAAGAAAACAATTCCTCACTCAATATCAGATTTAGAGGAGCCTGAACTACGGGATTAGTTATGAGCTCCAGGAACTTAGCTGCCCATCACGTGTCTATGTGCTGTGCTGGCCTTATTTGCTCAAATGTAACATCTTGAAGGGTGTGACCAGCAGCCACTTGTGACCTTTTGTCAAGCAATTGCAGGCAGGTCATTGAACCAATTTAACTTTATAACTTTCTCGAAGGTCCATAGCACGCAATGTATAACTTGCATACAACACTGTTCGAATAGAAAAGAGTTACAGCTGTATTGCAGTAATTTAATGTTCAGCATCATAGCGAGGCGACTGTGATGATCATCAGTGCTCATCGCAAACAGGTGAACTCCATGAAGTGCCGTCTCTCAAAGAGTAAATGTAGTTTGAAATCATTTTAAGTCAATCGCACCTGCTGACCCGAATAAGCGAAAAAATGGCACTCACATCATGCAGCCAGCAGCAAGGTTGGTGAAGCAGTCAAGCATTTGTAAGCCTTTGTCACTCTTAATAAGGATATACAAAAGGTAGGGAAACCTAAAGCAATGAAATGAATACAAGGGACTATTGCATGTCACTGTTTCTATTCTGTCGCAAGAAAAAAGAGTTTTTTTGTAAATTCCACAGAGATGCTTTCAGACCATCTTATTGCACAGAGCAGCATGTAGTAAGCTGGTTATTACGTTTTCAATTTTCTGTTTGAATTGGAGCCTCAAAATTCCCCCCAAAAAGCTATGGGAGAGGTCAATCCCCTTTTCAAACTAATCATGCATTTTGATACAGAGAGCTGAGAGCTGTAGCAGAGTGTGTGTACGTGTCTCGGCTGAATCCATTATGACATAAATCTCATCTCATAATGTATAGGTCCTGTCATATGGTGGGTACATCATGGCAATCAAACCTTGTTTGGAACTTACCAAGGCATTGAATGTTGACTGTGTGTCTGTGATAGACACAGGTCCATACAAGTTATGCGGGAAGGGTATCTTATCAGACTGTTGAGGCAAGTGCTGTTAGCGAGCACCTATGAAGGCCGACACAGCACACAAGTACGTGGTGCGAGGTTCACACACCACAGCAGGTACTCATTTGAGGCTGAGTCGACCTATGGGAGGCCCAGGACCGGTTCAGATAATCGTCACCATGAGTGGGAATCGGGTCGCCAGGTTCGTAGCACGACGCACTAACCGCTGTACCACGGCTCTCCCCTCTAGAACGTGACCCCAGCCACAGCCCTTATGCTGTGACCTGGGATCCCCAGAAACAGCAAGAGTCTCAATTCGTGATAAGTCCACAGTGCTACTGCTGGGGAGGCCTTCAACTCACAATTGTAATATTGTGAGTTCAGTCATTCATCCTTTAGGGGGGTCAATAAAATATGTATAACTTTGTGGGCAGTCAAAAGTGATCAGCCTATCAATAGAATGGTTCCCAGCGTGGGAATGTGGAATTCATCATACCCAAAGGCGGTTAACTTTTCATGTAAAATTCACACATTACAATAACCACCAATTCTCTTCCTTCAGTTCACGGCTTCATTAAAGTTGTAATTTAAAAGAGACTGGGAACACATTTTACAGGTCTATATATTTTGCACCACATTTTAAAACTATAATACGCTTACATTTAAACAAACAGCATTTCATGAATTTTTTCAAAACGATTTACACACAAAATTACTTTTGATATTAATTAAGCTATGAATATAGTTTTTTTTTCCCCAATGCTGCAGAAAAAAAGTTTTTCATTGGAGGATTTAGTTCATTCACACAAACGTGTTTCACCTTTCACACAATATAATTCCAAATGAGCGACAATTACAACTTCATATTCCACAAGGGCTCAAGGGGCTCTGCATGGATATCACCTTCCACAGGCGAGGCACAGCATCACAGAGCCTCTTCCCTTGGTACTGGTCCACCAACCCAGGGTATATACATATATATTGCACTTCTTTCGCACCGTACGTAGCCAACCGTGCTAATCCATTCCCTGGCTACCACATTCAGATAAGCCCCTCCTCCCCCCCTTAACTTGTATTTAAGAGCTTGACTCTTGGAATTTTGCCTCACTTGAGACAGTAAATTTAGCTGTGACGGTCCCACCTGATGACGGAGACTTGTGTTGCCTCCGAAACGTCGTGATTTATTATTTTATTTCTATTATTTTTTCAATTACATTATTTATTATTTTTTACCTACGTGACTTTACCGAAAAACCTAGGAGTGTGAATCCTTGCAGTCACGAAAGCTTCAAATCTAGAATCGGAGGGTAACCATAAGTGCAACACTCATTCTGAAGCCTCTGATCTAACCAAGACCTATCTCCTGCTCAAGGTGAGAGCCTTGCTCGTGCAAAGCATGATGGGAGCTCGAGGAGCCATCCTCGGTAACAAAGAATGGCGTAGAGAGGACGCCAATGACATAGACGGCAGAGGAAGGTCCTAGTGGAGCCAAACGGTGGGTGTGGCAAGCAGAGAGACACCTCTAGCCATCAGGGCTGCGCAGGTGTTCCTCCAAAAAGGGGACACACCAGGCAGACAAGCTCCTGATTCAATCAAATTAAATCCACGAGACGATGATTGCTGTTGTGAAACGTTTAGATGATAACTACACATTGTTGCAGACGTGTGTGTACGAAAGAGACATCACAATATATAAAGCTGTGGAAGATTGAATCAAAAATAAATTACTTAGCTAAAATAACTTTTCAAATTAGCTGATGCTGGAAAAAAGGCTTATTGTCTACACATATATACATATATAAAATTGTTCATCAATAAATCTGCAATAGTCATCAGACAAATCACAAGCATGATGACACTCGGTGCACACACAAACTCACCCCTTCACCCTAGCCCGTCCCCTGTGCCGGGTGCCCAGCGAGGATGCCACACGAATACGAAGAGGCGACGGACGGGCGAAGCCGAAACCTTGGTCTGCCACAAACCCTAACCCTTGACCCCATAACCTGAGCAGGCTGCAGGCCCTAATGGAGTGCTCGTGTAAAACTCTGAGTGACGTGCCTCCCGTTCTCGTATGGTGGCATAACCCATGCACCCCTAACCCCCACCTTGACTTCTGCACAAAGCAGAGGCTGAGGGAGGGACTTTGAATCATCCGCGACGCAGCCCCGGTTACAGCGGCGCACTCAAGTGCGATGGAGCAGGCACAGCTCGTTCTTGAGGAGAGGCTGCGATGCCAATGAGGAAGCCACAGGGATCCCACGCCCCATGCTGTTGGTGAGGGTTTTGCGCACGGATAGACAACGCGAACGAAAATGGAACGGAACGCGACAAACGAAGGGGAAGCGGCGATCGAATTGAACTTGCTGTGCGTGGACGTGCCGTGCCCCGGATGGTTGCGGAGGAAGAATATTTTTTTACGGCGTCGGTTTGCTTTAATGATTCATCTTGGCCTCACTTTTGTTGTCCGAAGTGAGCGCAGCGAGACCGCCGGAGTGAAATTGATGTCGCACAAATTCACGTCTCGCGTAATACGATGCGACTTTGTCAGCGGCGCTTCATCTTGCACATATGCCTCGATCTAAAGAACCCTTTCTGCCGGTATTATGATGATTTTAAAAAATGAGGTTTAACCCTATTTGGCAATAATACAGGAGGTGTTAAGATGATCAAACACCAAATTAACATCTATTACAAGGCATCATCAAGTCTGCATTGACCACATATACTGTACTTGTGGTAAAACATGCAAACGAATATGCTTTAATAATGTATGCATTGTCCTTCAAACTGATTGACCTGCACCAGAGGCAGCCTCCTCTATGGCCTTGTCTCACCGTTGCTCAACCAAAGAAGGCCAAATAGCTGTGCATTTGGTGGTTGAACATCTTAGCACCTCCTGTATTAATGCCTTTTATTATTCTTTTAAAATCACATCTTACTACGTTTGAAATGGGGTCTGTTTGTCAGCCACTGTCCACATCACCCCCAAAGTTTTCAATATTAACTGGCAATCAGTGGGATTTTAAATGTTCATTGACAATGGATGCAATTGTGCTCTGTGAGAGTATAGAATATACATATATCACAACAGTTGAACGAGCTGCACGACGGACACAATAACGCAAATTGGCCATGAAATAAACACTCAAAATACAAACCGCTAAAATATAAGAGTTTTGTTTACCTTATCCATGTGGGCCTCTTCCAACTGTTTTCTTGTATTATCAAGTTCATGGGTAAGTGCATTCTAAACAAATACATGAAGAGAATGCATCATTACAAATGCCACACACACACATACAACTGTGAAATAAGCAAGTGACAAATTGACAGTTGAAGAGAATCGTTACTGATTAAAATAAAATTCAATGTCGTTGAACAAGCGAATGCATTGACTTGAAACCTGCCATTTTGTGATTTGTGCAAGCAAATTTTTGCTCATGTCTATGAAATAATCAGCTGCAGCTGAAAAATTATTGTAACAACTATTGGCTTTCAATCAAGGAAATGAGATTAGCCCAGAAAAATCATTCAAAATTAAATCATTCAAAACCAACGCTTAGTTAAGCAACATCATCTTAACGTAAGGTACATATGAAGTCAAAAGCCAGATTAAAATAGATTACTATTAAAATTATGGATGTGTTGATGCAATCCAGTTTATAGGGCATGAAATGTATTTGTTTTTTGTTTATTTCAATGAAAAAAAAACAAACACGTAACTATTCACTTGGCCTTCGCCCACCAAACTGTGACACGCGCTCTCTCGCGACCACGTCGATGTTAGTCGCTCCCCGCTGAAACAATGGGACGTAAACCCCCACACGGCGGGCTCGTCCCTTCGCGCTCGCGCGGTGCAGGGTGAGCGGGAGAAGTGAGCTGGCGGCCACTTGGCATACTCTTAGTTCTTTCGGTAAAGTCACGTAGGTAAAAAATGAAATTAAAATTGATAAAAAATAAAAACAATAAAATCACGACGTTTCGGAGGCAACACAAGCTTCCGTCTTCAGGTGAAACTGTCACAGCAAAATATCTGTATCAAGTGGCCACTTGGCAGTTCGGGCCTTTAAGCCTTGCGTCCTGTGGCGGCGATTAAAAGTACTTATCAGCTACGACGGGGCCACGGCGGCTTCCACACCCTGGGCGACGGCACGTACCTTCTCCTCCAGCGATGACATCCTCTCCTTGAGGTGCAGCTGCAGCCGCTCGTTGGACTCGGACAGAAGCTTGTCTACCGTGTCCGAGAGCCGCTTGTTGTGCTCCTCGTTCATCTTCTCTCGCTGCCTCGCCTGCATTCACACACACACACGCACGCACGTGGCGGCGGCCGGGGGAGATGGGGGGGGAGGTCATCAAACACTCTCCAAGCTGCCCTCCCCGCTGGGGCATCCTGCAAAGTATGAATTTTCAAGACAAGAGTCGCATATCCGCACCTCCGATTAGCACAGTTGGCCACGTACAGTGCGAAAGAAGTTCAGCATACATACACACATATACGACTCGTTGGGGACTGAGGTAAGGTCACATGTGTGAGCGAAAAGGTCGGATATGTAAACGTAAAATGACAGTTACGCCGTCCGCAAGTACTTTAGAAAATGCACTATATTTACAATGAGTAGCTTGCGAGTGAAAATATTCGTCGGGCATCAACTCAGATGTTCAGCCTGTTGGGCCCACAAAGTGTGTTGTACTACTTCATGGGAGAGTCAACAGTTGGTGTCCATTTGAAGCGAGACATTCCACTGCCTCGGGACCCCAGAGAGGGGGCCACTGTCACATGTTCACCCATGCCCCGAGTGATTTCAACCTCGATTAGCCATCAGCAATTTACTGGCTCGATAAGTTGTGCCCAAAGCAGCAGCACAGAGGACAATGCCCCCACAATGAGTTGCCATGAGACTGTGAGCGTCTGAATCAAGGATAATGCTTAATGGAGCATTGCAGACTTTCAACCAAACTAACTTTGGATTTGGACCCAAGCCCACTCAATCTCCTCACTACCCAGGCCAGCCAACAGCTAAAATGTTCCAGTAGGTGAATTTCAATTAGGTTACTGTGCAATTGTCAGTGAAATATAGCATTGTCTCTCTAATAATTATGCATATTTCGCATCTTTAAAAAAGAAGTATAATTAAGTTGGCTGATAAAATGCCAGAGATCAGCTGACTCCTAAGTGTGCTGACGTTTGTTTTAAATCCTCAAGTTTTAAACATATATACATACATTTGTATTGATCAATTGTGATCTCAGCATCATGTCATGAAATTAAACATTTCCATTCTACAGCAAGCAGTGGATCACCCTGCGTCAGAGAGGATGACATCACAGAAGTATTTCTTCAAGCCTCTTTTACAAGACCTATATCGACAACAGACACACACCTTTAAAAGCCCTTCCTAATTAGTCATTTGACGTCAATGAAATGTACATATTTGTGTCAAAACTTACAGATTTTTTTAAAAACTAAATTAACGTAATGGCTTCCCTGAATGTTGTGGTATCCTGGTGCAGTCACTGGTGACCTAGTTGAGATCATCAACGCACAAAACTTGAGAATCGGGTTCAATCACGTGTGGCTGCCTGGAATTAAACCTAGGCCTCAGGAGCGCCAGCTCATTGCTTGTTATTCCCGAGCCACACAGCAGCGACCTGAAGAATACGATATGTATCCGTCAAATTTCTATTTAAAGCTTTCGTGACTGCAGGGATTCATCTTCTTGGTTCTTTCGGTAAAGTCACGTAGAAGGGAAATAATAAAATAATAAAAATATAACATAATAAAATAATTCTCACGACGTTTCGGCCACAACGCAAGCAGCCGTCCTTGCATTGTGGCCGAAACGTCGTGAGAATTATTTTATTATGTTTTATTTTTATTATTTTATTATTTCCCTTCTACGTGACTTTACCGAAAGAACCAAGAAGATGAATTCGTCAAGTTGACTTTATTCAGTGTGGAAGTACTGTAATTACACATTAATCAGCCACTTGCTAAATTAGAAAGGTTCCTATATGACAGTTCAGTTGCTGACTGCGTGCAGTTTACAAGTCTTCCCCTCATTTACGGGTGCTGTGCACCAAAACAACTCCAGCAGGGCCTTACAGAAATAAAAAAGAGTCTTGAGACTCACAGAGAATCCCGAGATGATCATATAAATCACACATTATTTAAATGGTCACAGTGCAAAACATCGGTGTATGTGGGAAGTGACTGCAAGTAACTGGCCTTGCCGTGTAATAGGATTAGGTGTTAAATTACACAGAGACCCACGGATACTAATTGCATGTTAACATTTATAGCCGTAGCATAGTGAAAACATATCGTCACCTCAAAATGAATATTCGCTTTGGTATAATTACTAAGCTTGCTAGTGGTAAGGTAATGCCTAGACATGTTAATGTATGCTAGAGTTCAAAGGATTTCTTTCAGTACCTTTCTTTTTGCACGATAGCACTCTGTAGATACCATTGTATGGCAGCTACCACACGCTGCTTTGTGTAATTAAATTGCACGAGTCACTTCGAGGAAGCCACTCATCATCAGCATTCATCGATCTGCTGCTGGATGAAGGCCTCCGCAGGCCAGAGCCATCTTTCACGGATGGTCCCACGATGCACCAATCTCTCTAGTACCTTCGCACGAGCCGATTTTAATCGCTCCATCTTGCGTGGTGGACGTTCTTTCGAGCACGTTTCCTCCTTTGGCTGCCACTTTAACATTAATCTCGACCGCTGACCATCATGCCTTCTTGTCGTGTGTTCTACCCAAGCTCCCTTGCTTCAAAGTTTTGAATGCAAGGCGCAATAAAAAAATATATACAAACAACACTAAAAACTGTAAATACTCCAACCTATATTTTGCAGATACGTACCACCCCAGTCTATGTGTTCTCTCGACTGCTCATCATGAACATGCAGCTTCATTCGTGGGAAACAAATGAAGTAATTTTAAGGATTCATCTGAAGTGACTTTACAACAATGACATTGCATTACGAAGCATGGGAATTACGCTGCAGAGCCATGAACCTACAGACAAAGTCATTTTTTCTCCTAGCTGTTGAAGCTTTAAGCTCATTGTCAGAAAGCTCCGGATGCACATCCTGGGTATGTATCTACAAATAAGGAGCCGTAGGAATTTTGTGTTGCGCTTTCCTATCGTCAAAGAGGGCGCAATGGATTGGCCAACCAACCAATTATTTCCAGCGGCTTTACACTCACAGGACAATTCTTCAGAAGGAATATTATCTAAATAATGAGATAGCATCCGAGAAGGGAAACAAACAAATATAGAATACATACAGAGGAGTTGAAAAGAACACAATAACAAAATGAACGAAATGGAATCCATCCAAGAGGACATCTATTCAAGAACTTGAGCGATGACACCAGCTCGTGCTGAACCATGACATTACGGCGATGGCTTGGGGAGAACTTCATCAAGTGGTGGATTGATCACGGTTAATGATGAAGATTAATAAAAGGATACGCATGGCAGTGAAATAAATACCAGCCAAACGGTTCGCAAGATAGTGGCTGCCCTTGAAGTCAGGTGACCGTGAGAGTTGATGCTCTCTGCTCTCTGAGTGATGCCCAAGGGGAGGGAGGGACAGGGAACTCACTCTCAACACCTCCTGATTCTTCTCCTCCAACTGGGTCTCCAGTTGCCGTAGACGTTCCTCGATGTCCCCGTGCCGCTCCTCCGCCTGTCAACCAAAACGAGAATGGTGGTGATAAAAAGCAAAAATCAGAAGTCAGAGAGTGGAGCATTAAAGGGACATTTCTCTTGCTGCAATGAATGAAAAGGTTGCAATGGGTGAATGGCAATGCCGCGAGAAAACCTTGACCGCGGCAAGAGCGGCAGCGTCAAGGCCCGCCGTGCGATGCTCTCTCCCCTGCTAGTTAGTCGGAGCGCGCGGTTGAGGTTGGAGAGCTCGGCAAAGCGGTGTGCACGCGATGCATGGAAGGGGGGCGCGAGTCATGCCGAAGTGGCACGGGCTCTTGGGGATTAATGCGCAAATGCAGATGAGTGATTCGAAGTCTGCGATGGAGGACACTACACGCGTAGGTTAAAAAGGATCCGACTAATAAACATGTAGGTAAATATGTGAAACACAGATTTAGAATGTCTGACCTAATAGATCAAACAAATAAAGATCGTACTTATATTTCCGCTCAGATAATTATTGTCTATTTTATTGTACAATTGCTCGCACATTATAATTTGAGTGACTGCGATAACAATTACAACTTTTAATTTTAAGTTCCCCATTGCTCGCTTTAATTTGTTGCCAACGGTTTGCTTGGATCACTAAACACCCATCAAACAATTGCAACTATTACGTTAAATAAAGCAGGCTATTGTTCAGCGAATGCTGTCATATAAAATAACTTTACATACAGAAGCTGGATTAGCGGACTCAATCTGGATTCGCAAATGGTTGGCAAGGACCAACTAAATCCACACATATTTCCATGCGAATGTAAGCAGCCTCTAAATGCACGAATGAAAATAAGTTAAAATTGCGCTGAATATATTCAGCACACACACATGCAAAGACGCGTACTGATGGATATCCATGCGTTTATCCAAAACTACTTTGCAATTTGCCCAAGTTAATCAAGGAATTAATGATACCACTCCACCACTAACAAAGAGATCTGTCCATACAAAATTGATCCGGTGAACGATGTAAAATTGAAATTACAAGACAAAACAACAAACCAGATCTTGCCAATATTTTTTTTAGTTGTGTGTCAAAACGTCTATATGTTAAAGTCACATTGAGCCCTATGAATTGATCCAAATTGATTTTCTTCTTCTCCGAGACAAACAAATACAACCCTAAGTTCTCTTTGTGCCTCCATCATCCAAGGTAACCCAATAAGCACTGCTCACTTTATCATCTCAGTTATTGCGTCATCCCTCTGCCTCTATAATTTCCTGAAAACTAATATCTTTCACATCGTTCGTCACGGTACTTTTATTTGCTCATCTCCATGATCTCTCTCCGCTAATCTTGAAGTGTACGATTAACTATACAGTGGATCAACAGTGAATGTAGATCTCATTTCCTAGCGTGACATACAACACTATGCTTTGAATCAAAAGTGCAGAAAGTTAAGACGGCCGTACACTTTGAAAAGTCGTGATTTCATGAAGATTAAAAGCGTCATATTATCCACAGTGACTGCGCATCGACAACAGAATCGCGTTGGAAAGATGTAAATAAATGTCCGCCATTTTCAGCCCAGGCATATTGTACAATTCTAATGGCTGAATATGAAGTACATCCCAAGAGCTGAAATGTCAAGTTCTCCAAAGGAAAAGTAATGCAAGTCTAAGAATCTCCAAAATAATACTTGATCAAAAGGCCATAGCTTTGGCACATCTTAATAATGGAAAACCATTTTTAGTATTAATAAGACTTAACATACTTTCCGTGGTAAAGCTACATTCCCATTTTAACATCTACAATAAATATGCAAGGCCAATTGAAATGCACAGTTGCTCCAACTTCATTCAATGTAAATTTTCGTTAAAAAAAAAACCCCTTTACGTATACATATCTCTTAAGAATGCTTTTTTCTTTTGTTAACAAGCCTGCAATAGATGGGATTAGACTACCGAGTCGTTATGTTTAGGTGGCGGTCTCCAAGAACCTTGCAATCGACGGATACGTTGCACAAAAGAGGAAGTTCGAGTGCTTCCGCAGATTTCTATTGGCCCTGCTTGAAAGCCAGGCGGCGTTGGTGGTGGCGGTGAGCGCGGAGACGGAGTGAAGGGAGACAGAAGAGGAGAGGAGGCTGGGCACGCTCTACCTTCCTAAGCAAGATGCTCATGTCTTGCAGTTTAACTTCCAGAATAGTGGAGTCATCGGGTGAAGAGGAGGGATCGTACTGAGAGAGCGAGGAGAAGGAAAGGGGAGGAAACAATAGGAAAGAAAACACATTCAAGAGGGAACAAAATGAAAATGAAATACTTAAGTACAGTCACACCTCTTGAACGCCGATGCTTCGACACTGATTTCCACCGGATAAATGTTCCAAAACAGTGCGTTCGTTTTTGACATCTCGAGTTCCATATTTCAGTTATTTTTAATAAATATCTTTGTTATTTTTTACGAGAGACTGTGACACAATTGGAACTGTTTTTACAAACGGCATCATTCACGGAGTTCGGGTCAAGATGTTTCACCATGTCTAATATGAGGGTTTGATATGCAATTTGTACTTTTTGTTAAATAATTTGTGGCCATTAAAAGAAATGCTATGTTATTGTAACTTAACTCCCAGTGAAGGTTACCTGTGCATTTTAAGAGAAAGGGTAATTCATTCAATATTTGGGGAAATATAGGACTCATAAATACCAAAAAAATATGATTTGTGAGCTCCCCTGATTACACATCAGCACTATTCATTTAAAGGCTCATCCTTCAATCAACATATTCTTCTGAAAAATTAACACCGCCAGCTCAAAGAGGTGAGACCATAATCACAGCTGCAGGTTGAAACACAAAACTGACAAAGCGGCTGGTGGTAAAACGTCCTAAATTTAGCTTGCATACTAATTGCAAATAATGCTGCAAGCCATCATTACAACTTTACGGGAATATATTGTTTTACTTATTGAGGCACAATCAGCACCGTGAAAAATGCTGAACAGCCTCATCCCACTTACCTGCACAAATTACTCGCATGCAAAGCAGAGTCCAATTAAGACAATACGACAAATAAAATGTCTCATCGAGTAAGATGAAAATCTCTCCAAGCATTGAAATTTATACTAGAAATTAGTTATGCTTCAAATTCATAAATGTAAAACACCGTACGAAGTTTGTTTGTTTTTTACAAGTATTATTAAAGATTGCCTGAACAAAATTTCCCCAACATCGAAAAGGTTTTGATATTTTAAAACAGCTAATTTCACTAAAAGTCTTTAAAACCAAACACTCTTATATTTTCTACAACCTTCAAATATATATTACACAACCATTAAAGCAGTTTAATTCTTCAAAACATTTTGTTCCTGTAAATGATTCATCCACGCTTTATCTCTAAAGGCCAAAGTGAGCAGAAGGTACGTTATGTAATTACAATATTTGCGCTATCACAAAAAAGAAACGCATACGTTTGAAATAATCCGTGAATTACATTGGCAGAGCTCATCTAAAGAATGGATTATGTTCTCGTCTGAAAGAACAAGGTTTCAAAAAAACATATTCAAAGGTACGACGCACTATTACCAAGTCATGAGAAGCACAGAGACAGCACAGAAAAAGAAAAACAAGTGCAGCAGGCTGGAAGAGAATTAACAAGAACTCCGAGACATCAAACGTCCCAGCCTGAATCCCCCACGGTGCATGCTGCATGCAGTTTCATGACACAGTGTTAATGCACATGGGGGGACATGTGACCCTCAGTGTGCAACTTAACATCATGCACAGCACACAGCACACAGCAACATCCTGCGACGGTGTGTAAAAAAATATATATATATAAAAATGAACCGCTTCAAAAACAATTGCATTTCCACTCATCAGAATACATTCATGTATGTTCCTCATTAGGGTTTGGATGTTTTAACTACTTTGAGTGATATATACAGGTATACGTGGTAATTGAAGCAGAGGCACTGTTAGTATTATTTTGAGGTTGTCTGAGCGACGAACTGCAATAATGGTATTGCGTTAAAGTGATGGTATGGAGGAAGGATAAATAAAGCATTAAACAAGAGAACAAACGTGAGATGAAAAAATAGGACTATAGTTCTGTGACATGGAGCATGCTTATTTTGGGCATGGCATGAGTGACCACAAGCGATTTGATCAAATGAACTGTCTACACAGAACATTTACTCCACAACTCCCGCATGCATTATATGTTTAGGAACAGTGCGTGCCAAACACAGATATTCCATTTTGTTGGCTGCTGTATCTACGCAACTAATTCTTATAGCATACAAGTGTGGATTCATAGATGAAGCGATATTATTCAAGTGAACTCGAAACATACCAACACGTCGTGCACACATTATAGAGTATCATACTCTTTAAAAACAGCCTAACTGTGAGCGTGAGAAATCAAAAGACGAGCAACGCTAAAATGTTCTCGGATGTATTTTTGGTTTGTACCACACTTTGCACACAGCACGTCCGACGATTTTCTTCCAGCCCCCGCATTTTCACTGCCAATGAAGCTCCCAAGACAGCCGAGTGAAACGTCGGACATCGTGTCACACAACGCATGGCACGAACCCGAGAACACACCGGAGCCGCTGTGCAGCACAAACGTGGACACCTACGCAGCACCAAAAAATACGTACTTGCAAAATGTACATTTTGGACGGAGGGTGGAGAGGGGGGCAGCTGGAAAAAAACACTCCGTTTCTCTTTGCTCGTGTTTACATGCATCTTACTGGTGATGCCGGAAGAGTAATCCGCAACGATGACTCGGCGGTGGCCGTCAGGCATGCACGGTCCGGAACAAATGTCGGTGAGAGCCCCCCACCCCCCCCCAGGCAGCGGCCGTACCTTGGTGAGCGCGGCCACACGCTGTGCGAGCTCGGCCTCCACCTCGGGCAGCGTCTCGGCCTTGCGCATCGTCTGCTGAAGCTTCTGCTCGGCGAGCTCCAGCCTCTCCTGCAGCTGCCGCGTCTTGTCCTCACTCTGCGACGCACATACAGGTGGGAGACAAAGATCCCCCCCCCCGTGTTGCTTTAGTGCTGTTTGCGAGCACCTATGAAGGCCGACACGCGAAAGGGGGTGGGTGGCCAACACCATGCCTGGCCGCCTTTGTCTCCACAGTGGCGATGCTTACACACCGCACCGGGTATTCATTTGAGGCGGAGTCGACCTTGGGGAGGCCCAGGACTGGTTCAGATAATCGTCACTGGTGTTGGCCGTAACCAGGAATCGGACTCGGGTCGCTGGGTTCGCAGCCCAGCACCCTAACCGCTGCACTACCGCTCCCCACATAAAGGGGGAAACGCACAGAGGCGTATACACACACATTTAGAATGCAGCCTCAACGTAACGAGCGTCTCAGAGCACGGATATACACCGCAGGCAATGGGGGAATAGGAGGGAGACCGAGAAAGAGATGGAGAGAAAAGAGCCGATGCACGTGCGTGCACGCTTGGGATTTCACAATATCATTCACGATGTTTAGGCTGACATCATCACAGATTAATTTCTCGTGGAATATTTTACAAGACCTACCCAACCCCCTGCTGTTTCGTGACATGTTTAATGCGGTATAAGTTTCCCATAACTGGGTATTTGTATTTCACATGTATTATTTATTGATGCTGTACTTTGCTGCACTATCTTGTAACCATGAAGTGTACTTAAAAGTTATTCCACTTCATTTCACCCAACTTAAGCATGCCATAAGAGGTTCCGATTATTAATATCTATGAGCGCTATAAAATGCACATGCTATCAGTTACACGAATCATACTTTAAATAACTAAATGAACTATGAAAAGAATGACGTCATATGATCTCCATGCCATGACCTACTCTGCAAAAATATTAGAAGGCGTTCATTTTATAGATAATAGCAAAACATTTGATGATACGATTGAGTTTATAATTCGGAAGACATTTTGCTAAGATTTTTTTAAAATTAATATTTATTAAATGAGCAACGATAATCACGACATAACAATCAAAGCAGACGACAGATTGTATCGTGCAATGCACATCGTGGTATCGCCACATCCTTGCGCCCGTACGCGCTCGTGCGAGCGTGTCCTGCGTACTCGAACCTGGCGCCTGTACGTGCAGTCCGACACGGAGAGGCGATGCGGGAACACAGGAGAACCCGTCATGGGCCGTGACAACATCCTAACATCTTCTTGGTTCTTTCGGTAAAGTCACGTAGAAGGGAAGTAATAAAATATAAAAATAAAACATAATAAAATAATTCTCACGACGTTTCGGCCACAACGCAAGCAGCCGTCCTCAGGTGAAGAAACAGAGTTTGTCTTCCCGACAGACCTGTTTCTTCACCTGAGGACGGCTGCTTGCGTTGTGGCCGAAACGTCGTGAGAATTATTTTATTATGTTTTATATTTTTATTATTTTATTACTTCCCTTCTACGTGACTTTACCGAAAGAACCAAGAAGATGAATCCCTGCAGTCACGAAAGCTTTAAGAGAAGCATCCTAACAGTCAACATCAACAGGTCGTGGGCAGGGCTCTGCGATCAGCACGGTGGCTCGGTATAAGCCCGCGAGAGTGATTTAGCGTGAACTCGTTTGCTCTCGACTTTTCCTTACAGCTCGTGGGGGGCAAGCCTGCTTCTTGCCGCAGGCGTGCGCACGTGATGAAGACGCACGAGAAGAGAAACAAAAACTGAAGCGCATTTTTGCAATGCACGTTAATAACCAGCTAAACCTGCTAGCCTGCCTCGTGCTGATAAAGGTAAATGATCTTGTAAATGTGTCAAATAAAAAAATAATAAAACATGAAATATATAAAACACAACTCTGCATTGAATAAATTTCCACGTCTCAATAGCCATGCATCTAAAAAATATATAACTTGAGTTTTTTATTGCTAGAAATGGATATTTTGAATCACAATCATCCTCTATTAAACTCTTTATTATCTCAAAAATCACAAGATATTACGGCACAAAGGCTACATATGACAAAGAAAACATTTTCACAGTCATTTCTGAATTGATTCTAAAAAGTTGAGCGACATTGCCGATGTACATGTTGCATACGAGTTATAATTTAACATCTTTATAATTAATAAATACAATACATTTTTACCTTACTACCATTTAAATATTGATTAACTCCTTGGCGAAATAGTTATCAAACACATGTAAACAATTAGAGGTTAATCATATTTCTGGAGCAGAATCCATCTTTAAGAATTGTTCTTGATTATTTTAATTGTGGAAATTAAACAAACTGTGACTAATTAAATAAAGCAAATTATTTACCATAATTCAGTAAAAACTGTAAAAGATTATGCATTTTGACTTCCATTCTTCTTTATTCTCAGTGATGGTATGAGTTATTTGTATTATTTTGAATTCTGACATTAATATTGTAGTAATTTCGAGGTGCATTACATTTAACATTCTGACCTAGCCTAGAAGCAACAATGTAAATATTTCATCCAAAATCATATTTCCATTGAGTAATTCATGATTACAATCTTGTAGGGGCTGACATAATTGAACAGTCCTCAAAAACGCAAATAAATGCCGGGCAGGATAAATAAAACGCATTTTTGTCCGTGCTGCACTTTTAATGGGGCTTATAATATTTCCATCAAATTCCCTTTTGTGTCCCTTTGGTTTTATTTATTTATTTAACTCTGAAGCTACAATATTAGATAACAAAATCGCAGATGAAATACACTTCTGACAAGCCAGTTATTTATTTATTTACAACTTCAGAGTCTGTTCATCACAATGTGCAAGCGTGAAAAACCACCAATTCAAATTAATCGCAATTCTCCTTGTGATAAAAAAACACAACAGCATCTATTATAAATTGGGCCTGCCGCTGCAACAATGGAGGCAACATATACCGTGTAATTTGGCTAAAAGATGAACCTGAAGAAGCCACAAAGCACGCACGCACACACAAATATTTTTGGATCAACAAACGTAAGTGGATTGCTGTATACGCTGTTAGAGCAACACGTGGATAATACACCACGCAGCACGGTCGATGTCAGGACATGCCTGTCAGCAGGGCTTCATTCAGCGGTAAAGGGAGAATTTCCTGCCTGCTCTGCAGGGTGGGATTGGAGTTGGGCGGCGGGGGGGGGGGTATAAATGCTTTGTCCTGCCTCATCTCCCTCGTTTTATATTGACGTGCTCCACGCGCTCACGCATCCGCGCTGCGGACCTGGTCTGTAAAGTGGAGAAAGTCACACAACAGGAACCAAAACCTCTCCGTCCTGCTGAGAAAAGTCGTGAAAGGTCACAATCGATTTGATCGCCACAACGTTGTGATTTTCTTCTTGATTTAGCTCCTGTGTCTGGGCCAAATGAAGAGCAAAGAGATGTAGCAGATACACTAAACCTGTTTGAATAAACCTATTCAACTAATAGAACATTCAGTCGAAGATTGAGACCACATCTGGTATAAATTGTCTCATTTATTTGTATCTCCATTGCTTCCTTCGAAACAAAAAAAAGAGTGCAATTATTTTATTATAACTACATTGATTTATGAGGCTTGTTTTACAAAAGAGAAGCCTCACTGCGATGTATATGATACCAATTGAGTTATTTGCGGGCACGTTTTAACATTTTGGCAACTTTGGACCATGCTGCCTGCAGACAGTGGCCTACTCTTGTGAATGACGCCAGAGGGTCTTCAACGCCCTGTGTGAACCGGACGGCACGAATTATTAGGGCTAAGACATCAGCAGGAAAAAAAGTAGATTTTTCTAATTCAATTGACGTATCAAATTCACAGATGTCAATTGACATCCAATGGACACGGTACAATAGACAAGAGGCTGCGATGTAAATATGGACAGTAGGAGCCCAAGGAGTGAGTCAACAGGAATTGAGAACTGCTCCTCTTCCAGCCAATCTTTAACGCATATGCACTTCCCCCCACTCAGACGACAAAGCAGAGAAGATACCGCAATTCTGTCTCATACAAAGACAGCAGATTCCAAACATCTAAACAAACCAACACACAAAGGAAGGCAGAGCCAAGGGAAGGATAATAAAACGCAAGGCGCCACGTCTCCTGCGGTGAGGGCATCCGTAAGCCATGTGGACGTTGATCCACCAGTGCCTTGGAGCAAGGCTGCTGTGACAGATCATTACGACTAAGTATTCACTGCAGGTATGTGGTGCACCATGACATGTGAACTGTCAGCCAGCAGCAAACAATTCCACTTAATTGACTCTTGCCGGCAGAACATCATTGGCTCTGGGGTCCATTACGACTCAGGCAGTGTCTAGGTGTGCCCATACTATTCTGGGGAGCAGGAGTGTAGCAGTTAGCATGCTGCGCTACGAACCCAGTGAGTTAGATTCCCGCTCATGTGACTATTACCTGCGCCGGTTCTTGGTCTCCCCTAGGTCGACTTGGCCTCAAATAAGTACCTGGTGCGGTGTGTAAACAATGTTACTAGGGAGACAAAGGTGGCCGGGTGTGGTTTTGGCCACCTACCCCCTCGTGTCCCGTACCGGCCTTCATAGGTGCTTGCTAACAGCACTTGCCCCTACAGTCTGTTAAGGCTATTCGGGTGTCTTTAAACGACTCCTATCACTTTGCCCCATCGGGATTAAAGCACAGGACAATAATAATAACACTGGTCAACACACTTTTTCTGGCATAAGGTATTCCAACGGTTTTAAGGTAATTTTGGAGAGCTGATTCCAAATCTGGCATCAGTTTTTGTCTATCACATCAGGTTTTTGAGAAATCAAATATTGCATTTTCAATAAAAACTGCAGAAGAAAAATATTAAATAAATGTGGATATCTACATAAAATTATATTATAAACACACTATCCTAAAAATACAGCACCATATTTTAACACTAAAGCAGTCACTGACTCACAACAACTTGCAATCATAAGTGACAGAGTTAATTTCGGGTGAAATCAACGAAAATGGGGTATGCCGATAGCATAAAAATGAGATGTGATAGAGCAAATCTGAGATCAGATTTGGAATCAGCACCCTGAAATTAGTCTAAAACAGCTGCAAAAGTCCAGGCCAGAAAAAAAATGCTTTTTTTTGTTGACCAGTGTAATTGGTGAAAGAGGCGCCCAGGACCAGTTCAGGTATGGCTCACTTACTGATGGATGTCAAGCGACACATAACTTGACATCAGGCTGCCAGGTTCACGATGTGACGGAGCCTCTGCTGTGGAGAGAACCACCGTGCATTGACGCTGTACATCCGAATTGTTGTTCAATTAAAATTAGTAACACTACACGTGTATACGTTGTTAGAATGTAAAAAAAAATGGGATATGATGTGTTATAAAGTAAAACAATCGGGTCTATAATTACCTCATGTGTTTAAGTGCCGAGAGAGAGACAGAGAATTAACAAAACAATTTTGGTCGCTGAAAATCAACGTAAACTGAAACGCCAGCACAAGCGGTTCAGGAATTAAAAACAAAACCCATCAACACTGGAAGCCATTGTGAATGATTAAAATGAGATGCTGGAAATGTTGAACTTCTTTCGCACCATACGTAGCCAACCGTGGTAATTGGAGGGTGCGGGGGAAAGGACAACGAAAAAACACAGACGTACCGGTCACGTACAGACACTGCCCAATGCCTAGAGGGGAGGGGGTGGGGGGCTTGAATGACTCACCTGCTTGAGTAGGTCCTCTGTGTTGGCCAGCTCATTCTCCAGCTTGTCGTTGAGGTCGTGTAGCGACGTGGCCTCTCTCTGGGCCCCCAGGTAACGCTTCTCAAGCGTGGTGATTCGCTCCTCCATGTCCTCCTTCTGGGCCATTGCCTGCGCAGGTCACAGAGCAGCATTGAGTGTTCAATGGTGACCCCCGGGGCTGGACTTCAACTTGAGAATTGTGGCACCCCTTTTTCGATTTAAAGCTTTCGTGACTGCAGGGATTCATCTTCTTGGTTCTTTCGGTAAAGTCACGTAGAAGGGAAGTGATAAATAATAAAAAATAAAACATAATAAAATAATTCTCACGACTTCTTCACCTGAGGACGGCTGCTTGTGTTGTGGCCGAAACGTCGTGAGAATTATTTTATTATGTTTTATTTTTATTATTTTATTACTTCCCTTCTACGTGACTTTACCGAAAGAACCAAGAAGATGTGGCACCCCTGTTAAGCACGAGCTACAGCCATAGTTATAGCCTGAGAAAGACATTTAAACAGTTCGTATTTGTGAACTGTGCACGTTAAAGACTACACGGTCCTGATGTCCATGCACACGAACGTGGCACTGACGCCAATGTTGAATGACACGGCAGTGTTGCCCACGTTGATGAAAATTGTACAAAAAAATTACAGCCGAGCAACGACTTCCACAGAAGGGCCCTGCGCTATAGCAAGCTCTCAAGTGCCCTTCTAGACCTGAAGGTACGCCATGTCACTCCTCTAGAGCGTGAGCTGTCATCAGCTGACCTCCCTGATGTCGCGCTGGTACTTGGTGTTCATCTCCTCGGACTTGATGAGGTCCCTCCTCGCCGTGTCCACGTCGTCCTCCAGCTCTCCGACGCGCGCCGACAGCGTGCCCAGGCGCTCCTTCATCTGCGCCACCTCCACGTTCCGCTTGTCCAGCAGATCCTGCAGCTCCAGCAGCCGCCCGGGCCCCTCGATGTCCCGCAGAGCGGTGCCATTGGTCACGCGAGCCTGGAGTCCACAGGGGCGCACACGTGAGTAAAAAAAAAGACTCGACAAAGCAACTCCGCGTGTCGTGACGGGTACTGCAAGATCCCACCGTATTGGTCCAGTGCTCGCTGAGCTGCATTGGCTTCCAGTTGCTGAACGAACACATTATAAGGTCACACTCGTTAAACACAAAGTGCTTGCCAAAGATAAACCACAATACCTTGCCGATCTCGTCAAGGAGCATAAACCCTCACGCGAACTCTGGTCATCCTCACAGGGCTTTTGGCTTAGCCATTGAACAAAGCTAGCCACTGAACACTGCACCACGCACTTTCAGACGCACTTCTGTGGCCGTCTGGAACCCTCTTCCTTCTAGATTGACAACTCAATTCTGTAGAACTGATTTTTGAGTTTAGTTTGTTACCCTTCCCCCACACCTCTGATTCACATGGTTGGTCACGAACGGTGCGAAAGACATTCAACATACATAATGACACACTTGACTGGAGTAGCTTTCAGGTTTAGTTTGGTCACGGCAAATTAGTGTCGCATAGCATTAGACATACACCCTACGTACTTGTTCATAAGATACAAAATAAAACAACTTTTTGCTCTTTCAATTTGATCTTTATAGATGTTTACAAATAGGAGTGCCTTCATGCATATGAAGGGCGACAGTGTTGTGCTTCTTTCAATGTTGTGTTTCTATTTACATTTAAAATCGATGGTCTAGGTATCGGGGATCAAGAGGATGTTGAACATCTGAGTCAGCACGACTGAGATCTTTGGTTTTAATCCCAAAAAGCCACGCGTGATTGAACCAGGTTCTCTCCTTATTTGCCCTGTTATTATAAGCTCATCAAGCAGTAGAAATAATGTTTTTTTGTCATGTGCTGCCATTCTGGAAAAAGGGAGGAGCAGTGGCGCAATGGATCTATACTTCCCCGTTTAATGCTGTATATGTCATCTGATGCTCAGGGAGTGGTGGCACAGCAGGCAATTAACCCGACAACCCGAGGTCAATTCGCAGTCATGACTAACATCAGTGACGAGAAATATCTCAACTGTTCCTAGTCCCTCCCTCTCTTTACTCGCCCACAACAAACTAAACACAAAGTGCAGTTCTAAAGAAACGAGTTTTCAATCTAGACTTAAAAGTACACAAGCTCCAGTGGATTCCTAATATCGGAAGGAAGAGCGTTCCAGACGGCCGCAGAAGCACATCTAAAAGCGCGCGGTCTATTGCACGCGGTTATTACAATGAGCGGCAGTTGGGATCAAAAGCTCAAGAAAAATAAATCAATGTGGCAACAGCAGAAGTGGAATGACTGCGATTTCTGGATTATGCAATTAATCCGCACGTCACGGAACGATACCCAGAATGAGACCTCCTCCAGTTTTGTAGGATAACCACTCGTCACATTGACCATGGCCAAGTTTTAAAGTGCACCCGAGTGGACAGATCAGCACTGATACCGGACCAACAGTGGCGTTTCTCTTCTCACTTCATGGACCTTGAAATTGGTGAAAAAACAGCGACGAAACTTACAGATTTTTCATTAAGTAAAAAAAAATAGATTTTTCATTAAGTAAAAAAAAAAAGATTTTTCATTAAGTAAAAAAAATAGATTTTTCATTAAGCAAAAAAAAATATTTCCCCCCCCTTCCCCCAGCCCATCTTAAAAGCAGCGTTTGACACACTTTGCACTTGAGACTTATGAAAGTGTCATCGGCGAGAATTAAGTTTCTCTTGTATTTAAAACCACTCGAGGAACACGCTTTAAACTGTGACATGTTAGGCGTGCGGGAACACATTTGGAAGCTGTTGGGGCAAGTAGCCATGGGGGCTCATGTCAAGTAGCCAAGGGGCCAGGGAGCTATTAATTGAAAGGACGCAGCATATTGCTTTGTCCCATCTGTTCAAAAGTTGGGGGCATGTGGGGAGGAGGGGGAGGAGGGGGGGGAGGGGACAGCAGCTGGCTGCCATGTTCTTCATATTTTCATGCCCATGCATCAAGCAATTAATTTAACGATACCTGTAAAATGAATTTGTGTTCCAGCGCGGTTTCCGAATGTAGGTTTGTCATTCGGCCAGGCCGTCCCACCTTTGCGTGCGAGGTAAGGGGTCGCAGCTCTGCGGAGTTCTGCGTTGGCGGAGTCTCGATCTCCGTGGCGTCCTCGGAGCCATCCCCGGCCCTGCGCTGGGCGTGAGCCGCCTGCTCGCGCAGCAGCATGAGCTGTGGGGACACACGCAAAGCAATGAGTGGCACAATGTTAACAACACAAGCCAAACTACCGCGCGCACCCTAAGAGTGAGCGTTCAAGTTTGTTTAACCAGGTGAGAACCCAAGAGGCCAGGATGGCCTCATTTGCAAGAATTTACTGGCATTAGCCTGCCAGTCGGGGCCAATGCTTGCTGTGTATGGCCCCGACTGAGTAATTAGCCGTGTAATTTTTGAACGTGGCAAATTTGTGCACCGACACCGGCACACAATGGCCTCCTCTTGCGAATGACGTCAGGGGATCTTTAATGTCCATCATGGTTAGCACGGTTGACCACGATTAGCCAACTGTGCACCTCTGATTGGCACGGTTGGCCATGTACGGTGTGAAAAAAGTTCACCATACATACGTGGTTATTACATCCGTAGTAGTAGTAATAATAATTAAAAAAGAGTGACCACTGGATTTGAATGGCGAGCCTCTGCAACAAGTGGCAAACATCTTCTTGGTTCTTTCGGTAAAGTCACGTAGAAGGGAAATAATAAAAGAAATATAACATTCAAAAATAATATAATATAATAAAATAGTTATTTTTATTATTTTATTATTTCCCTTCTACGTGACTTTACCGAAAGAACCAAGAAGATGAAGCCCTGCAGTCACGAAAGCTTTAAATCGAAAAGTGGCAAACATGCTAATGCTGGGCCGCGTCACTGACCAAACTCGTGTTGGTTCCATTTAACCAGGCCCATTCTCTTTCTGAGCTCAGAATAATTCGTACCATTTCGTGGGAAGAAAACTGTGTTCATACTGTAGGAAAAGAGGTCACTTCCATGGAAATGTAGAGTTTCCATCACTCGCTTGGGGCTACCGATGGTAATATGCGTCAATCCATCACTAAATTTTAACAAGTAGACACTGTGGCTTTTGGCTGTTAAAATAAAAATGTGTTGCTGAGCTGACATGTTTTTAGATGGTGTTTATCTACATTGGTGGTCTATAGCCAGTGGAGATCATTGTACATTTATATGGCAGCTGCTCGCATGTTGAAAAGGCAACCAATGTTGACTTCTTACTGAGCAGTGCAGCTTGGAGGGAGTATGGGCTGAGTTTACCAGAGCTAAGATATATACTCATAGCATCATCATCATTGAAAGTCCTGCTGCTCCAGCAACCGAGCTAGAAATATGAGACTAATGGCAATCGTCACTGACATACAATATTTTCTCATGCCATTTGGCTGTTCGGCACGAGCGCTCGGGTCAGAGCATTTAAACATCTGCCGTTAAAATGTGTACGGAATTTAGCAAAGAAATGCTTAATAATACACCGGGGATGGCTGCTGATCACATTTAAAATGCCCTCCCCATTATTTGGAATAAATGAATTCGAATGCCCATAAACAGTGACAAATACCCCGGTGCCAAGCCCTAGGCTATTAAAACAGCACCACCGCCGCTAAGAATGAAGGACCGCGTGAGGGAATAAGAGTGACGGGAGAATAATCAGAGCGCACACGAGAGCGGGCGTGAGCAACGGGAAAGATTGAAATCCTGAAACGTTTCGACATCGCACTGGCGAAAAAGATTCCGGCAAATAGAAGTCATTCCGTGGTTTGATTTTACCATCGCTGCATCACTCTGACACACCGCCCCCTCTGAGCCTCAGAAATCCAGGAAACCTACACCCACAAATCTGTTCATAATACCTGCAGGAAAAAAAAGTTAAACTATTTAACGCTTATTATCATTGCGTGTGATGACACTGCACTAATGTTCCATTTTTATGGACTAATAAAAGTTAAAACTTTCACATTATTTTAATGATCGTGTTGCCCGTTTTGCTGTTTGGCACCTCTGTTCACAATGGCACCTGAAGGAAATTATTTCCAATTATAATACTGTCATAATTTATGTTGGCTCCATGGCTTACAACATCACCTAAGTCGCTTTGGTACTTACTACCCACCAGATTATGCTGTTTACTCAGCCCATTTCAATTGCTCAGCCGTCAGAACGGATGGCTAAACAGGCATGTATCCTGCATATCTGCCCAGAAACATGGCTCCACAGGTGTATATGAAATTACACACGTGATTTCACCCAGCAGGACAATGGTTAGCACACACTGCAATGGGGAACCTGGCGAACTAAGTTCAATTCCCGACCGTAGCTAATATCGGTCGCAATCCATACATGAACTAGCCCTACCCCTGACTTCCCACTTCTCCAACTCACATTGACCAGTGTGGTGAAGTATAATAATAATAAAATACAAAACCCATGACCAATACACGGAAAGCCTTCATCTGGTAGTGGATCCAAAAATGGCACCAATTATTTCATTATACTTTGTAATGCAATAGAATGAACACAAATAGCAAGTGGTTTTACAAGGGAGAGAAAAATGACAAGCACATGTGCGCGCATGTTCTTTGTGTGCGTGTGTGCGCAGGCGTGTGTGTGTGCGCAGGCGTGCGCGTGTGTGTGCAGGCGTGTATGTGTGTGCGCAGGCGTGTGCGTGTGTGTGCAGGCGTGTGTATAAAGGTCAATGTCAGCACGACTGCGACCACAGCCCATGAGCCAGTAGCTCTGCAATGCTCCACAACCCAATGACAATGAGGTCCGCTCCCATGGAGCAATCCATGCACAGAATGGACCCAAGGGAGGGGAGGGGGGGGCCTCACAGTGGGAACCCGCGAGCCCCCCATGCTTTGGCCCGGGGCTTCTAAAGGTTTCACGCTCGCGTTCACAAGATTTCTCCAGGTGACGCCGCACCACGGCGCTGAGCCAACAGCAACAAAAAAATCACACATTCTCCTCCACCGCCGCCATCGTCTTTAAGGTCCTTCAATACAGCGCTCGGGCACACAGAGACTCATGACGCGAGGACGCTAGGACGCGAGAATGCGCCTCAATGTTCTCTCATCTTCCATCGCTCCGTGGAATCACGGGTTTTATCACAGACTCAATTTACCAAACACCGGGTCCTCTGCGCAGGTGGCTTACGTCACGCTGTGCGCAACCGTAGGTGGAGGCTGCCGTCTTACCAACAGACAACTCTGCACGCAGCCCTAGGCCACCTCCTGGGTGTGCCCAAAGCAAATATTCTTATACATCAGCTCACGCTTGGAAGATTTCCCGAGTGAATGGCCAATCGTTGTCGCATGACCAGCTGCCGGAGAGATGCTGCGTGGCTTTTGGTGAAAGTCTAAGTTTCATTTTTAGGGTAGTCTGCCCAATCCAGCCCAAGCATAACGGTTAACAGAATGTCCTTTCCGCAGACAAACGATTGAACTGGAAACTCTCCAGCTGCGACAATGGCTGCGAAGCGTCTCCACACTGCGCTTGCTTCCTCCGGTGAATACATAGTGGCGACCAAAGCATCACGCCGTGACCTTAAACAGCAAACAACACGAGCAGCAGTAGAAGCACTGCAACTGGGCACCGTTTGGCTTCTTCGGCACTTTACCGAGTCGACATACATCAGAAACACGCCGACACGGTAGTTTACATCGTTCACTTTTGGACACCTTCTTATTGTGGGCAAAGTCAGTAACAATGCTGAATTACAACATTAAATGCAGGCGTTGCTCTCTCGTTTGCGATGAAGTGATTCAACCGACGAAGAGACACAAACAGAGCGAATTGATGTCCGCACAAAGAGCATTCGATAAGATCATTGCTAAACTTAGCATTAGATCAAACAACACATGTCAATTGCATCACAGGCACCTGCGGGCGAATTGTATTGCTGTTTTGGATCTCAGTACCAGCTGTTCAATCACTGTTAACGTTTACATCGGATGTGCATCTCTTTCGCCTACCTCTGCAGTCATCTCGCATAATGCCTGGCCAGATGGTGAAAACAGTCCAACTTTTTGCCACGTAATAAGCAATACTTCCTGAACAGATGCCACACATAATCGAATGATCGCTAGAGCCTTAATTAATTGTAGTTTCATATCACAAACACATAAGTGACCGTAATTGAAAAAACGTTGTCAATGCACTGCTGGATGAGGGCCTCCCTGTGTGTCTTGGTCGTTGGGGTTGTTTGACCATACTTCACCTTGCTGGTCAGTGCCGGTTGGTGAAGGAGGGACTAACGACCGGTATGGATGTCTCACGCCACCGATGTTAGCCGTGGCCACCAACCCAACTCGGGTGGTTGGACTCAGTGCCGTGTGCTAACCACTTCACCAATACCATAAAACAAAAACCCGAATTAGAGTTAGTGATTAATATTTTTTTTTACAAGTAAATGCATCTCTCTGCCCATATATTTATTTGTCAGCCAAATGCGGTGTTTCCCTGCTGGAACCTTTGAGACAGAGGTACAAATTCAAAATTTATCTTGGTGAGGTCAAGTCCATCCGCACGACAACTGCTGTGAACGTCTCACGATGTGGTCTTCGATTTAAAGCTTTCGTGACTGCAGGGATTCATCTTCTTGGTTCTTTCGGTAAAGTCACGTAGAAGGGAAGTAATAAAATAATAAAAATAAAACATAATAAAATATTATGTAAAAATATAATATTATGTAAAAATAAAACATAATTAAATATTATGTTTTAGTATTATTATTATGTTTTAGTATTATTATTATTTTATTACTTCCCTTCTACGTGACTTTACCGAAAGAACCAAGAAGATGTGGTCTTCATTTTAACTCGGTGCTGAGTGGACCCCCGACTGGAACGCAAAATTACAACCATTCAATTGCGAGGCAGGCACGGTGCCATCCTGCAGGCATTATGTCCATTACACAACTATGTTATTGTATGAAAATGGTTGTGTTCACTGGTGCCGGCACTTTGAGCGAGCGATGAATTACATCACAAAACAAACACCGCCATGGATGTACCGTCCCGAACGTCAACGGCGCATCATAAAGAGCAATGCAGCAAATGTCGGCGCAGTAAATCGTTTCGAATCAATCTTTATCTTCTTGGGGCCACGTGATGTTCTAACAGTGGTTTGCCAATGTATACAACCGGGGTTGCCACCTTTGA